ACACATCCTCCAAAAACGGTAGCACTGATTACACCGATAGCTGCAAATTCAAGTGACAGAGGAACACTGACACTATCAATCACAGCAGAACCCCAGCATCAGGTAAGATTTACGATGTCAACGCTATAATATAGAGCTGTTAATGAAAACAGAAGATTGAAACAATACTGATTTATAGGGTCAGAAACATGAAGGCTTTAATGAGACCATCTTTCCGTTTGAATGGCTACTGGGGGACGGCTCAGTATTGCAGGGCTCTCAGTAGCTCAAGCTGTCACACCTTGCCACCACTGTAATGCTACATGGAATCCTGAAAAGTTTAGTTTTGTGAGGAAAAAAAAATCCCTAAACTCTGTGGTTATGAGGCTGCTGATCTTCAAATATTAGCTTCATGTGCTTAAAATTAATAGTAAAAAATACATATAAGGAGCAAAAATGGTGCACAAGCCTTGGAGGTTGTAGGTGCTTGTATTTTCAGCAGTGATGATACTCAGGTCTCTGAAGTCCCCTATTGCACAGCCAGAGACCCATACCATCTTGGCTGAGCCTTATTCAGGGAAGGGTTCATTTGATATTCAGAGCTGATTTGCACTCACTGCTAATGTTAAACTCAGTAGAGCAGTTATGCTCACTGCCTTAAAAAATTAAAACCAGAAAATTCCCCAATAGAGTTGGGCACCTCCTCCCTGCCATCCCCACAGCTTACCAGCCCTCACTGGAAGGGCCAAAACAGAGCAAGTGGCTGTGATTTCTAAACAACTTTTTAAGAAAACATCTCAAAACTAATCTCTCAGCATAACCTGATACTCTAAGAAGCTTTTTTATGTTTGAAATACCATACTCCTACAGTTGAAGTCTGGTAAATAGGGAAGATGCATCCTGGTTTTGATTGTCTAACTGTGGGTGGTGATAAATAAATACACTTGTCTACCTATTTCCCCAGGAATCATCCAGTATCTTGAGCAGAGCATGTAAGGACATGTAAAAACAGTTTCTCAAAATAAGACTCCTAATAACTTGCCTACATAATTTTGTATTCCCTCCAAGATCGTTTAGGTATATAACGTATACACCTCCATGGCTCAGCATACATGCGTATGTCTATCAGTAGAGAAAACAAACGCAGAGCTCATGCCTAAGGACCAGATGAATGTGTGCTTTCCTGTGGTTTCATGCTCTGGGCTCAGGTTTATACAGCTTAGGACAGCAGGTCAGCACTTTGTGACCATGGGCACTGGTGTGCCTGTTGGCAGCACCTCTCTTTGGGTGCCTTTCCTCCCTGGCTCGCCAGGGCTGCTGGGGCTCACCTCAGTGCACTCCCTCAGCCCCAAGCAAAAAGCCAAGGGGCTGGAAGGCAGCTGGACTTTCCCCAAGCAGAGGGGATCGAGGTGTCCCCATGCCTTCCTGGCCTTCAAGAGTTTCACCATTTTGTCCCTCAGGCAGCCCGGCCGCTCCCCGGTGCACCACGGCTCGAGCTTGTGTCTCACCACAGGCACGGAGGAGCGCTGTGGCAGGGAGCTGCCTCGAGAAAGGTTTTATCACCAAGAAGCAATGATTTTCAAGGACAAGATGCCTGTGCTGACAGGATTAAACTATGATTCAAAGCAAGAGTAACTGTGCTTGGCCTCTTCCTGCATGTCAGCGTGACGAGGAGGTGTCAGGCCGCAGGCCTGGTGTCCAGAGAAAATGAGCAGAGCAGGGCTGCAGGGGCAGGCCTTTCCCCCTCTGCTGTGCTGTCAGTGCTGTACCATTCATCCTTTGCCTCTGACAGTGTCGCTGAGGTCTGTCCTCGCATGGTTGCCCCATCGCATGGGTGCCCCATTCCTTTCCTTAACCTTGCTGAAGTCACTGGAGGCCATAATCCCTGAGTGTCTTCTTCCTTAAAATCTGTCCTTACTCTCACGCCTCCAGGATGTGACCACTGCCTGTCACACTGAGCACTCTTCCCTGCCAGTCTCCCATGCTGGCTTTTCACGTCCCCAGGTACCTTCTGGTGCAGCCAGCACACGGGCCGTGCACCACATGCCCACCTTGATGCCCCATCTCCCCTAAGAGCGATGTTCCTTGTGCCTCCACCCTCAGTCCCCACGTGTTTCGAGTGTTGGCTGTAACTGCATTGGAAATGTGATGCAAACCTTATAACCACGTGCAGCACCGTTAATGACTCTCCACAACAGTGCGTGACATACAGGCATTAGTACTATTATCTACATTTAACAGCTACAGAGGTCAGAGAAGGGTAAGCTGCAAATAATTGTGTAAAGGACACAGAGGAACACGTAGCTGGGATTAGACTTTAGAAATTCCTTCTTTAGTAGCATTATTATTAATTGTTGGACCAAGCCCTACTCTCCAACGTGCCTTTCACATGCTCTGTAAACACATGAATTTTCCAATTGATCAGCCAATAATTTGTCCTCTAAAATTTGTGCAAGGCACAATTCAAGTCAGCATGACTTGGTGATGGAGGTGGCTTGAATCCTCTTTGTCAGCAGTATTTACAAAACTGACTTCAGTTTCGAGGCACACACCTAGTAACAGCAATGTCAAAGTGTGGTCATGGCAAGGAAAAGTGTTTGACATTTCACCACCGTAAGTTCTTCTATTTTAGTTATATTATAGCTTAGTTTGTTTTTTCAAATTCTCTTTATGTTAATATATGAAGGAATTCAAGCTGAAATAGTTACCATCTGCCTGAAAGAGGACAGGAAAATGTGGTTACAAAAGAATGTCTAAAGTGTGGAGCAAAATATGGTCCTGCTAATGGTAACATTTCTGTCATTAACATTAAAGATTAAAGGCTATAATATACAGGAAAATATATTGCATGGCTTATCACATTTTTAATGAAGGGCTCAGTGTTATAGCAGGCAAGCGCTGAGAAGAAAAATGGACCTCTTGGATTTTATTTGCTCCCCTGGGGAACTACCCTATCATGATTGTAGCCTGTAGGATCAGCCAAATGAACACCAGGCAGTAAGTCAGCAGTCCCCAAAAGGTTAACAGAGCTTCTTCCTAATGTTACAGCAATGATTAAAAAAATTAGCTCGCATTAACCTTTCCCCTTTCAGTGGATGGTTCAAATCTAGTGTGGGTTGGTAGTGACTGAGAGTGGTTACTATCAGTTTAATGTTTTTTGGTGGGTTACGCAATGTGAGTGGGTGGTCTCACGCTGCCTCCCAGGGGAGGCGTGTCTGCCTGATTAAAACCCCAAAATACCTTGCCTCAATTGGTGCTAATTGGAAACCTTGTTGGCAATTTCAGCGCAGACCCCTGCGTGGGCACAAGCACCGAACAAGCTGCAGTGAAGGCTGGCCTTAGATGCTCTAGCTTTCTTGCAAGGTTTTGAAGTCCTGGATTTTTAAGAAAAGGAGATGTGCCCAGCTTTGTCCTGATCCTTCCCTGGGGCCCTGCTCTAGGATTAGATCCTTCGCCCTCTCCCTGCCCTGTACCCCCTAAAGGGGACCCAGGGGTGCTCCCTAACTCCTTGTCGCCACACAAGGGACATGACCAGACCATCCAGTGTGGGGCTCATTGGACATTTGGGGTTTGGACATTTTGGTGTAATTGGGGTTTGCCCTCTCCTATCTAATGTAAATTAGGGTGGAGGTGGCTTTCCCCCTGTAGCAATGGATGCAGCTGCATTTGAGTACCTCCTCCACCTCCAGCCCATGCCACTTGTCTATTCCCCCAAACCAGGAGCCAGAGCCTGAGTGGAGCCTTCAGCAGGAGGCACTGGCACAGCACGGCCCCAGGAAAGTGACGTCTGGCCTGGCCCAGCCACATGGGCTCAGGAACATGAGGTGCAATGTGCTCCCTGAAGCTTTCTGTGACAGCTACAGCAGCACCAGCACAACCCCAGGATGCCCTGGTACCCTGCGTGCCTTCAAGCCTTGTACCAATTGTAAGCGCTTACTCAGTGACACATGCACAAACACATGCTCTCTGCAAATCCTGCTTGTTTTCTGTGGAAATTGCTTTGCCCAGCCGAACAAACTACTCCCTTTCATCTCACGTTGTGTTTTGCAGCTAGGAAAAAAAAAAAAATCTGAGGCTCTGGCTGTGTGTAGTTCTTGCTTCTCGGGTGAGAAAGCAAGCAATCAGCACTCAGGGTTTTTTCTTTCTTGGGTAAATAGTTCTTGTGAAACCAACCTAAGTAAGGTGATTTGCAGTATGGATTTTTCCCATCTACATTATTAGAATAAGTTCAGTCAGCACATTCAACCCTACTCTCTAGTGGTACATAAATTTAATGCAACACTCAACTCTCCTTCAGCATTTTGGTGTATACTCGAGTTTTTCTTGGCACAGAGAGAAGTGGCAGGTGGAATGATCAGAGACTTTTTTTCCTTCAAAGTGAGATTAGGGTTTTTTTTAGGTTCCTTTGTTCTGTAAAAGCCTTGGTCTAATTCACTTACAGGCTATCTGGGACTGAGAATGCCATTTCTTTACTTATTTATATGTTTGGTTTAAAGCTGTGCACTAATCTCAGTGGAGTTTCTCTATTTTTAGGATCCTGCTAGGAATTTTTAACCAAAGTGTTTTTATGCACAATAAGGGCAGGTTTTGTTAGGATTTCTTTGTTTTTGTGTTACACTATCAAAGGCGATATCTGCTCTTTCTTCCCTCTGATAACTTCTTATCTCAGCAAGAGAAAGTGGGACACCCAGGATAGCTGGAGGCAATGGAAGCCTGCCAGCATCTGCTCAGGACAACGCTGACTGACTCTAGCCTGGGTGTGTTAAAGTTAAAATCCCTCGGTGCATGTGAGGAAGTCTGCTTGGGAAGGAGAAATAGGAGAAGGAGAAATAGAATCTGCAACGAGCTGTCTTCTCCAGGAATATACTAAATATACTAAATAGAATTCACCTGGCAAAGACAATCGGAGCACGCATGCAGCTTTCTTGGCAGGTGCAGAGAAGGCCTTTGACATGATTTAATGGTATTTTAAAAAGCAAGCACTAGAAACAAATGGGAATGTGCTGGGATGAATTAGATGGATTAAGATTCAATGTGATAACCTACCCACCTCAGGAATAACTAATGACCTACCCCAACAGAAATGTCTGCTGGGTAGGGAACGAGGCAAAGCTGTTCACTTTAATGATTTTGCTGGCACCGAAGCCTCTCATTTGGGACGTTCAGCAAGAACAGCTTATAAAAAGCATTGGCTGAAGTCCTTGATCTGTGCAAATTGTCTTGGTTCCTTTGGCACCAGATGTGTGACCCTCTGCCCTGCTGGAGGATCCGCCACATTCTGGTAACGAGGCAGAAATCAATGCCAGCCTACGCTTGAGTGGTGTATTGATGGCTGAGGCACACTTGTTGGTAGAAATGCTTTCATCATACCAGGAGCAGGACAGCCTCGGATTTACCATCCAGAAGCCCTGGGACTGCCCCGAATGTTCTGTGTGTGAAGAGGAGGTGGCAAGGCTTAAAATATCTGCAAGGGGCACAGCGGTGTGTGGGTGTGGGTCTGACACCCAGTAAGACTCACCTAGGTGGTGTGAGTGCTGCTTTGCTCCTGTGACATTTGAAACAAGACCTGAATGATGGTGTCCCCAAGAACTGTCCTTGAAATGAGTAATTCGCTGCAACTTTGTTTCAGTCCGATAATTATTCACTGCACTGATTCAAAAGGAAAATTATCATGATTTTGGCTGAACAAACTGAAAAAAAACACTAGCATATCAATTAACAAAATGTATAAGAGCATTGCAATTACTTTGTTTAATTGAAGTCCCTTTTTCTTAACAGTGCCAGGCTGATTTAGTGGCCTGGGGCACACAGAAACAAATAAAACGCACGGTCAAATGAATGGAAATCCCCTTTCTGCAGCCGCTTACAGGATGAGAACACCAGGAGAAGCATCTATAAATATCAGCCTGGCTCACCGGGAAGATGGTCAGAGGCATGGAGAATCCAGTTGAAAGGAGGGTTGTAACTAGTGGTAAGTTCATCACAGCCTCGGGGAGACCTACAGAAAAACATGGAGCATCACAAAGCGTGGCTGAAATCTCTCCCACAGCCTTCAGCTGGTAGCAGCAGGCAGCAACACTTGCATGGATTCCAAATTCAGGTGGGATGGGGTGGGCTCGGCTGCCCTCCTTTCCTATCTTCTTTTCATGTACGTGCTCCCTACCAGCATGGGTTTGTGTGACATTGTGCAACCCCAGCTTCTTTCTTTTTTTGCAGAGAATGAGCAATGAAGGGCTGCAGAGTCACTAAGCCCTTGATGGTGAAAGAGCACGTGCACGTGCAGCTGTGGGTGCGTGTGGACAGCTAATTGCAACCCATGACGGTGTGGGGCACATGCAATTTAATACAGCTGAAGGCTCACGGCCTGACCTTCACAAAGGGTACATAAAAATGTCTCCCTTTATCAACCTCAGCCCCTGATTTCAGCTGTGGCACCCCTGAGGCTCTGCCCTGGGTGTGGGAGATGTCTCTGTCCTGCAGCGGGGCCGGGGTGACACCGCACGCCATCAGCTGCTGCCAGCCCCTTTAATCTCTCCCAGGTATGTCAGAAAGCACCCACGTTGTAATCAGACCGAGATGTAGTTATAATGATATCTGATCTGGGAATTTATTCCAAAGCTTTCCTTTTCCATGATGGTTTTCATTTCCTGTAATTTAGAGCTGGAAGCACTTATGGAATATCACATGGTTTTAGTTTACACAGGAAATCAGCTGCAGTTGCGGGAAGATACTGACTTAGGGCTTTTAGGTTTTGTTGTGATTTTTTTTTTTTTTTTTTAAGAAACAAAGATTGCTTCACAGGAAAACACTGCAGACTTTTTTACCTCTGTTGTCTGAAGCCTGCATTCTGCAAAGTGATCTATGATTATATAGGAACAAGCAGTTTATTTCTGTTACACGATAATCGCTTAAAGTGAATGAAGCAATAAATGCCTTTCCTTTTTACAGCGAAGAGATAAACCGAGAGCAGGACAAGCTGTGGAGGAGGGCGAGGGGAGAGGATGCTGGGGCAGCTGCAGCCAGAAGAACTTGTGGAGCAGGAAGTATCGAATAGAGCGTGCATGAGGAGCCCGAGACGACCAGATCAGATTGAAATAGGAAAAGGTGGTTGCTCTTTTTGACTCATAGTCTGCTCTTTTAATCACTCTCTGCGTGACTCCTGGGGACAGGCAGTGCCAGGAATCAAACCCTGCAATGCTGCACAACCCAGAGCATGCTGCAAAAGGCTTCTCCTCCCTGGGGGGACAAGCACGGGGTGAAAGGCTTCTTAATCTTACGGTGCCAGCATGTTTCTCTTTTGGGTTGGGGTGCAAAGAGCTGAAATGTTTTATTATTATTATTACTGTTTGTTTGTTTGATTTTTGGGGGGTACTTTTGAACTGCACCCCCATTGCTTTTCAATAAGTTGCTCATCCGAGCTGGGTGCGCTCTGGCTGGGTGGAGGGACTGGGACTCATGCAGGGGGTGGAAGCTGGCACACTGCAGTAAGAGCTCATCTCTTCCCGAAGGCAGCTCTGCCTGCTCTGAGAGTCTCTTTGGTGCCAGAGAAGAGGGAGATGGCAGGCTGAGAGGAGAACGAGATGGACGGCTGGAGCAAATAGTGTCTAATGAACCATGCTGGAAACACTGTCAGAAGCAAAGAGCTGGATCTGCAGGTCTGCAAGAGCAGAGGAGTGCTGGCTGCTTGCTTTTTGCACACAGAGGTACATTATTATTTTAAATGAATCCAGAGCAGCTGAGGCATTTTTGGACTAAAAGCCAACATAACCATGACCATCTTAATCATCCCCTTGTAAAATGAGCAGCCATATGCGTGAAATCAGCCCATACATTTTATGGAATATCTGTTGTAGGCTGGACAAGTACTTGGACTGAGGTTTATTTTCTCAGGACTTCAACTCCTGAAATATAAACCTTGTAACCTTTCTCTTCGTAAAACCAGAATTTAGAGAGGGGAGGGAGAATTCCCCCAAACTGTACACCGTGTGGCACTGCCTCTCACGTATCACCACACTTGACAAAGTCTGGTGCTATAATGGACACTATAAACACTGATTTCTTTACAATTCTGCGTGAACAGCCCTGGTCTTGTTGGGGAAGGAGGTTTAAACAAAGGTGGCATGGCTTATAGTATTTGTTAGTGAGATATCAAAATATTTATGTGCACAGTATTTCTTCACTATACCTTTCAAAAGACTGAGGTTAATCAAAAGGAGCCTGTTCCTTGTCTTAAACAAAATCTTGTCCCAAAATGCCTGCTGCCTAATCCCCAGAAAGCAATATCGGATTTCCTTACTGGTTATTTCTCAGCTAATTGATTCAATATTAGAGGCAGTGTTAGGCTATTTTAGGATTTCTCAGGGCTTGAGAGCTCCTCGTTGACCATACCTCTGCTTGCTTTATGCAAGCATTCCACCATCTGCACTGGAGCAATCCTGGGGTCTCGGCAGGACCGTTCATGTGCATCGTTACACAAGCCCATGAATTTTTGCAGGACCGTGGCCTGATTGCATTTTATGTTGTACCATATCCTGTAATATATCACCTTGTCACTGGCTTATATGTCAGGAGTGCCTTCAGCTACCTGAGCAGACTGATAGAAACACAGTGCTTCATGAAGGCCACAGAGCACTCCCTGCCCTTGTGATCTTCTCTCAAACTTTTCCACTTGCTTATCTTTCATCCTGTTCCGTTCCAGTCCTTCAGGGTATCTGAAGATATTCCTCTGGAGGAGGAATATTTACGTGGGACAGTCTGTCTTCTGTCTGTTTTTTGACTGAAAAAAAAAGAGGGTTCCCCACTTCTCACTTTTTTCTGTCTTCCAGAGCACATCAGACTCTCTGCTTCCAGTTGCACAGGGCATAGCCTACATTCCCACTCCTTCAAAGGATGAATTGAGGTAGGCTGTTTTTTTTTCTGGCCACCTCTCTGACCCGCTGTGGTGTGGTGTAAATGCATGTGCAGGCACAGGGCTGGAAGAAGCAGGGTTCCTTTACTGTGTGAGGGATGGTCAGCCCTGTGAATGTGGCCTTGAGCAGGGAAAAGGGCGATTCAAAGCATCCTGTGACACCCCATGCACGGTACCAAAAGAAAAATATGTCTGGAGGGTAAAATTATACCGCCTATGTGGAAGAAAAAGGCAGGTTTTTAGTATCGGTTATGTGGAGAAAAGGTTAGTTTTGTTAGGGAAGGTGTGAGCATCTGTCTAAAAGGGAAAGGGATTGAAGGAGCAGACTTGGATTTAGGAGAACAGGTACTGGCTTTGGAATTGGAGAGAGGAATGATTTTGTCCAGGCAGCACTTGTGGACAGTGAAGAGGGTCAGCTGGGAGGGTGAGAAGCCGCTGGCTGATCGTTGCGCTCCAGAGAAGAGACCTCTCTTTGAGGGGTCAGCAAAACATCCTGCTGAAGCAGGATCTGCTTCTGAGCGGATAATTATTTGAGCAAAAGAAAGGAGATGATCCAGAAGATACTTGTATTGGGTTTATGTGGCAAGGTTTTGGTAGTGTAAGGGGGCTGCAGGGGTGGCCTCTGTGAGCAGAGCCCAGCAGCTGCCCCGTGTCAGAGCAGAGCCAGCTCCAGACGGCTTCAAAAGGGAGCTGCTGCTGGCCAGAGCCGAGCCAGGGAGCGATGCTGGGTGGGCCTCTGGGAGAGCAGGTCTAAAAAATGGAAAAAAAAAAATAAAAAATGCTGCACAACAGCAGCTAGGAGAGAGGAGTGAGCACCAGCCCTGCAGCCCCCAAGGTGAGTGCAGAAGGAGGTCAGGAGGTGCTCCAGGCACTCAGCAGCAGTTCCCCTGCGGCCTGTGGAGAGGCCCCTGGTGGAGCAGGCTGTCCCCCTGCAGCCCTTGGGTCCCACATGGAGCAGATCTCCACGCTGCAGCCCCCCCATGGGTGGAGGAGCCCCCGGTGGAGCAGGTGGATGTGGCCTGGAGGAGGCTGCGGCCCATGGAGAGCCCCCGCAGGAGCAGGCCCCGGGCCGGAGCTGCAGCCCGTGGAGAGGAGCCCAGGCAGGAGCAGGGGGTCTGGGGGGAGCTGCTGCCCGTGGGGGCCCCGTGCTGGAGCAGTTTGCTCCTGGGGGATGGACCCCATGGGACGGAGCCGTGTGGGAGCAGTGCTTGAGGAGCTGCTGCCTATGGGCAGCCCCCACAGGCTCAGTTCAGGATGGAGGTGAAAGAGGGTGTATGGGGGGGGGAGATGTTTCTAGTTTGCTTTTAGTTCTCACTGGTCTAGTGTGCTAGTGATAGGCAATAAATTATATTAATCCCCCTATGCTGCATCTGTTTTGCCCATGACAGTAACTGGTGAGTGATCTCCTGGTCCTTACCTCAACCCTTGAGCCCTTTCCATTGTATTTTCTCCCCCCTCTTCCTTTGAAGAGGGGGAGCGAGGGAGCAGTGTGGTGGAGTTCAGCTGCCTGTCAGGGTGACACCACCACAACACCATGCAACATAATCGCTGGGGGATCTTTGCGAGGGTGTTGGGGCCTCCAGAGCAGCCCTCGCTGTCTTCCAGATGCAGAGGTTCCTACCTGGACACAAACAGGGTATGCTGGGGGACAGGATGTGGTCCTGGGATGCTTGACCTCAATTTCAGTTTTATTTTGTCTGAGGGAGCTCTCCGGGATGCTGCAAATGAGGACAGGCTTCCAGGAAGCTTCTCACAACTTCTTAAAATGTGGCACACCTCCCTTTTGCTCACTCCCTCCCTCCTTGGCATCAGCCTCAAGGTTGAACCAGGCGTCCAGGCAGGATCTCTGCGCTCCTGCGTCTTCCTCCAAGTGCCTTATCTTTAGGTAGTCTCTGTGCAAACAGTGTATGTTGGAACACGATGGATTTGTGCAGATGTATTTACCATCCTGAATGCGATTTTAAACAAATTGACATTTTAATATGCATTTATTCCTGTCGCATTAAAAAAACCTGCCGGTATTATGGCAGAATGTGATATATAATGATGTTGTTTAGAGGCAACTCTGTCATTTGGTGTTGTTGACAGTAAAATAAATTAACATAATAAACATAATTTGTTCAAAAACAGCTAAGTAAAAACAGATGGTTAAAATATTTTGGCAGGACCCGTTAGCCCAGGTTTACATGTGTGTTTAGACATTAGTTCTGTTTGCAACATATGTTACATATTTTCTCGATCCCATTTAATATGCAAACACACACCCTTCTCTACAGTTGTATAAACAGGTCCTTTCAGGAGCAGGTGATGGGATGGGTGGAGGTAAGGGGATTTTTTTTCTCGCTCTTCTGACTCAGGACCAGTTTTGAGCTGCGTAAATGGGCGAGGAGAGTAGCCATAGTACTGTGAGAAACAAATAGGACGGAAGGTGGAGCGTAACAACATATTTGTGTACTGACACAACGGGTCTATTACTGGCTGCTGATACCTACTTGTGTAACGCACTGGCCTGCTGCTCGCTCCCCCAGCCACACCAGAACGTGCCGTCCCCAGCCATCAGGCTCCTCGTCCTCCACCTTAGGCAATGCTCACCGCGCTGCCCTGAGCCCTGGCAGGGTTAGATCCAGCCCCACGCCTCCCTTCTCCTCTCTGTGCAGCCTGAAGTGAAAAGAGAGGGAGCAAGCAAGCTGCTCTTTTACAGGAGTCTATCTAGGGAATGGTGCAAGCTGGGATGAAGTCCTTCTTTTTAACCGTTTCTGAGTTGTGACTGGGCTGATACGGGCACATGAATGCTATGAGATTGCTGATGCTTGAAGGTTAAATGCTTGTCGGTCATTTTCAAGGTACAGCAGGTGAAAGTAAGCTTTGTGCTGCAAGAGAAACAAAGGGCATCAGTACCTGGGCATATTTAAATGAGATTATATTTTATAGAAAACACATATACACGTGCACGTGTGCTTAGGGTGCAGAGAAGGTGCACCTTTTAAACATCTCCAGAGCAGGAGGAACATGGACTCATGAACCACAAGTGGCTCTCAGCACACAGCTGCTACTGCGAAGGTTTGAGCCAGAAGTTAACGGTGGTCTTTAGCGCCCTTTCAGGAGAGCCTGGGATGTGGCAATACCACACTGCACCAACGACACAAGGTGAGATTTGTTAATATGTGGACTGGAGAAATCCAAAAGGATGTCAGGGAGGGTGGTGCCAGCAGTGAGAGCTCTTTTCTGTGCATCAGCAGTAACCTGCACATTCAGGGTGCAGAGCACAAGCACTACAGCACCAGGTGGCCTCCAGCTGTCCCTCTGCCCAGCTCTGTGCCCGTCTTTCTCAATCACCTCCCACTTGGAGCCCTGGCTGCAGGAAGGGCTCCGGATGCCCGGAGAGCGTGGGCTGCTCTCTGGGGAAGCACTTGCTCCATTGTTACAGAAATACGTGAAAAGAGGCAGCGTTTTCAGAGGTTCCTCAAAATGTCACCGTCCCTTCCTTGGCATGGCTCTGCGACCTATCTAATATAAAATATTATTTGTGAAACTTCCTTTTAATTGCTGTTTAATGGCTCCTAATATATTTCAAATAGGCATCTGCAAGTTCATTTTGACATTTATTAGAAGCCATTAGATACCAATTTAATGGTGATTTTATGACAAATGTCTGACATCATTAAAAATGTGATGGTTGATAAATTATAATGTGATGTGCTTTTGAGTGTCAGGAAATTAGACTGTTTCCAAATGTGACTGTTTTTGATGTTGTAAATTAAATTTTATTTCCAACTGATTTATGTTTGCAGGCTCTCAAAGTGAAGTGTATCAGAGGCTGAAGAGTTAGTGAGTAAGCAGGTTCTCGTGACGGTAAATCTAGTCAGCCACATCAGTGTGGGTCCTAATGGCTCAATTTGGATGAATAACTTGATTTTTAGAGGAATTTCTTGATTTCACCTACCAGTGTCCCAGTAAGTACCTGCCCCTGCATTAGACTGGGCATTCATTTACCACTTCAGTTGTGAACTCACACAGTGTCACTCATCCTGGGCTGTCACCTCCAGGTACTGTGCAAAGGAAGGGCACAGCGATGGTCCTGCACAGGCATTTTATAGTGCAGGCAGACCCAGGGCCCATGGAACATGGAGACATCATTGGCATTGTGAATAACAAACACTGCTTTTTCAAAAGCTTTTCATAGATGGCATGGCAGCAGAGGTTTTTAGAGATAACTGGTAAATGTTTACTGGAGGACTCATGCTCCTCTTGAGCATGAAAGGGTAAATGGCAGAGGGGAGAGCTGTGCAAACTGCAGCTGGGTGAAAGAGGCTGCCCCAGGATCCTAACCTACAGGGTTCAGGCAGAACATCAGTGTGGTTACCAAAGGAGCACTCTGTCTCAAGTTGCATGGAAATCCCACATTCACACTGATACGTGCACAAAGGAAAGGAGCAGAACCATAAGTGCAGCTCAGATTTCAAAGTGATTGCAAGGCCTACAGATGTGGGAAAAGATGCTGTTTTACAGAGAGACCCTGGCTTTAAGGAGAACAAATTGCTAAGACTGCTGTGTGTGCCTGGATGGAAAACAGGACTTCTCAGGGACAATGGTACAAGTTAGAGGCAGAGAAGGTCACCTCATCCTCCAGAGATGGCAAAAGATTTGTATATGGCTGAGGAGGTGATGCCTTTGCGATACTTGGGATGAGCAGCTCTGGGCTCTCAAGCATAGTGGCAGGTGCTGACAGCCCTGAGCTGCTCTCCTCACAGAAGGCTTCCTATCTCTGTCCGATGGCCTTGTTCTGAAGGCACCCATCCTGCCTAACAATTCTCCCCACTGCCAGCTTCATCAGACCCTCATGGAATAGCACGGGAACACTAAAGATCTGCCTGGAAACTGGGAGATTGTGTTCCCCAGTCTATGTTCGTGAGGAATGTGCCTGAGTGAGTAAAAAAAGCTGAAGGCACGGCATGGCAGCCTCTGGTTTGGCAGAAGTGTCTGCAGCCCCCTGGGGATGCTGGCTGCATGATGCTGGGGAGCCTGACCTTATCAATGCATGTCTTCATCGATGCCCGTATCTGTGCCAGGCTCTTTTGCCACAATGCCTTCCCTCAGCCGAGTATAAGCAATAATCAAACTCAGTACAAAAGAATATTTTGCTCCATGAGGCCTTGAACTTTGAGATGAAGATATCAAATTGTGTCTCAGCTCCTTTCCTCGACTGTCTGCAGTAACTGCATCTCCATTGACTACAGCAAGACCTTAGAAACCTAACTCAAATATGAAATGAGCTTAACCCGTGAGCTGAATCTTGCTTTCTTTTTCTCTCCAAGTGCAAAAGATGTGAGTGAGCAGCAAGGCCAGCAATGGAGGGAAGCTGCAGATGGGAAGATGCCACAGGGTCCTGCCCTGTGGGGAGACTGGGGGGTGAGGGCAGGCTCCAGGAAGGGCAGCTGGAGGTTCAAGCAGCGGGCTGGAGCTGGCGGTGAACTGGGAGCTGAACTGTAGAGTTCTTGTCAGAAACGCTACCACTTACTGACCTCTCCCTGCTTCTCCAGCCAACACCACTGACCCGGTAGCCGTGGCACCTTGGGCTGTCTGACAGCTCTGCAAGGAGCAAGACAGAGCCCTCAGGTGTCAGCCATGGCTTCTTCATTAAATTCCTCACGTGCTGCTGAAGTCTGTGGGCATGAAGCTTTGCAGGGCAGGTAGGAGAAAGCATTGATCTGTCAGCTGGCATGGGCTGCCTGCTCCTCCGCAGGCTCTCCCCCTGGCTGGATCACACTGCAGCCCACTGGGGCAAGAGGCCCTTTGGGGCCTTCCCTGTGCTATTGAGGCACTTCTCCTCCTCCAAGCCCAGGCTGTGAGCCTTCCCCAATTAATCTTCATCACAGCATTCCATGTACCTGCAGGTGAGTGGCTCTTACACGGGCCATGAGTCAAAAACAGCATCCTCAGTGTGGCTGTGAATGTTCCCAGCTCTGACATTGAGCCATGTGGCTTTCAGTAAACCAATACTTTTTTTTTGTTAAATAAGATGCCCTTTTCTGTACACTGCAAGCATAAACTGGAAGAGCTCCATGAAGTAATTGCATGGTGTCAAAAGCTCCAATAAAATTTTTTTAAACCCATCTGGGAGGTGTTTCCCTAAGAAACTAAAAAGGCTATTTTGGCCCCATTAACCTATTTTCTTGTCTGTTTTTCAAGTCTTTGAAATTCTTTCTTTTTCATTTGGGCAAATGTTGTTTTACCATTGCACAGTGAAGTGCGTGGGGTACTTGAGACAGATCATGCCAGAACAATAAAGGCTTGAGAAAAGAACACTTTGCATTTCCATCGCCACTGTGAGTCAGGCCTGCAGGTTTTCTGAAGCTGAGCTTTGCTTCTCTGGACTTGCCTCTGCCAGGAGCGCTGTACGCAGCCCTGAGGTGGGACTGCACAGAGCCATGCCATGCCACGTCTGCCCTTGTGCACGCTTCTCTCTCGAAGCAGAGGCAGCGACCTCAGTCCCTCCCCAGAGCACAAGCACAGAGCAGCACGGATGCTGTACACCCACGTCTGGCACATGTTAAACATGTACCCTGCAACAGTTTCCCCCGGTTGAGAAACCCATAAATGTCAAATGTCTCACTCCAGGACACGGAAACAGACCTGGGGCTGATCCCTGACGCCCACCCTGGTACTGCTGCTGCCCCATGTGCCTTGCAGGGAGCTCCTCTGCAGGAGATTTGTGCTGGTTGCGCTTCTCGCCTTTTTCTCCCTCTCGCTCTCTCCCTCTGACTTTTCCAGAGAGAGAGAGGTGCTGGCCAGAGCCGAATGCACCATTCCAGGAGAGGAAATACCATTATACTGGCATCATGAATGAGAGGGATCCTAGTGTTGTATTTAAAGCAAAGCACGAGCCCTTGGTGCATCTGGGTTCTGTTCTCAGTCATGCTACAGGTTTTCTCTCAAGTTTGTCCTACTTACTCAGAGTCTCTGTGCCTCAGCTTCTCTCCCTGCAAAACCAGGGCTGCAGTACTTTTCCTACACCTTAAAAGTATTGGGGTTGTGAAAGACTTGGATACCTGAGCAGAGATGTAATTAAAAATGTAAGATAGGGTGGATTAATTATACCCCAGGCCTCCGGTAAGAGAAGCCAAATGTGGTTCTGTGGTTTTATAAGGAAGAAATATGCGTTGGGGCCATGCTGTGTCGTCAGTCTCTGCTCCCCGGTGCTGATGTATGGGGCCGGAGGCTGGAAGCCCGAGGTGGGGAGAGCAGGGACGTCCTCGCAGCTGGGGCTGCCAGCGGGGCTGCTGTCCTGCAGCCAAGCAGCGAGGGCCTGATTTCGGAAAGGTGCTGATGGTGCTGGAGCTCCAGCCAGCCTGGCTCTGTAACAGCCTCTTGGCCAAACAGCCCTTTATGTGGTGTATGGTAATGTACAGATGTGCCTCTATCACCTGAATATTCACCACAGCCCACTCAGACAGATTGGCCTTAAGATGAACACTAGACTTCTTGGCACCCACATATTCACAGAATTACAGAACTGTAGGGGCTGGAAGGGACCTCCAGAGATCATCGGGTCCAATCCCCCTGCCAAAGCAGGTTCCCTAGAGCAGGCTGCACAGGTAGGCGTCCAGATGGGCCTTGAATATCTCCAGAGGAGACCCCACAGCCTCCCTGGGCAGCCTGTCCCAGTGCTCCGTCACCCTCACCATGAAGAAGTTCTTTCACATGTTGATGTGGAACTTCCTGGGCTCTATTTTGTGGCCACTGCCCCTTGTCCTGTCCCCACAAACCACTGTAAAGAGGTTGGGCAAATCCTTCTGTCTCCCACAGTTAAGATATTTGTAAACATTGATAAGATCCCCTCTCGGCCTTCTCTTCTCCAGGCTGAACAGGCCCAGGTCTCTCAGCCTTTCCTCACAGGGGAAATACTACTTCGGATAGACCAGGAGTCTCCCAGGGAGAACACCAGAGCGTTCTGCAGGTGCTGTTACGGGTGTGTGTTTGGCTTTCTTGACTTCAGTATGCACAGGTGTGTGGCTTGCAGGGCCTGGACCCCCACAAGAAGGGCACGGTGAGCTCTTTTTGGCCTACGGGCCTGATGGTAAAAGCTGAAACCAACTGCAGGTTCGGCGTGCCTGCATTCCCCCCCGACTTGCTGGCAGCTGGTTCAGCTCCAGTCTTGTTTCTTGTTTTGAGAGGATGAAAAAATGGATTTGTTCCTGCAAACACAGCTGATCTAGATTTGATTTTATTCAAGTCTTTATATCATTATACGGCCTGATCCCTGCAGTATGTACACAAATCTATATAAAAAAATGAAAAGAGACATTTTAAAATACAATTGGGCTTTTAAAAGGCCTGCTTAAATTGTGAGAAATCCTGAACTCCTGGCAGGGATTCTGGTATTCCAGCAAAAAACTGAAGTCCCTTTACAAGACATTTACATTATTGAGCAATCATAAGTATCCATAGTTAAATAATGAAAAAACAGTTTTGCTGCTCCTCTGCTAGTGAGTTGTCAGGAGAAAATAAACCAAAATGTGCAGTTTATGAGCACCAAAGCAGAGCTCCTGGGGGAGGCAGAAAGCCCGCGAGCAGACTGATGGCAGTGGCGAGCCTCTCCTGTGGAAACATGACAGCCCGGAGAGCAGAGACAAGTGGGGAGCTTGCTCGCAGGCCGAGTAAGAGCTGGCTGGGCAGCAGAGCCCTTATTTTCTCTGGATAATTTTTTCCTAAGTGAGCAAATGCCTGCGATAGAAATGTCAAACATTTTCCGAGCGAGATTCCAGGTAGAGAGCGTTGACTCGCGTATCTGAGAAATCACTTAAAGCACAGACTTCGTGAGCAGATGTCAGTGTTTCGGGTCTGTTTGGCATTATTAAAGGCGCAGGTGGCACACTGGCACTACTGCCTCAGCTCTGGGCGGCAGTGGGCATCGCCTGGGGGCTCAGTATCCCGTCACTCCTCCTGAAACCGCAGGCATGGTGAAAGAGGAAAGCCAGGCTGAGATGAACGATACATCTTGAAGTGCATAACTTGAGTAAAAATGAGGTGTGAAGTCCAATTTTAAAATCACATAATAATGTTGATGTTAGCGGTGTGTGTGCCATTTGTCACGTGTAACAGGAAACGCACCAGATCCTTCGTGTCAGCGTAGGCCAAACCTAGCAGACTGTGAAACCCTAGAGAAGAAAGGGATTTAAAAACTGCACTTTGCCTCCAATCTCTCGGTTTCTTGCTGCCTCACAGATTTCCCCAGGTGCTTTCTCATTCTTATCAGCTCCCAGCGGCCTAGGGCTTGCCATCTAATATATTTTTAGAGTGCATTGGGCCCAAATGACCAGTTCTCAGTAACCCAAACACACCGGGTATGGACAAGGCTGCCTTGCAGGGGCTCACCTCTGTGCCTGGCCTGATCCTGCGGCGTGCCCAGCACCTTCATCTCCCCCAAAAGTGCTACAGACTGCTCTCCTGGCTGAAAGGACAGCTCCCTCCCTGCAGGAACGGGGCAGGGAGCCCAGCAGGGCTCAATGCCCAAGGGAGCATCAGTTCCCTTCTCCGGAGCAGCCCCGTCAGGCTCCGCTCTTCTGCCCTTCCTGAGCAGCAAAGCTCCAGGTGGAGGGGGGCGGGGATTCACATCATGATTTCCAGACCCCCAGCCCTAATGTCAATGCTACCCCTTGTGCTTAGAGCAGCATGCAGAGACTTTAAAATAAAACCTGGTGAGCGGCTGATGGATTTTATTTATTTATTTTGTTTTTCTTTAAATTGTGAACATTTTACAGCCCAGGTACAAATGTGTGCAGGTCAGTGGAAGCCACGGTGGGACCACGTGTGTTTCTAACCAAAGGCCAGGAAGATGCGTGTGTGTGTGTCTGTGTGCTGGGCGAGCTTCGTGCCAGGTGGCAGCTGGGACTGAGGCGTTTTCCTTAGGATTTTTTTGCCTCAGGCCCTCAGACTGCTGGGGTTGGAAGGGTTGCTGGAGTAAGAACACGAGGTGAAAGCTCTGGAAAGCACAGCAAGGTCCCACAGGTTTAATTTGAACCTTCTCAAACCACGTGAATTTGGCAGGTTGAGTTTCCAAGTTCATCTGGCTGAGACACAGAGGAATCAAAGAGAAAGAAATCTCCTTTTCAGTTGTTTCCAGGTGGAGCGAGATAACTTGTCTGGCAGCCTCTCAGTGTCCCAGAAACGTGTGATGATCGGTGCTGAAGTGCTTGCCCCTACCCTCTGGGGGAGAGATCAGCATCTGCAATAAACTTGCATTGTCTAAAACATGCCCAGAACAAGAGGATGCTTTTCAAAAGAAGCTGGCGAGTTCTCACCGCTGCCTTCAGCGGCTGCAGTTGAGCCAGCTGCTTTAATAGGGACTTCAGAGTACGCTCTGCTTCCAAAAGAGCAGACCCCCCTTCCCATGCAAAAGGCAACAAGCAACCTAGGGGAAAAAAAAGTGTTTGCAAACACGGTTGTTTCCTTCAAACTGTTTGTTACACGGCTTTCCTTCTCAGCTGGCGCTGCTTTGACAAGCGCGTGTGACTACTTAACGTGGTAATTAAATGCCTTGTGCCACCAGCGCTGGCCCCTCTCAGCACTGATCTGAGCACTCTCAATGGCTCTGGTGCCTGTGCGAGGGGCAGGGAGCAGCACGGCACAGCCCGAGCTGGGCACTGTCCCCCAGGGCAGCGGCCCCATCCCGAATCACAGCAGCTGCCAGCTCCCTTCAGCTTCTCCAGGAAATGTCTAGCCCAGCAGAAAATGAGAGCTGAAGCAGGAGCATTAACTCTTTGCTTTTCTTTGGGGAAATCCCGGGGGGAAAAAAAAAATAAAAAAATTAATTCCTCAGTCATATCCTGGAAGAGTGGTTTGCGTAAGGGATGTTTAGCGATACTGAGAGCCATTTACACCTCCCTACGTGATAAAATATTATGATGATTTATTGCATGAAGAACCTTTTGATTATATTTAATGAGCTCCCATTATATCCATTTATTAGAAGAGAGCCAGTCCTCATTAAAATAATTTCCAGAGTTAAACTGGAAACATTATTAGACGTATTGGGGGTTACAGAAGTCTCATATATGGGAAACGAATGAGTTCACCTGAATGTGAAAGTGTGGGCATCCCTTTAAACATGAGGAAGGCAACAGACAGCAATCGCTCAGCTTTCCAAAACTTAAGTTTTAGCTCTGGTCAATGCTTATTTTCGGGTACTGCATTATTTCTGCGAGCAGCCTTGTTTTCACATTAAGAAATATGTTCGCTGAGGTAAAAGGATCCCAGTTGCAAGTGGATAAGCAGATTTTGTAGTAGATGTTAACTCAATTCTGCAGCCTGAAAATAAATGATGGAAGGGTTTTTGTCCCAGGGAAGCGGGGTGACAGCTTTGTGCCTTGCTCTCAGAGCACCTTGGGCTTCTCTCAGAATGATTTATTTTTCACTTTACTCTGTATTTATTAAATGGTTTGTGTGATGCATTAGAGAGGCTGGAAACAGCAGAAAAATCTCTTTTCCTCATGCACTGCAGATAGCCAGCTACAGGAACACTTCGAAACCCAGCATTACCGGGGCAGGGTGAGTGTCAAACACACTTTTATTTCCTGAGCTACACAAGAAGGGAAAACTCATTGAAATGTTTGCGTGTTTATGCTGGACAGGACAGCCTGAAGACTCTGCTGAATGACACAAGAGGAGGTTAATGTAATTTAAAGACACTGATCAGTAATCACACCATAAAGAAAGTCGTGTTGTGTTTTTTTTTTTTCCTACTTCCCCAGCTCCCACTGACTCCATTGTCCACTGCTGTCAATAGGAATGAGTGCAGTGTCTGCAGTGCTGAGCCTGACATTTTAATGAGCTGAAGTACAGGATTTGAGCAGCACTGAATACCCCAGCCTCTATAGATTACACAGATCTGGGGGAGTGGGAGAGGGAAAGAGAGAGAGAGAGACAGGAAAAAACACTCTTCTTTGGCTCGCTTTACACCAACTGGCGTTGAGAGAGACATCAGCAGGTGATAGGATCAGATCCAAGTCTGGAATTTTTCCTTCAAAATGCCTGCAAAAGACACAGCTTGCAAAGGGGCTGAATAAAACATGAGGTGAAACATTGTGCCTGCCCCACTCGTACTGTGAAGAGAAACCAGTGGTGGAACAGGGGTGCCACTTCCCTGCTGCCTTTAGTCCCAGAAATTACAGCTTGGCCACTCCACAACTGGCCAACAGATGCCCTCGATACACTGGAAAGCTTATTTCAAAATTTCTGTGATTGTTTCACAACTTTTTTTCCTAACAAAAATATTGCAAACAGTGCCTGACCATCAGCTCCATTGGGCAAATAAATAATTACTGTGGATATTTGTACTATATGTGTTAGACAGTCATGTTGCAGTACAGCTTGGAGCACCTGAAATGGAGCACTTGAGTGGTGTGTGTGGTCACGGAGCCACAAATGACACCCAAAGGCTGACCTAAAGCGTCCAAGGTACGTGTCAAAAGGTGGGAGGTGTGACCTCACCTTGCCTGCATCAATTGGAGTGGGAGGTGAAGGTGCTCCTCTCACAAAACAACTTCTCATCTGTAAGGTGAAGCAAATCCCTGTGATGGTCTTTTTTTTATTTTTCTTTTCTTTTTTTCCTTCCTTCCTTCCCTTCCCTTCCCTTCCCTTCCCTTCCCTTCCTCCCTTCCCTTCCCTTCCCTTCCCTTCCCTTCCCTTCCCTTCCCTTCCCTTCCCTTCCCTTCCCTTCCCTTCCCTTCCCTTCCCTTCCCTTCCCTTCCTTCCCTTCCCTTCCCTTCCTTCCCTTCCCCTCCCTATCCCTGACACCACAGTGCCAGGTGTGTAGGATTTTCCTCTCCGTAGCCCCGTGGGATGTTCCTCCCACCAGAGCAGTGTGTGTGTATCTCACCTCTCCAAAACAGTTTCCCTCCATTGCTTCATTTCCCAGAGGCTGATCAGCTGCCGTGGGTTAGCAGAAACACTCAGCCACTATCACCTGCCTTAATTTGGGTTTCATCCCCAGGAAGACTGCAGTGTGCTGAGATCACCGTGCCGCTGCTGATGTGCTGCCAGTGGTGCAGGGATCACCGACCGCAGCCAACTCTCCCTCCTCGTGTCCTGGCCGTGCTCGACAAAGCCCACGCAGAGCAGGCGCTGTGCCTCCAAGCTGTGCGAGCCTAACGCAGGACAAGTTTCTGGCTCTGATGCACGTTATTTTTATACCTGGAGCAGTTTTGTGTAGGCCAGGGGGACTTCCAGGACTGCTAACTACCACCTTCAGATACTTGGCACCGTTCAGAGCGGTGCGTCTTCACATAAAGCGCATTTTTTCCTGCCCATAAATTCATCCCGTTACATCTAATCTTAGCCCCAAATGAGCCACCCTCGGTGTTTATAGCTTTCGAATGCTTGCAGAGGGTTATCATATCCTCCTCCTTTAGTCATCGCTTGGCCAAGCTGCTTGTGCTGAATTCTTTCAGCCTTTCCTCACCCCGACGTTCCCTCCCACCACTCACTCGTGGGGGTGTCCTCTGCTGCCTGCAGCACCCCAGGCCTGAGGAGCACAGAAACGATGCCAGGAGCCCAGGTGCGTGCCCCTTGCCTGTCCCAGAATATCCTCTAGCTTTGTTTAACAAGCATCCTTCCTATTTCCAGCCTGCCCGGTCACACAGGCAGGAGCAGCGGTGGCCAGCTGACCCACATGGCCACGCAGGGTGAGGATTTCCAACTCCTGCAGTGACCTGCAAGGTGCCCCAGGGTCCTCAGGAGAGATGATCAGGGGTTATTTCCAGGCAGCTCTTTGGGATTAGACACAAGAAGGGACGTGTCCTGATTTTTGGATGTTGAGTGCTTGTAGTTTCCGTCAGTGATTCTGGCCATCCCGCTGCCTAAGGAACGGAGCTCTTGAATTTCACCTCTGAAATTACTTTTGTGGAGGTGACCAAATTTCAGCGCTTTTGGAACTGCTTGCAGGCACGTGTGTGCATTATTGGTTGTGTGAGTGTTCTGGTTTTGGAGACAGAGACCAGGCAGAGGGACACTGGTACTCCACGCAGCACAGGGGGGACGAGAGGCATCACGGGGAGCCTGTGGCCTTGCTTGGGAGTGAGGGGGCTGTGCTTCAGCCAGCAGGCTGTTGCATATTTTTCTTCTTCAGAAATAGTCCAAACTGTCTCACACCTCCCTAAGTTGCTTTCCTGAATCCAACCGTTTAATCAAACTGGGCTTTATTTTTTTAATTCTTTATGTAAAGTTACTCCTGGTTCACGAACATTTTCGGCAGCTGTTCTCAGCCTTTCATCACCGCACCTCTCGCTTCCTCGGGGCTTTTTCCCACTCGACGACGGAGGCATCGTGTCTGCCAACACGAAGTGAGCATTCTTAATTTCACTGCCCTGAGCCTTTAGAAAACTGGCTCTTCAGCAGAGAATGGCTTACGTTTCACTCGACTGCAAGCGATCCTGCAAACTAATATTTACTAAGTCGGACTTAATCCGTGGAAGGTTTCCCATACCCAGCTGTCTGGCACCTGGGCAAGCAGGGCCAGCTCCACAGAGAGGCTGAGGCGACGTGACCAGCCTGCAGATGACACAAAGGAGTCACACACACAAACTCCCCCTGCCTTGTCCCCTCAGCTTTCCCCCCTCTGGCTTCCCCGGCACGCAGGGGAGGAAGGTCATCACCTCGTCAGCACCAAATGGTTGGGGAGATGACCTAGAACATCATGAGGTCTGCAACTCCTCATGCTGGACATCAAACCCAAATCTCTCCACAGCTCTATAGTGTCACAGGGTAAAGGCAACTCAGTGCTGCCTCCACCAGCTCTGCGCCTTGTGCAGAGCTATCAGTGGAGCACCCTGTGTCTTGGGGTCCGTCAGAGAGGGGAGCACAGCACAGCACAGCAGTAGATAGGAGGGCGAGAGCAATTGCTGGGGTGCAAGGCAAATTCCCCATGCACAGCCCTGGGTTACTGGGAAAACTCAAGCACCTGTAGCAACAGTGTGATTCCTCTCTCTTCACTCAGACTGCCATAGTGGAGTTATACACCTTGGGCTCCTTCAAAGTCAGTGGGGAAAGGGAAAAAAACATTTGGATACAGTCCTGATTTACCTACCTCTTTACAGATGAGACAATTCAAATACTAGAATCCAGCAGCTGAGCTCAGTAGGGCTCTGCTGGCTACAGATCTCACCCATGGTGAATGCTTCTCCAAAGCATGGAGCCATGAGCTGGACTCATCTCTGTAATGTAATGTAATCATCTTTGCAAGCCTGAAGGCTGACAATGGACAAAAGAAGGGGTCGGCAGGGCATTGCAGTGGTCACAAGGACAAAGCCATTTATAGATGGTTCCATGCCCTCTCTTATCTTGCCCATTCCTGGTTACCTCCTCTGTAGGCAGGAATAAAAGATGAGGAATTATTGGGCTTTCAGCTTTAGCAAGTGCCACAAAAACCGAGGAGAGGAGCCCAAATGATGTAGCTATCCTGGCTCTCAAGTCTGTGCTTACCCCACACCAGAACCAGGGGAAACAGCCCTGAGGCATCCTTTTGGTGGGCTGGGAGCCAGTGCATGTCCCCTGATGTCAGTGCAGTGCTGCGCCCAAGCTAACAAATCCAGGGCTTATTAGCTCAGGTGCAATGCCAGCAAATGTGTCAGTACTGCCTTCAGACCCACACTGCCACGTCTGTGCAACACAGGGCTGCACCTTGTGCTGTTACCAGCTCCCCGTGCATGGGCAGCTCTGGGCTGTTAGGGTGTATATGGCTCAGGGTGTATATGGCTCATAACCACTGCTTGCTGCAGGCCAAATGTGCGAGGCTCACCTCCCTCCCACTTTTATATACACAGTAAGAAACGCCATAAATAAGTCATTGCACGTGAGAGAGAAGAAAGTCCAAGCCTGGTTTTGGTCACCCATTTGGATCTACGCTTTGGGAATGAGCAGACTGCCAACACCCCACTCCTGGTGCTTCCTTCGGGCTGTGCGGCTTCACCTGGGCCATAAGTATCCTGTCCCCCAGCCTGTCCACATCTCTTCCACTGCACCATGTTTGTCCCAGCACTTCTGGCCTCCCTTTATATCTCCCTATTTTTAGCCTTCAGATTTCTGGAGACACCTGTGCCTGTACCACTGGGAGGTTTTTGGGACATGTGTACCCCTGAGTGCCTGAGGGAAGGCGTTGGACTTGGTCAGCCTCACTCAAACTGACCTCACTCTCGTAGTTCTCACGTCCTAGACAAGGTACTAAAAGGCATCTTACAGGTTGAAATCGTTGTGACCCCAAGATGCTTTCAAGAGATATGATGTCCGTGTGTGAAAACACACTGTCACCAGTGCAACATGGCAGGAACACCGCTGTTGGTTACTCCATTTAGCCCTTTCCAACAGCTTTCCCACTGCAAGGTGTGAAGCACCTGAGCATTGTTCCTACTCTAGTATAAGTTACTTGAGTGAGCAAATGACGTGCTTAAAAATCATAGTTGTGTGTGTGATGGGGGCCAGTTTCTCTGCAAACCACCGTGCTGCCATGACCTGGTTGTGGAGTACAAGCCCCCCTCCAACAGCCCTGGCCCTGGCCCCCCACAGGAGGAGGCATCAGCACCAGCCCTGCTCTGAACCCGAGCCCCACACGCCAGCAGAGGCTTTCCTCCTTCTCCTTTCATCACCTCAGCCGAGCTGACATTTCCTGCCCCCAAATCTCCTGTTTCCCCCGGCAGGGGACGGGCTGGAGGAGCCGCACGAAGCCCCCCGGCCTCGCCCTCACGGCCGCCGCCCTGAGGGGGAGCCGCGGCCCGGAGCTGGGCGAGGCGGAGGTGCCACCTGCCGGCCGCAGGGCCCCATGGCAGCGGGCCCCGGCCATTTGTGTGGCCCCAGTCACACTTGACCCTGTTGTTTTTTTTGTGGTTTGGTTTGGTTTGGTTTCTAACCATGTTTTTTGGCGTGCCCGCGGTGCCGAGGAGGCGCGGTGTCAGCCTGCGTGAGGTGCGGTGACCGCGGCGCACATGGTGTGGCGTGAGGGTGAAACAAGAACAATCTGCCATTAAACTCAAACAGGGCCGGCAGCCTGCTGCTGCTGCTGAATGTAAAATGGAAACACATTGTAGTCACGCAGTGCTGGCACTGCCCCAGCAGTTTTTCCTTGTCTCTCTCCCCTTCCCGGATGCCATCTATTAGGGGCATCTTCTCACTAGCAGGCATCCTCAGCCTGCCTTCCCTGGGCTCTGCCGTCCTCCCCACACACAGCTCAGTCCCTGCTCTGGAACATGCTGCTTCAAGGAATTTAAACATTTCTTAATGACTTTGGCTAAGCGAGGGGAAGATTTGGTGGATAACCTTTGGGAGGAACAAAGCTGGGGACAGGAGGACGCTGCATGCACTGGTGTGTTCCCAGAAGGTCCACCTCAGTCATATCCAAATATGACTGGATATGACCAGGATATTTCTCAGATATGACCTCAGTCATATCCAACATGGGACATCCTGCTTTGGAGACATGACCTGCAATCAAATCTGCTGCTACCAGCTTCTCACAGACCACGGCCTGTTCTGTGTTATTGTAAATGAGGCAGCTGCAGGAAGAGCCTCAGTTGAAATAATGCATGTGTCTTATGGTCTCTGAACATCAGCAAGTAGGGTTTATTGGGAAAGGTGGTACCTCATTTGACCAACCTATGCAGGCTCCTCAGAAACCTCACCTTATTATGTCTTTGCACGTATTTTACAGACAAACTGTAGATCTTCTATGGTATGTACTCTGTCCAAACTAGTAGCAAAACATATCTTTAGTAACCTTACTGAGAGAAAACAAAATATATATATACACATTTTATATAAAAAAAAATAAAGCAAAAGGAATTTATATCTGCTGGTCAATACTCCAGTTGTCAGAGGTCTAACACACTCTGCTCTCCTTGCCATGACACGTTCCTGCTCCTCTGCACCCCCCACACACCCTGGCTTTGCCTGCTTGCTGGTGTGCACCACCTGAATAAGGAAGCAGGGAGCCTCTGTTATCCTTTTTCTTTGGATTTGGTTAATTATTTTTCCCCAATGGCCCAGGCAGTGAGATTGACTTGGTGATGGTTCAGAGGTTCTCATCTTCACAGCCTGGAGGGCTCCCACTTGTCTCTCTATTGTTCAGGCTCTGGACTCCCAAAATTTGTTCCTGTGCTCTGTAATTTTGGTGTAATTTTGGCCAGTTTTTCTGTGCCTCGCGGCACTCAGAGTGTTGAGTGTTGCATCTGCTTTTGCAAAGTTCATCTTGCAAGTCTTCATTCATCCAGTAATCATATGTTGGCAGAATGTCTGGCTCTATCTAAACCAAAAAGCATTATAAAAATTAAGTCTATTTTGCTGGAAATATTGATTCTAAAGTAAACCAGAGGCTCCTGGATAAAGTCAAAACCTCAGGCTATTCCTGGTAGTCTTCTTTTTGCAAAGTGTGCTAAATTGCTTAGTTTTTATTCCTCTGGTGTGGTACGGTGTGGCACAGTTCTGCTTCTGGCCTGCAACCAAATTTTAAAATCCTTTCTGAAATAGAGAATCATCTTTCCCAGATCACTAATAAATCATGCAGAAAGAATCATGGAAAAAAAAAAAAAAAAAAAAAAAAAGAGACTTCAATGAGATGAAGGTAGCAATCAGAGTTGGAAAAAGGAAAAGTATTAGAACTAGTTTAGATTTTTCTTGGAAACTACTTGCATAAATGACTGAAGTTCAAAAAGCTCTAAAAGTAAAAGAATAAAATATTGCCTAGGCCCCCATAAATAAGCCAAGCCAAATCAATTACTTTTCTCTCTATAAGTCACGAGCAATTTATAAAGCGCAGAATGAACAATGATTTCTGTGAGAACAGAGGCACTTATAATAAAGTGTTACCACTTCAACAACGTTATTATATACAGCATCCAATTTATGGAGCTGGGCAGCAGGAACCTTTCTTTGCAGTAAGTTGCCATTACCGAGAGTAGCGATCATATCAAGGCTACTATATGTTTATTGGCTGCACAAAGACAATTAACAACCACACAAGTAAACAGTTACCCGTTTGCATAGTAAATACCTAAATTAAAGGGATTAAATATGAGTGCTGCTATCACAGCTCAAGTGGCTCAGCAATTGCTGCTAGAAAACCGATGTGCTGATTACTGCAGCCTGGAACCAGGGGCTGCAGGGAGGGGCTGAGCAAACACAGCCCCCGTGGTAAGTGTGAAATTGAAGGCAAACAGCTTCAGCTCTAAGTTAATTCATCAGGTATGAGCCAGCATTATGGCAAATGGGGACACCACAGGTTGCTTTCTTCTCCCTCCTCTCGCTTTCCCAGCATTGCACATCGCCCAGGAGTTTGGGGGGGTGCAGGTCATGTTTGTAGCACTGGCAGCAGCAGCCAGGCTAGGTAACCCCTCACGGCCTCTTCCAGCTTGGTTGGGGCTTCAGATGTGCTACTTGAAGTTTTCTTCAAATGCCCCAGTTGCTTATTGTGAAGAGAGAAGACAACAAAACTGTTCCTTATGTGTAAATATCGTGTCTTTTAGCAACAGGATGTAAGAAACTCGTCCTTGCTGTGGGAACATATCCCTGCTCTAGCCTGAGGGGTGACACTGAGCAGGAAGGATTTACAGAGCTTTGTACAGGCCGCGCTGTAGGGTCTTGCCAAGAGAAACGGGTGCTTTCTGCTATTTGTCCGTGAGTCAGGACTGCACGTGAACCTCAAGTCTTGGGGCTGCCCTTACATTGTGACTGACTGCAGAAGCAGGATGGGGCCATCTCTGCTCCTTGGGCTTAGAGAGAGCACAAGATTTGGGGTGGAAGAGCGTGAGGATGCAGCCCCTGCTGCAGATCTTGTGTGCCTGCCTTGGCTGCTGGGCACCTCACATGGATTTCCTGAGGAACTGAGGGCAGGGAGCACACAAAGGCAAGGCAGCATCCTGGGCTCAGATGATCAGCCACATGCTGCTGCCCCATGAGAAGCAAGAGGGACCCTGTACCCAAAAGGAATTCCCTGCAGCATCAGCTCTCAGCTGCCAGCATGATACTGGGAGAGCAAAATGGGTGAACAAGGGCTTCGTGTTTGAGTAGTGACCTGGGTGTGCAGGCTGCTGCCTCCTATTTCTGGGCTGTGCTCAGCTATCCCACTCCCATCAGAGCACCACAGGCTTTCAGAAGAGTTCAGAATCAGCTTTCACTGTACTACACGTGGGTCCCCAACTCCTGCCCCACTAAATACACGTTTGTGAGACTGGTGGTGTATGGAAACAAGCCCCCCCAGACTGTAAAGATTAGCTTTTAATCCCGACTACCTCCCTTCCATCTTCCTTCCCCTTCTGGCTGAAGCATATGGGCTGCAAATTTTTCGGACAATGTTTTATTTGCTGTTTTGGCATGCTAATGTGTCCAGCCCATTTCACTGCTAGCAAAGCCTTACATGTGCAGGAATGTGGGTGAAATCAAAGAGCAATATTTTTAAGTCAGGACCAATCAGTTTTAAACCACGGGAGATAAGTCTCGGAATCCTGGCTCGAGACTGGAAGCTGCGAGATCGATAGAATTTGCATTTCAGGGAACCATGTTGATAAATAACAAGTACATTAAGGACAATAAAAATATTTTATGTTCTCCACAGCTTTGAGTTGCTTTCGAAGTTTTCTTTTACAAAGTTAGGAGCAAAGCACTAAGAGGTTGGATTCTGTTCCAGTTCCAGGAACTGGGACACAAGATACCAAATCAGTTAAAAATTACGGGAACTCCAAAAGCTGACAACATTTAATTATATTTCACTGCCTGCAGGCCCCTGTGCCTGCTGTCACCCTTTTTAGCTGGGTTTGCAAAAGCTTTAGAGGTGGATGTTGCCCTTCAGCAGCACTTGGAGGACTGATAGCGTTTTCAAAAAAAAACCCAACAAAAATAAATGATGCTACACTGACAGAGGGAAAAACAAGGTCAATCATGCTATGCAAATCAGCTCTCTGTTAGAGAGAAAATCAAAACAGAGGAACGTGCTACCCCCACGGTATAGATTGAGCATGAATAAACAAAACTTAATTCCTGCTTGATTTTATCACGAGAGGGTGAAAGAGAAAAATGCATAGGTGCAAAAGTACTTAGACAATAGCATGAAGGCAGCAGTGACTTTGGAAACCTCTCAGTGCTTGAAAAATTATCTTGTCACTAAAAAGCCCTGCATTTTCAAACTAAGAGTGTATCTCTTCCAGAAGCTATAGTTGAGGACTTCTGAGGAAATAGCAGTATGGGACACTGCATAGGAAGAATCTTGGCTCGGAATATTGTTGCTGCCCTTTTATTGTGTTATTTTCAGTTCTTGACAAAAACCAGTATGAAAAGACATACACCATTTCTGAAAATTTACCTGTAATATCTCTCATCAGCTGAACTGTGTTTGTGTGCTTCTGTACTTTTGATTTATTTAGTTTAAGGCTAGCTTAATTTCTTGACTGATCTTTCAGAACAAGACTAATTTTAACTATGGAGTGATATTTACTGCAGACTTTCATTAAGTCTCTACCTTTCACACTTAGAGATCCTACTTCACTCCCTTGGGCCTAAGAGGAGAACTGCAAGACCAGCAACAGTCCCCACTCCAGGTGGTCACTCTTCAACGAGGCAGGAGGAGTTTCCAATGGCTGCACTGCAGAAGACAACTTACTCATGCTGGCAGGAAGCAAAACGTGAAATCCACTAGGCCACCAGAGGGGAACCACACAAGTTGTTATAGAAATGCCAAATGCCTGGAAAACGTTTCAAGCAATAAAGATTTTTTTTTTTTTTCACTTGATTATTCTATCCAATATGCTAATTAGCTGAAAGAAAACAATTCTGACTTCAGTGTTAATTGAAAAGAATGAACACAATGCCATACTCATTTTCAGTTCAAGTTTTACTCCCAATTGCACAAAGGTTGAAAAGGTTTTCAAAGGTTGATAATCAGCATAATTTGGTTTCATGTATAAAACAGGGCAACTCAGAAGATACAGGAATTGTGTGACTGTTCCAACATGCAGCATGGAAGTGTTGTACAACCTAGTTTTATCTCATACAATGTTTTTTTTTTTCCAGATTATCTGCTTGCCCAATTATACTCAATATACCCAATTATACTCTGTACAATACCTACAGACACCTAAGGTTAAAGTATTTTGATAAAATACCATGTTATGGAAGATTCCAATGAATTAGTACAGTTTACAGTACAAAATAATGACAAGTCAGAGCATTGCTAAGAGTTTATTTCAGAAGCTTTTACTTTCAGTTCTTATATCACAAAAGACATGTTTAATGTTTACAACAAGTATTAGAAACTGAGATGTTTTTATTTCTACTGTTATAAAAGTAACGTAGGAGACCGTTCTAAGCCATCTTCAAAATGCAGACCAATCTTTTTTTGTATATAAACTGTACACAAAAAACAAGGCACTATACATTTTTGGATATTAAAGTATAAAGGTCGATTCGCATAGTTTCTCAAGAAATCCATGCTATAAATACAAACGCTTTGTTCAGTTTAGCACCTGAAGCAGCACTGAGAACAATTCATTACCTATTGCAAAGAGAAACTTTTCAGAATGCTTAAGAGATACATGTTGGTGGTATAGCTAATTCAGTACAAGCAACTGCCATCCAGCTACTTTTCTGTATTTTTGACATGAAAGTCTCGAAAGTGAATATATATTGCATTGTTAAATACATACTTGTTCTATGTGTTTATATAAATATAAATTCTTTGTAATCCACAAACTAACAAAATAACACTTTACAAAGAGAACTTCTTCAAAAACAAAATGGCAAGTATTGTATAGAGCCAAAGGACAGCTACAGCAGTAGCTTGAGAAACTACTGGTTAAGTGCATAGGAGAGCAGAGCTTAAACACATTACCTTTAAGAGTCAAAATCAAATTCCATTTCCAAAGAGTTCTCTTGGCCTTTTATAATATTACACACCTCCAGATAGGTAGTCACTAATAACTTCAGATTATTTCTATTTATTTTGTAAATGTGGGGTACAATTCTGCTAAAGGGCATAGAAAGTGAAAACAGACATCCCTTTAGAGCTCACTCCAATAAACACAGCTTAGAAAAGTCCTTTTGCCTTCTTCAGATTAACCTGCTTCCACGATGGCAGTGCATTGTACTCTTCTCTCGTCATCTCTAATGCAACCTGCATTTAAAACAAGAGGATACACTATTAGTACGAACACCTACACGGAGCAAAACTGCCAAATAACAGCAAGGGTAGACGTACATGCAGAGAGTAACAGTGCACCCCTTCTCTCCTTACCTCGAAGTCCTCATCTGAAAGATAAATTTCAAGCTTCAGTGGATCAACTCCCTCAGGTAAAGGCCTGGCTAAGAGATCTGCTAGTGGATACACAGTTTTACACAGCTTGGCCAGCACATCCTCTACAAGGATTATCTGATTAGAAACATCGGCATCCTGTGGGGAGAAAAGGGAAAACAGTAAGTTCAGGATCACAGTACTGAAACCATCTGATAAAAGCAACTGTCTGTAGATGGCATGGGATCAACCCATACTGCGTGGCCCATGGAGCACAAAGCTACACCTGCAGATCCACGCAGCCTACCAGCCTTTACCTACAACAATTTCACACAAATTTCACAATGTCTGTGCTTTGCAGAAGGATGTTGTGTACTTTAAGAATCCCAGTTTAAGGCTGACTTCTGTGTTTAGTCATAAAGCCAGCGTTTTCCTCTAAGGACAGCTGCAGAAGCAGCAAATGTCGTTTGCCTTGAGATCTCCCTTCACTGAAGGCTTTTAAAGCAGTCATGTAATTCGGTGTGAGCGTGCTTCCCAGATGGGGAAGTCGGTGCTGGAGCTCTTCAAGCAGCTGACTCTTTGCATGGCATTTCACTCCTCAGCTCATGCAGCTTGGAGGACTGACCAGAGCTGCAGGTCGGTGCCTGTTCCACAAAGCCAAAACAGCTGTTCTGCTGAACTCTAGCACATCTGTTTCTACGAAATGATTCAGGCACCACTTCTCTGTAGCCCCAATTTTTAACAAAAAACAGCATTAGAAGTTACATGGAAAACAACTGGAAATGCCTCTGATAGCCACACTCCCAGTCAGAATTCAGCTATGCTGTTTTTTTTTTTTTTTTTTTTTTTTTTTTTCCCATGCAGATTCCTAAACTGTACTTTATAGGTTTACCCTCTGAATTTTTGGGCTTGACAGCACAAAACAGCAATGCTACTAACAACACAAGACACACTTAGTAGCAATAGGCAACAATGAAAAGATTTACCATTTCTGTGATCTCTGCGATGTCTTCCCTGTGTTCCCAGCTTGGGAACATATTAGTGAAGGTCAGAGGCTCTAGGCCAGCATGAATTAGATAGGATTTTGGGGGCTTCTTTACATTTTTTCCTAAAAAGCCAAAACACAAAAAAGAGAAATTAAAAATTGCACCACATTTTCTGGTGTCACCCACTACACAGAACTACCTTGTAAGCATGTTTAATGGACTGTCTCCTAAAAAGCTGAAGTAGTTTAAGGCATTAGGAATAAATTTCACCAGGATGTTTTTTTAATGTAGTATGGCAACTTTTAACATCTTTTTCAGTATTTTCAAATACATTTTCACAGTATCTGACCACAAAGATCAAACAACGTACACTGAAAAAAAATCCACATTTACTTCCTAACCCAATCTATGCCTTGTCTTACAAGAACAGAGCGAGAATAGAGCAAGCAGAATGTGATTGTCTGAAATTAGCCAAATTCATGTAAATAAAACCTCCTAATATGCTCAGTGTCCTGCAAGCAAATAAAGCTTAAGCTTGAAGGCTTAAGTAAGAATGTGTAATTGTCCTTAACTCAGGATGCTGACAGCATTTTGTTATTACCAATTCAAAGGAACAGCATCTGAAGAATACCAGGGCTATTGCAATAGCTGGTTGGTAATTACTGGTGATCTTCAAGGCAGTCCCATTTGTATAAAACAGGTATGTGTATACATTACATAGCACATGGCAACAGCCCTGCCTGAGAGAGATGCCGTATCAGAGGAGTTGAATGCGTTACACTAAGTACAGCAGAATAAAGGCCCTGCTGTTGACTGAATGAATTCATAACCACGGGGATACAAAAACACTGTTAAAACTCCAAATGTTATTGGAAAGAGGCAGACAAGGCAGGGAGGAGCTATTGTTCAAAAAACTCTTATACCTTCATCTTAGCTGGATTCAAACAACTCAGTCAAATCATACCATTCTTCCAGACAGATGGAAAAGCTGCACACATTGCTAAGTCCAGAATCAAAGCAGTATTGCTAATAGAGCAATATTACACCAACTTGCTTCTGAAGGCTGTAACTTTTTGAAAAATTCTACGATCTCAGAACATTTTTAATATGCTAAGATTTCCTCAAGAGTATACAAATCTACTCAAGACGAGCTCGCTTACTGCAGTTTCCACCTACGCTTCATTTGTGTGGGCTGTGAAGCTCGAAGATCTAGAAGAACACAGCCACCACCTACCCACGGCCAGGGAGCACCCCATGAACTGATGCAACACCTGTGCTGAATGCAAAGAGAGAGCCTGGCTGGACATCATTGTTCCAGTAAGTTTGCAAAACCTGAACATGACAGGTTTGGCTTAACATCAGGTATTAGCAGCAAACTGTTCAGAGAGAATATGTTAGCATGAAACTCTGAATACTGCAGATAAAAGCTCCGTGAAGTAATCAAACAAATGTATCAGAATGTGAATGTTTTAACTACACAATTCAGACAGATTTATCATCCTGATACTGGATTTTAAGTCCTCTCTTCCACGTATTTATTTTCCCCTGTGGTTTATTTGTTCATTCTACCATGAACGATTCAAAAAGTACTTAAAAACTTTGTGTTCAAAAAATTCTGCTCTAATTGAACTGCTCCAGTCTCAGTAATTTAGCCAAGAGATAAAATTGAAGTAGCATTTGATAATGGCCCAGTATAGGTGTAACCCTCTGGTAAGACTGACTTCATACATAACCAGAAAAATATTTTCATTGCATGAACTCTGCCCTCATCACAAGCTGATCTCCTCAGTAAAAATCCCTGATGGCCAAACCAGATTCTTCCCTCTCCTGGCTGTCTGCGGCTCAGCTCTCCAGACTGCTGATTTAGCAGACAAAAACACACACAAAAAAAAATCAATACATTTTGACAAGTTAAATAAAATTTATGCACAAGGAGAACTGATTAGGTATATTCAAGGGATATTCAGAGTTGCTAATCAACCTTTTTTATATCTTCATGTAGTTAAACATGGCAAGAAAAAGAAAAAAGTGAGACAGAGGACAAAAGAAATGGAAAGAGAAAAATAAGAGAAAAGTCTTTTAATGCTTCTGATCACTCTTATACATTCTGATAGTACAATATTTGCAACATTGGTATCTCCTGGTGTTTATTTTCTCCACCTTGATAAGGTAGTCAAACCCGATAGCCTGATACAATGAAATTTTGAATTGGTTGACAAAACAGCCCAGTGGCAGATCATGAAAGGACCAGCAAAACAACATAGCTTGAACAGTAAAAAACTGCCAAAGATCCTGTTCTGTGACTTTGACATCAACTTTGCAATTGACATAATGCACAGAATTGGTCTTTTAAGAGTAGTAAACTTGCTCTGTACCTATCCAACCACACAGCTCCAAGCTCTTGAGAACAACCCCAAGGCCAAGAGGGAAAAGCCATCACTGCTGCAAAGTTATGGCCAGGGGCTAAAAAGTTAGTAGCCAGAAAAAAAATATGTATGCTAAACTTCAGACCCATGAGGACTCACTGAGGAGCTTTCCACTGTGCAAACTCAGATACAGCAAAATTACCCCAGTGCAGAAGGTAGGTGTTAATCCATCTTCCCATCATCTAACTCAGTGATGTTCAAGCCATGTGGGAAATAATCCAAAACTCAGCAGAGAGTATCAGATTCCATCTTTGCTGGGGCCAGATGATATGATTTTCTTAACCAGAAGATGACAGCTCTACATGAGGAATACAGCCTGGGGGAATCTTCCCTCTCTCTCACCAGCCTGCTGCGCTGCTAGGCACTTCATTGTACAGGCTCTGCTCCTCTATGCTGACATTTGCTTCTGCTGTGAAGCCCACTGTATGGAATGATCTCAGAGGCACATATTATTGCTCCTCTGGACTTGCAAAAAAAAATTAAATTGGGGTGGATGTAGGAGGAGAAGGAAGTAGCTAGCCTCTTCTTTAGGAATTCAGCAGTCCCTGCCAAAGACTTTTCCAACTCCTGCCTTGTCTTTAGTACCCCATTCCTGAAAACATGCTGTTGCTGATCAGAAGACAAAGTACACAGGTTAGCAATATAGTCTCATAAAGGTCACATTTCAGTGTCTCCACTGCTAGCCATCTCCTGCCAGGTATTACCAACTCCCCTCAGTGACATGAGCCAGCTGAACAGAAACAGAGCAATTGCTTCTGCTCTTATTGGACCTGCTGACTGGGAAGGAAAGAAAGGAAAGGCTGGCTTTATCCTCATGGTAGAATCCAACAAGGATGTTGCTCTCCCTCTTCAAACATACAAATGTCCATGACAGAAGTTGACAGTTGTTAACAGCTGTTTTACAAGTTGTAAAGTTTTTTTGCTACAGAAAAAAAATCAGTATTATCACGAGGTCTCTAGGTCCCTAAGAGATAAGCCTTTCCTTGCAAAAGGACATAGTTTGCACCAATTAAGGCCTGGCAACTTATTGACAATGAGAAGTGCTCTGAACTAACAGAACATGGGTGTTACTGTGCCTTCTTCCCTGGACAGTACCCACACACGTTTCTTTTATCATCCTCCACTGGAAGTTGCAGGGTCTGTTTCCAGTCTCACGTAACCTTAGATGAAATGAAAGGAAAGCACTACAGTGCCCCAAGGAAACTATACTAGTGCAGAAGAAAATCTGGTCAGAGTACCCTTACATGATCATCAACTGCAGCTTCAATCACTGCTCACTGAGCAGCAGTAGCTCTGCCTTACAGAAATGAATCTAGGAAACTACTGAGAAAATGCCTCGGCTCTGTGCTCCAGCTTTTCCAGCAGCCACCTGCTTCTGTGTGAGACTTGTTCTGGATCTTCAAAGACTTTCCATCTGCCCCACTAAACCAAAACCCAGTTACATCAGCAAACAGTATTTTCATTCAGTCTTTTGACACACAGAAGCTTATGAAATTGAAGAAGCGCTAGACAGAAAGCATCAGGTTTAAGCAACTCTGTTCTCAGAATCCACTTTTAAAAATCTGATGTCTGAATCATGCTCCCACAATGAGGGCATGGTAGGGAAAAAAAAGCACTTCCTTTAAGAAATGGGTCACCAGAGTAATGTGGCAACTTGGGAATAATGCCATTACTGGGCAGAAGGTTTGCTAATAAAGAATGGGGTATGTACCTTCAAACATACTCGTATTTATTAACACCATTGGGGGAGCACCTGAGTGACTACCCTGGGACAGCAATGTGTGGAAGGGCACGACACACTCAGAGCAGCCAGGCACAGCAATCTGTTACCTTTGCAGTACTGGAGCACTGTCTCCATCGCGCTTTTCCTGTCTGTAGCCCACCTGATTCGAGCTGATCCAGCAATTTTGTTTTCCACAGGCCACCAGCCTTGCCACAGGTACACTTCATGGTGATTGTCAACAAGGAACAGTGCTATAAAGCCAAAAAGCAACAAATCCACCATTAGGCACTTATTAGTTCTCTGAATTCTGCAAATAAATTCAGCCTTACATGTTTGTCAGCATCAGAACAGGATCATTTCAATGCTTACCAATCCCTTTTGTTATTCATCCAGCTGAACTTCAGCTGAACCCAGATTTTCTGATATAAACAAGGTATTTTTATAGCAAGCTTTTGGAATACATGCATGTTTGATTAGTTCTCAGCATCTTCATTGTCGAAAAATTACTTTTATTGCTTAATGCTGTATAAGCATCACATACACACATTTTCCTGCTATGAATTGAGTTAGAAGTGATTACAGTAACTGAATTGCTGCCCAAGGCATGATACAGTTATCTATTTGCTTGTTACTGACATATATTAAAACATATACCTGGCTGTGGGGCAGTGTAGAGATCCTCTTGCAAGAACGGCATAGAATTGATGACAGCAGGGTCTCTTGAAGGGTAGACGAACTCGGTGGCTGCGAATTCTCCCGAAGAACTACTGAGGCTGAACAGGCGTGGGGTGAAATTAAACTTTCCAGGATCTTGAAAGAACAAAAAATTAAAAATAATAATAAAAAAAGAGATTTTCAATAGAAAATGATGGAGATGAAAATTAAAAAAAAAAAAAAAAGAAAGAAAATCAACTTTTATAGAGTGACTGTAAATTCTCTGTTTTGTTTTGTTGTTTTTTTTTTTTTTTTGAAAAATCGAGAAAGATAACCAGACGTCCTGGGGGACTGGCAGCAGCTGTGATGAACTTGAGCTAAAAGGCTGGCTGCCATCAGCTTGAATACAATCCTGGCTACTTGCTATCAGCCGTTTCATAACTGGCTGTTTTGCAGTTCAAGTAAAGCAAGCCCATCTCAGTGTCTACTTTTTAGCTGACAAATTTTCCACTTTGTAAATCAATCCCCCTGCTACCTTTGCTGGCAGTTCTGAGCAGAGACTGGACAAGAATGTATGCAGAACCACTCCCTAATCCCTTCAGAAGAGAAGCAAAACGTGTTGTTAACAGCGTTAAGTGTTGCTCTGTGCTGCCTGAAAACAGAGGGGCTGCAGAAGGGGGAGAGAAGAAAATGAAACACGTTGTGTTCCAGCACTTTCCTTCTGCCTCCTTGGACAGTATTACTTAACTCAGTGGAGGGTGGTTGCTTTTGGGTGTTTTTTTTGGAAGCCTGTCTCTGAAAGGATCATCTCAACTACCGAGTTCTTCAAAAGCTTTACATTAAATCTCACAGACCAGTAAAGTACACAGTAAGCCCAAGGCCAGAAACGCAGGCCTACCTTGCAACATGCAGTCATAGGCCTTTCGATCTCGCCTTCCCAACGCATCCCAGAATCCCAAAGGCTCTGACCCTTCATCACATTCATGTATTGTCACCTTGCTGCTGCTGTGCAGCCCTGCTTCCAGCGGACATCTACGAAACAAAGAAACAGTGAGCCCAACTTTCCTTCCCCAGCCACCACTACACACACCTGCTGACCCCTCCTATTGTTAGAACCCCAAACCACCCTATAGGTTTGTCATACATTCCATGTCAACGTAATCCTTTGGAAAATTATGACCAAAATTACCAATAAACAAGGCAAAGAATTTCAACAACCATTCTCATAGCACTTCTGATCACATACCCAAGGAGGAAGAGATGCTTGCATTAATTCACTCCAGGGATTCCCACTGTACAAATTTGTAACTACTGCTGTCCTCACATGCTTTCTTAAATTCATTTCCTCTCCCTTATTCACAAGGTTCATCTCCCTTGGTTCTAATCCTCCTATCAAACGGGATTTAGTTTGCTACTCAAACATTGAGCATCTCCCTCCAAATGGAAAGATACTATTTTTGCAACTGTAATTACTTCAGTAGGATGGATAAGTGCATTTGACCCCAAGTGAAAGTGAAAACACGTGTTTTCCCCACTCCAATGAACAGACTACCTGCCATTCCTCCTCCTCAGCAAGCAAGTATATGCTGCAATTGTACTCAGAGGACAGCTTTATTTCAATTTTTCTTTGAGGCAGACTATTTTAGTCTGTATAAACATCTCCAAAACATAGGTTAGACACTCACTGTTCTTTTATTTTATTGGCTGCTGTTCTTCCTACTTCCTTGGTGTGAGATTGTGCTTTGCAGCCATGCCACAGGTAGATAAGGGCTTTATTTATATTGAGGACAATCATGGATGTCCGGGAACGCAGGCTGCTGCAGTGACATGCTACTTCAAGTAAGTTTCCTTCATTGGGAACTTCTCCTCGCACGCAATATAGTCTCCAGTCACCTGGAGCAGACAGGAACAGTGCAGCAGTATTATACAGTCATGTGGAATTGAAAATTCAAACCTCTGCTCTGGAATATTTGTTCTGATACTAGATGAATTTCACATATTGTATATCTCTGTCGTCACAGAATAAACTAGCTAAGCAACAGGTTTGGCTAACATCTCTTGAGAAACTCTGCTGCAGAATAAAATGCCTTATGAAGGCATTTTGCTAGTAGAGAGACTTCAAGGGTCACGTCAGCTCTGTTATGAGCAGAAGAGTCAAGTTTTTGTTCTGTTGTTCCATACAGGAACAAAAAGGGAAATAAACCAAGAAGTCCTTCTATTCAGCTTCACTTCCTCTGTGCACCTTAGGCACAGCAGGTCACATTCAGATGTGAGCTGGAACATTTCCAAGCTACATCTGCTTTGAAATTCTCCTACCTTAACTGCAGTATTCAAGGAATATGTTGCAAAGTGCAATGAATGGGTAACAAAAGCTTCATTTTGTTTTAGTCACAGAAGAACTGCTTATAAAAATGATCTTTTTCCTAGGCCATGTAGAAAAGAACACACTGTAAACAAGCACTTTGCTCAATTAAAAAACATCTAGAGCAATTTATACATGTATCAGTACGACAAAGTCAGCTTGCTCTTGACTGACAAAATACACTCTAAGCTCAGGGAAGAAACAAACTACCTTGAAAGCAAGGCAGTCTCATCGTTTTCATGGCATTCATTGCTCTTTCCTACAGAGCATGGCAGTTGAGACCCTCACAATAGGTAAAAAGGGATTTGGGGGCAGAAACTCTTAACTAACAGTAATTTACTTTGTGCATTTTCTTCCTCCTCTTCCCTTCTTCCAGCATGCACAATCATTCCTCCTTGGAAGCACTGCAGGAAGCATGGTGGTTCTTTCCCTTGAAGCACTTGTACCTGAAAATTGAAAGCACCAGTACTCATTAAAAAAATGAAGCCAGTATGTAGACTTAAAAAACTGCTCCCTGCAGTTTATTAAAAATTATATAGTTGTGGCCAACCTCGAAGATGGCTTTCCTTGTACTTTGAAACTGCTGACTATTGTTTAAGTTACCATATACATCAACATGCAATGAGTTTCATATGTGACCTGCATATTAAAAGAAACCTCTATCTGGAATCCAACAATCCAGAGTTTTAGAGGATAAGAAATACCAAATAAACTTTAAATTGGATTAGATTAAATTAGCTGTTATTTGAATTCTTCATAGGACTGGGCCATATTGCCTAATATTCTTTGAAACTATTATGGACATAACGTAGGAACTGAAGTAGGTTTAAAATTTGCTGCAAAACTGGCTTATGTGACAACATGCATATTCTTTGCTTATTAAGTTTTATATATAGCTAATCTGCTACAGCCAATCATTAGATCAGCTAGCTTGCACAGCATCCCACACACTGGGCCAAGTGTATTTGTACATCTTCCATGTGAACCACTGGCTTACTAGTCATGCTTATACTGCTGCTGAAGAATTAATTACAGCTTTATCAAGGTACTAACTTTAAATCTCCCATTTTGTGTGCTTGTAACAGCCAAGCCACAGCAACACTTAGCTTAGCCTAAAGACAAAGCAAGCAAGCCTGTGCTCTGTTTGATCTTTAAACTGCCTGTATCTGCAGTTGCTAGAACCTCTGCAAAACAACACAATCCCCTCCGTAATTACAGAGGAAACAAATTGAAAATTTGATTTCAAATGTATTTTCATGTCTTAGAGCCCAGCAGAGAGTGCTTCTGACAGAGTTCAATGAAACAGAGTGCTTCTCAGTGCTGGGAAGACAGTCCTGTTACCTGAATATGTACTGGGAGGAAAGGCACAAATTTCTTTCACTGTGCTTCACCTATCCCTAAGGGGGGAGGAGAGAAGACATCTTCAGCCATTCCAAGAAATATCATCTTTATAAGAGGGATTGGGGAATAGCCATCCATAAAGGAGACTGATGTGTCTCTGGAAGTTGGACTAAAGCTAAAAGTAATTTTGAGGGCTCGCTATTTGTACCTGCAAGGACACCGTAACAGAAAGAGAGTAGGAAAGAAAGATCACTCACTTTTACTGCCAGTGGCCACTCTGTGAGAAAACACAAATCTTACCAAGACTTCCACCTAGGTCTGCAGGAAACTCACCTGTGCTCCTCTCTCTTCATCAAGCTCCACTGTCATCAGTGCTGATGTCCCTTTCTCACTCACCGTGGAGTGTCTTCCTTGCCAAAAGAAATACACACATTTCTCCTTTCCAACAGCCCTTACTTGTTGCTCTCCTTTTTGCCTGCTTCCAACTGCAAAACAGAAAGCACATGCTGAAGAAAGAACACTGGCTATAAGTTTAAGTAACATGTGGTTTAATCTCATCTGCCAGCTCAGCACTATCTTGGCCAGAACAGGAAAGATAAAACGTCCAGTTGGAGGAACATCAGGTCACCAAGCCAGTGTAGTGTGCCCTTGTGCAAAGCTGGTATTGTCTCTTCAGGTGGAGGTAAGCCCATGTGGGCCAAAAAGAGCATTAAGGAAGAACTGGTAGTATCTGGAGAAAAATAACTGACAATCACTTAAGCAAATTAGCCTGTGAAATGCTACGTCCCCTCATGTTACCAGAAGAGTGCATTATGGCTCATTTTCCACATTACACTCTGTTCTTTGGCAGCAGACAAAGTAGCTGGCTGCTGAGTGATACTGGAAACAGCAACAGTCGACAAAGCTACAGGTATAAAAGAAAAATCTTTCTTGGTAGAAAACCTACAGAACAAAAGAACACCAAAGCAGTATTTTGCAGTTGTAAAAAAGTTAGGATCGGGTAAGCTTCTCCCTTGTTCCCCTCCCTCCCCTTTTAAAATTAACTCAGTATTTCACGTTGGTTTGGAAACAGGGTTAGCAGCAACATTTTTTAGAGGAACATTATTTACTTGCTATAATAAACAAACAATGTTTAGAGTAAGTGAATTTCAACAATAAAAACAGTTACAGAATATTTTACTCTTTCCAGTGAATACTACATAAACAGATATAATTAACTGAAGATTTTCAAAACCAAGGAGCTTTCAACCAGATTCTTAAAAAAAAAAAAAAAACATTAAAACTTCAGCAGTGCTGACCAGCATCCAACTGAAATACTTAGGAGAGAGCATCCTGTTTTTTTTCAAGTTGAGAATATTCATCAAACTACTATTCACTTCTAAAATATATGGTTTCACAGTCAACTGTACATCCAAGCCCATAAAAGTACAGACTCTTACATAAAAATGTATTCTTTTTTGGAATGATGGAATATGTTTTCATCCATTTGCAATAAAAATCTGTTTACAGTTCAGTATTAGTGTTACCCACTTCTCCTAAGGCTTACACGCTTTGGTATTTTTCTTGGATTCACAGTATCTGAACTCAACGATCCTGCATAAGACCTACATTTTTTGGCTAAAAGCCTGAAGCTGTATAGCTGTTTTACTCCTTTGAACCAATTTTGATATTTTCCTAGTTGGAGCAATCATTTTTTAGGCTATTTCTATTTTACTTACCACAAAAGCCACTTCTTATTTTACTGCCAGAAGGGAGAGTTCCAATGAGCATACCGAGCTGACTGACTCTCAACATTTACCTGCTGCTCTCAGGCATTTTGTCAGGACGCAGTCAAAATTTTCCACTTGAGACTGAAACCCATAGCAAAGGGTTTCCAGAAACAGCAGAAAGGACAGCAAGGGCAATGAGTTGGTAAGGGCTTTTCCTGTCATTGTTACTGTTCTCCATTACCCAGTAAAGGCTTTCGTTGTTGCTAAGCCTACCTCTCTTGCAAGACATTCACCCCACTGTCATTAGTCCAACTGCCTAATTATTTTGGTGTTAAGCTGTGGGCATAATTTTGGCTTAATGAGCTTTCTTGTGAACACACATACAACATCACTGTTGGGCAAAAGCAGAGATGGACAGTGTTACATTTGATGTATGAAAAATAACTATAGTTTCTTTTTTTTTTTTTTTTTTCCCTTAAAAAATAATAGTTCTTCTACTTCGTGGCCTAGAAAGGCTAAATTCCTTACTTTTGAAACAGTTTCACATACAAGAAAGCCTAGGTATGGATCTTACCACCAACGGCAGCAGTTTTAGCTGCACTTATCCATGTTTCGGCAGGATGAAACAAATTGTTCACTAACCTGTAGTGCTCACCATGTACTTCCACTTCACAACATATGTGTCTCCCTCATGGAATTGTCCTATGCTTTGTTTAGGCAGCCTACTATAATCGAATTCGAGGATGTGCCAGACATCCACAGACGCAGTGATAATTTCAAACTGCCTTCCATCTTCTCCTTCTACAAGTCCATAGCCCCGGCCAATATTCATTCCGTCTAAGACTGTGCCTACAGTAGTCTGGGGCACAGCTACCATTAGCATGACATCGTATGGTTTAGTCTCAGATCTGGATTCTTCCTGTGAGAAAACACAGAACAGATTTCTTTGAGCATAGCTTTTTTTTTTTTTCCTTCCCCCTTACCCCACAGTTCCACCCAAACAGTTTGACTCCTGCATATTTCAGTACTTTGATATATTGTCATCACTTGATGCCTTGTCAAAACCACCTTGCCAATCTTAACTGTATTGCTCAGCACTAATAAAAAGCAACTCTGTGGCTTCACTATAGGTGGTGATGCTCTGACCTCAGGTCAAAGACAGCAAGATAAAAAGAAGTGCTCTGAATCCTTAAGAACTAGCTGCCCTGGCTTCCATCCCAGCTAGGCCATCTAGTTTGAAATACCTATCATGCTTATTAAATGCACCTTCTGGTGAAGGGATTCACTAGAATTCTTCTCATTGAGTTTCTTCAGCTCTGTCCAATCAAGAAACTTTTCTTTGAACAGTATGGTCTCATTATGTTCTGTGAGTCTGCCAAACACAGCCCAGTCTGGACGTCCTTGTCCCTTTCTGTACCAGAGAGTAAAAGAAATAGAATCAAATTAAACACTGTGAAATAAGGGCAAGAAATCTATGTTTCTGCAAAGATTAAATTTGAGTTTTTGTACCTTGGTATGATGGGATTGCATTCTCCTGGGTCCAGAGGATTTATGTCACAATTTGAGTAGTCAAAGGTGCCATTCCACAAGTGTTTTGCCAGCTGGAACGCCACTTTTCTTTGCGCTAAAGTAACTTCCTTTCCATGCCACACATACACTTCACTGCCAAAATCAAACACCAGCACCTAAAAAAACAAACCAAACCGAAACCAAACCAAAACAAAAAAACAATTTAGTAACATACAGTTAGGTTAGCTGATGCCCTGTTCCTCCAGTTTCCTGATGCTGCAAGCTGACAGTGCGTCCAACACAAACTCCTCCAAATATCTGCATTTGTGCAGTAACACCAACTGCTAGCACTGTAATGAAAGTAAGGCCATGGCAGTGGTCTGCACCTTGACGGATAGTTGTTGCAGATACTAGAACCTAAGAATAGCCTGAGTTGGAAGGGGCCCACAAGGATCATCGAGTCCAACTCCTAGGCCTGCACAGGACTGATGTGCACCAAAATGATTACTGAAGTAAGTACTGGGGATACTATGAGGTGTGTCATTAGGTGATAGCTAAGTCACTAGCAGACTAGAGAGCTCTGACAACTCAAAAACCGATTCTGCTGCATGACTGAATGATGTCTAGCTACAGCAAGCTTCTCTGAGGTGCAGACCTGTACTTCATCCCGTAACAGGAAGGCTGACAGAACATGCAGCCTGGGTGACTGGCTCAGCACACAGGCAGCACCTTGAATGTGTTCAGTAAAGTGCATCATGTCTTTATTTCAGGTATCTGCTCTAATTTGCTCTTAGAGGAGTGAAACGGTGAAAAAAGTGAAAGAAAGGCTACGAAGGATATAAATAAAAATGCTTGAAATGGGAAACAGTTTTTTATTTTTTGTTTTTCTGAAATGCTTCCTGTTTTGTACTGCATAATTTTTGAGTGTTAGAAGCCACCATTGACAAAAAGATTTACACTTCCTAAAATAGTATTTCACTTTAAATATAACACGCTAAAATTTCTTGAGACCTGAAGGACACACTATACAGCAACATGTCCATAAACACAAAAGAACCAATTTTCAGTGAAGCCTCTCCATGAGCATTTGCAGTTACTGAAAATCTTATCAGCTCTATGTTCCTGCACTTACCACAGGAGCAGTAAGTGGCACGATACCTCTTTTGGTTGTAGCAGGGTACATTTTGGCATCTTTCCCCAGTAGTCGTCCTCAGGAATGAGTTTATCCTCTACGAGGCGGTAAATGCAATTTGTTTCTATTATGGCAGCTTCATACATTTCATCTTCTTCAGGACTTCCAGCAGCTTAAGGAAAGGATTGTCAAACATAATCAGATGTTAATTTTGTATTACTTTTTTCTAGAGAGAACCAACTCAACTATTTTATTGTGATAAAGCAGCAGATACTGTAACCGTAAGAATACTTACACTGGTAATTTGTCTGGCCACCAAGGAGTTTCCAGAAGTCTTTGGCTGCATGGGTATGGGTATTTATTCCTTCTTCAATAGTCTGTATATATGAAGCTCTACAGCCAAGTTCCCTCTTTGTTTGAATTAAAGTTGCAAGTTCTGAAGCCTAGGAGATTAAGAGTTATCTGAACAGGATTGCATAAACCTTTGGAACACTTGTGTATATGGCATTCAACGAGAAGGCAAAGGTAGATAATATATATACATGAAATAACAGTAGAAATAGTTATTATTTGTTGCCCTAAATAAACAGACAGTAGAGAAAAAAGTTACAGAAATACATTCATTCTTTCATTTGCCTTAAAACAAGACTTGATCTTAACGAACATGGGAATAAAAGGACATCCTGCAATTCAGACTTTTTTTTTGTTTGTGTGCAAATTCATTTCCTGAGGATATCCTCTTTTCTCTTGCAGCTTTGCAACCTACATGCTCCTATGTCAGCTTTCATTCAGTGCACAGGCTTAAACATGTTTATGGGAAACCTGCATATCTACCTGACTTTGTTACACACAAATTTATTGAGACAAGTGGCACCAAGGCTCAGTTACATCAAAGAGATGTATGCTGTGATAGTTCTGAAAATAAATAGTAAAAAAAAAAAAAAGAACTAGCACTTACCTTTGCTTTTTCTATGACATTTGCAAACTCTCCTACCCACAAGAAACAGAGGTGTGGAGTTAACAACAGGAAACAGTCTCCACTGTTCAGTGATGAGGCCCTTGGTTCAACTAATCTTGTTTGAACATGTCTTCTTCCTAAAGATAAAACAAAGCTAATTATATTCCTATGAATAATGCCATCAAATGCCAAAGTCTAATTGTTCTGAATGAAAGACAAACACTCCTGGCACATTTAGCAAACTATATGGAAAAGGACTGTTAAAAAAGAAGAATTATGGTGGAGGAAGGGTTTTCTCACAGGAAGCAAAATTTGTTGCCTCCTATCAGCTAATATTTCTATTATTTCCTGTTCTTGCTTTAACAACTTTATGCCCTTCTGGAAAGAAATCAGTTGTAAATGGCAGAGGAGCAGCCAAATTCTAAAATCATTTACATGTGCTTCAGGGAAGGTATGAGACGGTTTCATAAGTCAGTAAAAAGTTTTAAGGATTTTACTTTGCCAAAAAAACTAGCTATTATTTTGCAGAATCAGATACATTGCTATGTCATGTAAAAGGAAGTGGAGCAAAAACATTGTCAGTTCACCTCCAAATTACACTGAACACTAGAAAAATTGGACAGTCCAACAATTTCTACTGGAGGTAGCTGTAATTCCTGAAACATTCTGTTTTCTCTTTAGAAAACATACACCTATTGGGAAGGTTTTGCATTTGTCACACAGTTTTCTCTTAGTGTGAAAAGAGAAAAGCTTTTGTGCATAAATCTTGACCTGGAGATCTCCTAGAACAAAGTAAGCATTCAATTGTGATGGCAACTCCCACGTATTTCAATCAGCCCAGAATGTGCAGAAAGTAAAAAACAGCTCTAGCATACCTTTAATTTGCAGCAGCATTAGCTTCTTGTATGGCACAGCACTGTTGTTAGAATTTTGCTCTGTGAGATTAACACTCCGCAGGCTAACATTGCTGAAGTTCTCCTTGCTTGCCAGGCCAGCAAGTGCTACTTCTGAGAAATTTGAGTTTGTGGACACTTGCACATTAAAAAGAAAAGAAATGGAGAAAAAACACACACACAAAAAAAAGACAAAATTATATTCAAAATAGCTTTGGTTGCTGCATTACAAAAAATATTTTCCTCACGTATTTCCAGGTTTCCCCTCCTCAATAGCAACACTAAAAAACAAGTTGAATGTAGATTAACTGCTACCCTCAAGAATCTGTGGGTTTAGTAGTACCTAAGTCTCCAGATACCATCCAAAACTAAACTGTCAGTGTCAGAATTATGATCTTTGGCAGAAATACTACCTTCAGTAAGAAACATGACTTACCCAATGTTTTGTGAAGTACTGTGCAGATCTTCAATGCCATATACGTGATTAATGATGAAAGAGACCCGAGTCGCCAAAGCTAATGAACTCAAATTCACTTCAAATTTGTCTCAGCTAGTGTGATGCAACAGCCACTTATATTTCAAAGAATTAGTCGTGTTTTACTGTAAACTTAAAGCCTTAAATTCTTGGCTGCTTCTGCTTATTTTGCAACCAAAGACAAAGCAGTTTATGAATTTATAATTCAGGGAAATGCTTCTCCTCAAATGGCAATAAAGTATTAGACATATCATTAGTGTTTCAACAATACAGGCAACTTTTAGAAATGATCTCCTTTTACTCAAATTTTATGAAGAAAAGTTGCACTCCAAATGTTAAAAGCGGCTTGACAAACCTTTGATATAATTTAACAATATCATCTCATGCTGTCAGTCTGGTTCTCAGGAGAGAGCAATGTCACAAGCAAAACACAAAGCCCTGCTACAGAGCACAGATCAGATCCTTTATGGAAATTAACCTTTGGGAGTCAAGAAAGCTAGTTCCAGTTTGAAAGAATACAAGGACCCAAAATTGAAGCTAGTGTACTTGAACAAAAATTTACCTATTCTTCCCGACTTCCCCTAACCCCACAGCATAGTATTTTTCTAGATTTGCTTTGCTTGATCTCCTGCCCTCACCCTGCAAGTGTAACAATGCTACCTCTGCACAAGGTGACAGCTATAAATAAATATGCACAACAGGAGGCTGCAGGTAGCTTCCCCTGAGGAAATCAAACATGCCCTTTTCTTCAGACCTCCTAGGCCAACCTACATTCAACCTTATACCTCAACTAATTTATGGTCTCCTGGAGAATATGTTTTATTCCTTTTTTTTTTTTTTTCTGTGTTTTGTTTTTAATTAAATTAGCAAGACAGTGGCTTGTACAAACCATCCTGTTAGCTTACTTTTTTCTACTTTCATTCTCTTTGATTCCATGAAGGCAACATTCAGTCTTTGTTCAGTGTACTCATGAAGTATATCTTCTCTTGCTGCCAGCATTTTCAGGGGATTTCTTGAAGACTGAACTCGGCGCATAGGCCTCACTGCACGTTTGTGCTCTGCTACAGAAGATATTAACCTGAAAAACAGTGTTTAAAATTATTAGTTGAGTTTCAGTTGCTAGTCAGAAGCATCTAATGACAGGAGATTGGCTTTGATTTGGAGTGTGCTGTTTGTAATAAAATCAGAATCAGTTCACTGATCCAGACTGAAGAGTAGTTTCAAATATATGTAGAAGAAATGGACATGCCCAGTACTAACATATCTACTAAGATATCTACTAAAATACCTTAAAGCTGAACTTTTTGACCACCACCCCTATAGCTGCATTCAAAACAATGAAAATAGTAAATCTTACTTTGGTGCATAGGGATCAAAGATGGCATCAAAGTCCTCATCAAGGTCCAAAGGCACTGAGGAGGAAGGGAAATCCACATGGCGATAAAATTTGGAAAATGTTTCATCATCATCCAGCTTCATCACCTCTTTCACAGATTTTCCTGTAACTGTCAATACTGTCTCTGGCATCCCAGCAACTGCAGGAAAAGAACCCATGCATTAAATAACTGAATTAGAGTTTCTAACTGTAGAAGAAGTTAACAGGGTTGTTGTGGTTTTGCTTTGGTTTTCTTTGATTGATGGAATTCAAGGGAAACATGGTAGAAATGTCTGTAGGAAAAGAAATGATAAAGTGGGACCGTAAGTGCTACTGATACGCAAAGATCTTTATTACAAAATGGTTGAAAAAATGGCGAAATACAAAGTTAGGCGCTATCAAAAATGTGTTGTTTTGGTAGGATGTTATATGCATTTTATGGTCTTGTGTATTCCATGGTGCCTCTGACCAAACAAATCCTTGCCTTGAAAGATCTACTAAAACTACAAGTGGAAAGTCACTACTTGACATTAGTATAGTGCAATCATTATACAATGCTAGTGCCTCTGCTACTCAAATGTGAATGCATTTATTTTCAGTATTTGACACTACAATGCACAAAAGAATTTTTGTCATACAACATGGAAGACTAACATATAAGATGGAAACAACTAGAGGACTCTAGACAGCTTTATATATGGCCAACAAATTGTTCAAGGAAGCTGTATGAGCTGCTACAGAAAATCAATTTTCAAAAATCAGGAAGGTGGATGAATTGTGCTTGGGAGCAGCTTAGTGTCATATCTTCAATTTAGTAAGTTTAAAAAACATTTAAAGCTGTTTCATGGTATATGTTCAATGCGGTTCAGTGTCTTGAGTGTATAGATTTCAGAAATTTTGCTCTCAATAAGAATGTGTACATCGTATGTGGAGAAAAAAGAAAGTTGCACTTTTTTGTATTTGTGATTTATTCTGTTGTATACATGTAATGCAATAGTTTGTTTTTGTTTTTTGATAAAATTCAGCAAAGACTGAAACAGGAAAACAAGCTGAACAATCAGAAAGTATTGTCTGAACAAAGCAATATTCAGCTTCTGTTACCAGATATTTTAACTTAGAAGTACTTCAAGTGATTTAGTGAAGTCTGAGTGAATACATTGCCTTCTTTGGTAATTGTACTGACCTTTGTTATTCAGCCTTCCCAAGAACGACTCCAGCTTGTCGAGCTTCATATCGGATTCCAATTGCATATCAGGCCTGGCTTCAATTTCTAAGCAAAACAGAAAGCAAAACTGGTTAAGTCATGGCAAGTAAAAAAGTCTAAACTTATTTCAGCCATTTTTGTTCCTTACCTTCCAAGGGCTTTGTCACTGGAGTGGTAGACTTCTGCCTGTTACTGAAAGGGGATGCTACTGGTGTTAGTGCACTTGGAGAAGCCAGGCCTGCATAACAATAGAGAACAGAAGAAACAGTCTCACGTCAGACCGCATCTGAACAGTAAGAGAGCAAGCTATACAGGGGAAAGAGCTGAGCCTTGCCATTTCCTGCAGTCCATTATACTACCCCTGCCTCCACAAGTGTTGTATCAGTGATGTTGGGAGTGTGCTGCCCTGCCCATTCCTTAAATCAACAGCAATCTCAGAAACTGCCCCATTCACAAGAACAAAGCTATTTTCCAAGTGTCACTTGGTTTACATTTTGGACTTGAGTTCTACCCAGGCCACACGCTAGAAACACGCAACCATTCTGTACAAAAAGGTGCAAAAAAAGAGCAGGGAAATTACCCAGACCCTAGTGTTGTCTCCCCTGCCTGGACCCTTCTTTAACCAAAACTATTTTAAATAAACATAGCAGGATGCATTTGACCTGTGAATACAGTCCCTGGATTAAGCAGTAATTCTTGAGCATGGCTGTTTTGTGTGTGTGTTTTTGTTTTGTTTTGTTTTGTTGTCCTACAGGATTCCCTGTATTTTTCTACAGGGAAGCAGAAAAACAGAAATGGAAGAATACTCACTATATCAAGCAAAATTGTTGAATTTGTGCTCTTCTCCCTCCTCAGTAACTATCATGAAGCAATTCATTTTCAACTCAGTAGATAAAAATCAAAGGACGTTTTTGTTCTTTTGATACAAATCTGTTGCTCTAGTAAAACAAATTGGGCTCTATGGATTTAGTGCTTCTGATTAGGTGGAAAAGCATACTGTAGTGAAGATTACATCTATTAACCATTGTTGCCTAGGTTTTCAGTGAGGGAGGAAAATGATATTTAAGCCTTCCTCTAATAGCTGTTCTCCACTTAGCCATAGCTTACTAATTACTGAGTCACATAAGTTTAAGTCATTAATTGTTCTGATCAGATAAACCAATGCTGTGCTGAGAGAAACTACACTAACCATTTTTCCACCACCTTTACTGCAAGTCCTAGCAAGTCATAATTGCCAAACACCAGCACAGATTTAAAATATAATCAAGTAGTTTTTCCATAAACACACTTTTCCCGTTACCTAAGAGACTCAATTATTCAGCAGGCTTTAAGTCAATTGGTAAAGCCTTCAACACGATGTATTTGAGAGGACACAGCTTTTAAGCAGCTCTCCCAGGACTTAATCCACAAGACCACAATGAGATCTGCTTCAGATGTTAGTCAAGAATCACCTTCTGAGTAGGACTGAAAAATTTTAAGCTGTAAGAAGCAATTAAAATACAGCATCTGTGCACCCGTATGTAACAAGGATTTAATTTTGCATTGCTTTCTCATCATCCCTTAAATTAAAAACCTATCATGATAATTTCTTCTTCTAGGCAACAGAAATAGCACACATCTGCATAAAATCCCACTCGGGCTACTTTTATTGATGTCACTGTCACTGGATTACCTTGTTTCTCCACAAGACTGATTACAGTAACTAAAGAGATCCTTTAGGTACAGAGTTAGGTACAGAGGATATTTTTCTTTTCCTATTAAGAACAAATGCTATCATCTTCTCTTCCTTTCACAAGATCAACGTATTTGGCAAAATATCACATTTTATTGGTGACCCTCCAAAACAGGTTAGTCTTGAAACACTGATCACTAGCATCTCTCGCGGCAAAACGATGTAAGCAGCAGCTAAAGCACACTGCTAATAGATGTAATTGTCAGTATCATCTGTTTTATCTGCAAACAGAGTGCGTTCTAGACTGCAATTAGATTTACTCCCTGTTGTAATACTGCCTTCAATCCACAGTATGTTTCTTGGGTGGTTGTCATAAAACTCAAGGTTCATTGTTGTGTTTAACAACCAGTTTCTTGTCACAGAGCAAACTTTATTATTCTCTAGCTACAAGAGATCAGTTTAGGTACCTTCTTCCAAAACTATCATCTTCCCAGACCCACTGCATAAACAGCTGTATTCTGCCATGGACAACCTTCACATATTTCTGTCCACTTCCAGAGAATAATTGCATCTGGAAACAGTGATGGGCTGAATTTCATGATCCCAAAGATGTCAGCATTGCTCCCATGTCACTTCTACTCCCTGGTTCTACGCAGAAATCTGTTCAGTGATTTCCTGAGCCAAACACAACTCTGAAGTTGTCGTCCAAAACATCATCCATAAAAATAACACATGTTTGCTAAATATTCCCAGAGATCCTAGGAGCGGGGCAAGTGCCAGCAACAGCAATGGCTAGATTTCACAACTTTTCTCTAAAAACTGCACCTGGGTTTTCAAATGAGAAATAAATAAGGAAGAATAATCCAACTGTGCCCTCTGGATTGTATTTGAAGGAAAAATGAAACACATGAACATTTAAGTGATTGATGATCACCAGCCAAGACAGATCCCTGTAACGACTGGATAGTAGTGCAGTAGAGCAGAAAAAAAATGGATCAATACCAACAGCCACAAGAAGCTAGAGAGAACAGCCTTATGGAGTGATATTTGTTTGAATATAAACAGCCCTCCTCTTGCTAAACATGGATACTGTTTCTGCTTAGCTTTAGCCTGACTTTATTTTGACTAGACAGATAAGCAGCGGCTTGTTTATATTGGGATCATTTCATCACTGACCTTTTTTAACCATTCGGCCAGCTACAGTGAACTGCGTGGAGTCATTGGCTGCTCCTTTACCCTTGGATTTCCAGGCTTCTTCTCGAGCTGTAATCAGGTGTTTTCTTTCTTCAATAGTCATTTGACTCTCCTGATTATCTGCTAGCCTCTGATTTTTAAGGGGGAAGAGAGAAAGAGATGTTTAAAAATAAGTAAACCGACCCGAACATAGCAAAGGACTGGGTGAACATTTCAAATGCCAGCTGTAGAGGCAAGAGAACAGGAGCAACAAGCTACTAAAGGAAAGTCACAGAGAGAGCTTAGTAACCCCGGCCCTTACAAGCCTCATTGTTTTGCTTCCTCATTAGACTGTGAAGATAAGGTTTTGGTCTATGTTCTTTGACCTTTTATTGAAACTATTGGCCAAGGCAAATAGCATCCCTCTAAGCAAAACAAACCATTTACTCTGGATGTGACATAGTTTTCCAGACCTCGTTCTCTTGAAATGTGACTTGCTACACTACTGAGATCACTAACCTGACTTTCAGCAAATGTTTTCAAGTGTGCAAATTCGCAGGTAGCACAGGGAATAACAACTAAGTGGAACCTCAGTTTGTCATTTCTGAACCACGCTCTTACAGCAACTTCATTTTCCAGGCAGGATTAGCAGCCTTATCTCTTCAGAGGCTGTTCACTTTAGGTCCTAGGTCAGTTTGCTCTTCTGAATATTTTTCCAATGACTGTGATCATTTCCCCCCTCACCTTTTTTTATGGGTCACCCTCAGCTTTCCTTGCTTTCTTTACAGAGTAGCACCCAACAGCTTGAGCGATTAGAAGCAGCTAGGAGCATTAAGCATCTTAGTGCCCTCCTAACACACAGGATTGATGGAGGTACATTAAATAGGAAGGAATTTACATTCTCAGCTGTAGTTAGGTTAGGCCAAAGAAACATTGCTTCAATGCACTTTGCTTAAAAAAGTAGCAATGTTTCAGGGATTGTACCGCATAGACATCAAACATTCTAGTGCATGGGGCTGTCAGCTCTAGAATGATTTTCAAGTTGTGTGCTATTTGACTTTTTTTTTTCACAAATTAACTGCTAGATTTGAAAAAACACATGAAAATGTAAACCTTTAGCAAAGCACTAGCTCATACAACCACAGAAGAATTGAACTGAAAAAGAACCCAAAAGCTTGTGCATGTGAGGTAAACACTCTTCTTGGTGTCAAGATACAAGGAAGGGATATAAACTCACATATTCTTATTTATTTATTTTCCTTAAATTAACAGCATTGAAGAAATTGGCCCAAGGTTAACCCTGTAAATAAAACTTTACAAGAACTGTTGTGGCTACAGAGGGCACAGGGAAATAGAGACTTTCTTACGGCTTTCAGTGTGTACCATGGGCAGCATCCATGGGGCAGAAGTGTAAAGACAAGCCAAGAAAGTGGCTTGTAGTAGTAGTACAAGCCCTTGTATTACAAGGACTAGAACATGCAAGCCCTCCACTCCTCCCTCTAGTTCCATATACCTCTGTAACCTTCTGCAGTAATGTTTGCACCCAATTTATCAGGAAAGGTAGTTGGGCAGCCAGACACTATGACTGCCAGTCATGATAATCTGGATAAAACACTGAGAATTTTCCCTAGAGCTCCAAAATGTTCAACAGAAATATAAAAAATGCAAGTCTATTAGAGTATATCTTTCTCTTCCATAAAAGCCTCTGAATACTTTAAATGGAAACACTGAAAGCAACCCCTACTTGTTTTCCTCAATCTCCACTCATTCCAATGTTGGAAGCACAGCCACCTCTGGGATGAGCAGCTGGCAGAAAAAAAATCATAGCAACGCATTACAGGAGTTCTGGTGAGGAAATTAACAAACACCCAACGAAACCACAAGTGAAATTTGAAACACAAACCAAATATTTTTAATTTAGCAAGGATGCTGTCTTTGATTACAATATGAAAAGAAGTGAAGAGGCAAGAAGACGTAGTATTTTATATGTTGGTGAGTTCTGTTTGTTTGTTTTCTCTCTCAAGTGATGGGGGCTTAATTTCACGTTTTCCCTCTAGAGAATACATGAAGAATGTGCAGAGCTACTGGAAATTCTGAAGGCACAGATCTGGAATGTGTCTGCATTAATCGCTGCACACATAAATTTTAAGAAAGGTCATGAGTAAATCTGGAGCAGTGTCAAAGAACAGAAGACAGTAAGTAGCTTTCTAACATCATAAACAAACTTCTTTTTAATGGAAGATTTAAAGCTGCTCCATTGGGCAAAACATCCTCAAGTTCCTGAAAATCAGCCTGGATGCGTATACCACAAAACCTGAAGCAATTTCATAACAGATCTCTTCCTAATGCACCAAGACTCCCACCTTCCCCTATTAATGAACAAATGAACTTCAAAAATGATGAGCTGAATGGACAGCAAGCAATCCCTAACCCATATAACTCATCATAACAGTCCTGGTGAAAAACAAAAGCATATGCTGTGCTTAAAAGAAAGAACAATTTTCTATAGCTAGAGAACTAGTATGAGCCAAGGCAATTGTCAGTAAAAAAAATTCATAACAAATACCCTTGGTAATTGGGAGTAGTTTAAATAGCTTGCACAATTGCCAAAGGGCAGCATTTCTGGAGGAATGAGCTGGCTAAAACACATTCTGCTCGAGGGAAGATATTGTGAGAAATATAAGCCTTGCCAGTCTTCAAAGTGCAAATTTTATTTCCAAATAGGAAAAAAAATGAAGAAAGATATAAAATTAATAAAAATCTCAAATTCATACCTGTGACCTTTTGATAAAGGATGCTAGAGACTCCAATAAAAAAAAATATCAAAATAAGGAATTATTTTGGCCTATCAGGAGTAAGTAAAAGCTTTGGAAGATGCTGCTTTTCCCACTACACAGAAGTACTTATACACAACGAAACATTTGTATGTGTAATGGAAAATACATCTATGTTTTCACTGATATCTCTTGTTACAGACGAATGATAAAATCTTAAAATCAAGTTAAATACTGAAAGGGTCCAAAGAATTGGCATCCAGCAACATGAAATAACTGGCATAGGAGATGCCCCAAACACAAGCACCAATTAAAAAACAAAACAGAGCAAAACCAAAAAGAAAAAAAGCTTTGAAAATGGGAAATTGCATAGTATTGATAAAAGCTAAGATAAGAACAATCTTTAGCAGCAGAAGAATTGAAGCATGTAAGTACAGGTCACATAAGTTGTGTTTCTTTCCAGACAATCATGGGAAGACTGCTGTAAGACAATCAATAAAGAATCAAAGCACAGTTGCATAATTAATGCCATTCCACATGGCATTATGGAAAACAGGTTTAATCAAAATGGTAAGTTTGATGAGATCAAGTATGATTAAATATGTTAACACAGTTACCTCTGATTTCTTTAATATATTTGACTTAATCACAGATGACATTCGGAGCTTTTTTTGAGCAATATAAAAATATCTTTGCAGCTTGCAGACTATATACTAGTTAACTGACAGAAAAAAAATACTTCTAAACAGGGCCTGGCCATGCAGTGATGTGCTTCATCCCATCCCTGACCAGTATGGTTTCATGCATGTGGAAAAAAAAAATCGGTTCTGCTGAGAAGAACCTCGGGATGACACCACCACACAAGAGAAGGGTGGGTGATAAAGATGAATAATCACATAGATTAAAAAAAAAAGGTTTTCAGAACAAGCTGGTGAGCCAGGTTTTTAAGAGCACAATCACCTGAAAAGAGAATCAAGCAAGAAAAAAAGCCAATTAGAAATATAGAAGAAGATGAGGAAAAACATGGAGCAGTAGTTCTGAATCAAATGAAAGAGGGATTACATACAATGGCAGCTAAGAACTGGTATCATCCGTCGGGACTGTATAAACAAGAATACTGAGGAGAGGAGGAAGATGGTGAGTCTCCATACTGGGATCTTTCTTGAAAGATCTCATCCCATTTCCAGCATCTACACTTCTATCCAGGATGCCAATAGTTTTGTAAAGCTTCAGAAAAGGTCTAAAATATTTTTTCAATATTTCTGCTTTCAATCTACCTCATATTAATTCAGATTTATACACGTTCTTACTGAAGAGAGGGTTAAGAGTTAAGTTCTACAGAGTGAGAGTAATTTACATTAAAAATTACTTAAAATTGCAGTGCATTTTCCATGTTCAGACAGTTGAGAATAAAGACCACGTATTTTTTCGAAAAGAACTACTTCAAGTATGAGGAACAGTTATAAACCTGATGTAAGAACAGCTAGATAAAGGGATTACTTTTCTTGCACTGCTTGCCTGGGCTGGCTGATGACACTGGTCTCTTCTAGCACTGCAACACATTTCTTGGGAGTATGCACAGGTGCTCCCCTGTTTCTGCAGCATGAATTCATGCTAAGGAAGGGCCCACACCTAGGCAGTGCTCCTTTTTGTACCCTACAATTTTCTAGTCTAAGCAGTGCCACATTGGGTCACAAGAACACAATTCACAGTGGTCTGTGAGCCTGCCTTATATTTTTAAGCTTCTTTTCTTTCTTACTTCTATTTTATAAACACAAGAAATACAAGTATTGACAGTTTTCTATGTCAAGGTCTGTGTCGGCCCCTAGCTGGAGGAGTCCAAACCAAAAATGGACACTAAAAATGTATTTTTCAAAGTGGGAATCCATTTAAAACCACTGTTATGAATTATATAAAAGAGGTATGTATTTGCCTTGTAATACAAATAACTTCTCTGCTTTGGGGTCAACTGATCCTCATTTAAGATAAATGAGGTGAACAGCTATTGAAGGACTTTCTCTCTCCACAGACTATTGAGGGGATATTATGTTATTAAGTTAGATGATACATTTACCTTCTTGATATATAGAACTGCTACACTCCATCATGATAAAATGAACAGGTTATCTTAAGTCTAATAGTAATAAAGCTGTATTAAACTCAGAGCTTACAGAGTAAAGGTAACAATAATGATTTTCATTTGCTAGCCCAAAATTTAATTTTTGATTAAAAAAAAAATAATTGGAGTTTTTGGGAACACCCCCAAAAACTTCTATGAAAGTGAATGTGGAAATGGTAAATATCAGCAGTCAAAGTATTTTGTTTCAGTAGTCTCTACCATAATCATCACCATCTCTTCTAGCAGTGAATAACTGTTCCTTGGATTCATTACCATTACCCCTACTAGCCAGAGTGCTCCTGACATGAGACACATGCTGTATTTTGGCGGGGGAGAATGGAGAACTGAGTGGATTCCTGGTAGTACTGCCACCACAGGTCTGAGCTGGGAGGCCATGCAATAAAGCAGGATTAGATTTGCATAGATCTATCAAGACCTTCCACTGAACTCTCCTTGTTTTCTTGTGTACAGCTTGCTTCTTTGCCCACTCCTGTTAGGTTTCCTTAAAGCAGCACTTATTAAGCTGGTTAATCAACTAAGAGGATTATTAATTCCCTATGTAAAAGGAAAAAAAAAAGTCAGAATGTGTTTACTTGATATTTTTGAGCATTTAAACTGTGTGGATGTTTGCTCACCTGATTAATAGGTAGAAAAGGATGAAATTTATGGACAGCAGGTATAACAGGAGAGTAAGTAGAAGCATATACAGGTTCCTATGAGAAGGACAGAAGCAAAGTAAAGGAATTAGAAAAGAACTGGACTGCCAGAGGTGAAGATCGGGGAAAACAGACTCATTTTCCCCAGGGTCTTGAGATGAAGTAAATCTCAATCTTTTAATCTTCTAGAAGCATTTTCCCTCTTGGAAAGCCAGAGACCAAAAATGTTTTCGTAACACAACAGCATGTTCACCAAAGCCACTCCATGCAAGAATTAAAGATGTTAGTAACATCACAACAGGTCACAACACTAATCAGCCCAGTCAGGAGATGCACATTTTGTATGCTGCTAATCTTTATCACTCTGCTTTCATGCACCAGTAACATGATGAACCATGTCAGCCAAGATGGGAACAATTCTGCAGCAAGTTTAATCAACCAACAAGCCACCTACGTTCAGGACAAAAGGAAAGAACATTTACTAAAACTGAGATACTCAAAAACCATCTGGAGGGAAGCACTAAGCCACGGCGCTTAGCAAAGGTGAATTTACCATTCTAAACAAAGCCTACGAATAACCCCTGCCTCAGAGCTGGGCTTACCCAAAGCTGATTAAGACATGGCTTTAACAATGATAATTCTTCTTCCTTTCTCTAGGTTAATACAGAACATTGCACAGCATGGGACAACTGCAGCTCGTTGGAGTGGCCCAAAATGAAGCCTAGCCATTAAAGCTTCAGCTGTGATTAGCACTGGGTACAAGCACTTGGTGGCTGCCATATCTGAAATGGAGAAAACTATTACCACAGGAGGAGACTAATGTTTTGCCTAAAGGTCACTTTTTAAAGGCCTACCTCCTTTAAGATTTCTATACGCTTCATCTCTGAGTAATTTGGAATTGACTGCTCCGTCCTGGCCTTTAACACCAGTACTGAGCTGCAATACAAGCTCGCCATAAGAATTAAGTGCATTTCAAATGTCATTCACTGCTTCAGTGCTACTGTGGTGCAGCTGGTAATCCCATTAATCAGGGACATCGTTAAAATGGCCAGCTATAAAACAGGAATCTTCATTCCAGTAAGTCCCACTGTTTTGATACTAAGACTTTAAAGTTAGTTATGTTTTCTACACAGAGAAAAAAAATATACCGAATCCAAAATATTTTTCCAAAATAAAATGGATACTTTTCTAAGACATTCCACAGCCTACAGTTGTTCCCCTGACGATAGAGCAATCCTTTAAGTTGTCCAAGTATATTTTAGTGTACATGTAAGTAATTTAAGAAGTCTCACATCTTCCAACAGATTTTCCTCCTATATGCAGCAATCATTAAAACAGATGCTGGACCTCCATGTAAATCGCAACTCCCCCCCCCCCCCCCAAGTCTCTATCACTTTGAGTTAATTCCTTATTCTACTTTTTCCCCATTTTAAGTTTCTCTGTCAGCTTTTCCATAAATTTTATGGCTTTTCTACAGTTTAGCCCACATATAAATGATTGTAACACCTTTAGAGAAATATCTCAACATGAATACAACTGTGAAGAAACATTTTGACTAGAAGAGATCAAACAGCACTACTTAATGTAGCCATTTTATTAATATTAATATTTCAACTTTTGTTGATTACAAGAAATCTAAATGTACTCTGATAACTTCTATTTTATATAGCTATGCTTCAATAAGCAAACCTCTAGAATGAGTTAAACAACCTTTCTAAAGACAAAAAAAAAAAATCCTAAAAAGGTGAACTTGACCACATTAAGAACAGTGACATACAGCATCTAGAAAAACTTCTGTCGTGCCCTGCTGGTTAACAATAATGCCTGAAGTGTACACACTCTTGCTGCCAATGCAAGACTGCTGTGTGTGGAAACTGTATTTTAACTAGCTCCAAACACAGTAGTCAATTCAGATCCTGCACTTTTATTGCAAATTCAGCAACAGCAAGCAGTAAATTTCTGAAGTACATTATAAAGAGGCTCTTCTACAAGTAGGTACTTCTGTGGCATGCTGCTTCGTGGTCCTCGCAGGGTAATAGCCACCACACTGAAGAATTATAAATAGCAGTATTTCCAGATGTGAGGACATCTGACAGTGATGTGTTGGAAGCAGTGTGGTCGATGTGGACAAAGCTCTACATTATTTGTCACACACGTAATGAATCAGCATCACAAATATCAATACAGTTGTGTCTGACAAAACTACTGACATTTTTTTCTTATATATTAAAGATTTCACCCACATTTTGGCAGAAGTGCAAAAATCCTCTGGCTCAGGCTCTAAATGGCCAAGAGCTAACATGAACCAACACAGTGGGTGACCCTGTGTCACAGAAGCTCCCACTGCTAGCATTGTCACATCAAAGCTCGAACCCTTCAAGCACTTCATGCTCTCTTACTTTAAAAGCCTAACTTGTGCTGCGCTGAGTGGTGTTGCTGCACATGGTAGCACAACAGGGAGGATATGGGGGCCAGGGAGTAAAAAGAGAGAACAAAGGTTTCATCTCTGCCTAAATCTTGGCAGCTGCTTAAAGCTTTTTCTCAGCTCCATTGTCTTTAGCTACAGAACATTTGTAATCTGATCTCAACAGTTGTCATTTTGGAGACTAGCCTGTTAAAAATGTGACCACAACTTTGCTTTCCTCAGTGAAACAATTTGTGCTTTAGGACATCTTCAAACTTGCGACTGAATTTGTGAGCAAGTCCACACAGCAAATAGAAAACAAAACCCATAGACCAAACTGTAAAGATCAATTTGCTTGATTTTCTGTACAGTTAACACACAACCATTGATGGGCTGCAAGTTGAGGCACAGATTTATCCTCAATAAGGACAGACTGTAACAACACCTTTTTTGTAATATACCAATGGAAGAAGGAGTCTTTTTATTGCTTGCTTACCAATACTACTCAATAGAAGCAGTATTTTCACAACTAAATGATTAGATCCCAAGATTATTGTTCCCAGTAGTAAAATTTATAATACCAATTTTATCTCTGCTTGTCCTCTGTGGAAAAATTCCTTGAAAAATTAAATGCTTTTGGAACAGCCATTTTATTTAACACTGTCATTTTTGAAATACTAGACTCTGCAGAGAAGTGAATCTACATTAGTTTGAACTGGGAGTCCATTCTTGAAGCAAATCTCTCAATAATCCATCCACACCTTCCTACCCATCTCCCACTCTACTCACTAACACTAACAAGACAGATAAAATCCTTGTCCAGGGGGTTCTGGCCATCCACAAACACCAAAGATCATGCAAGATAACCAAGGGACAAACGACTCATGGATGCTCTCACACTTGCATTTCCTTAGTGCTACTAGGATCCAAAATTATTGCTCAGAATAAGCATATGCACAGAGACAACACACCTTTAGGGACATTAAATTCTTCCAAGAACCCTTACTAAAGAAAACAATTCAAGTCTTAAGCCAGTTTCGCATACTTTGGTGTGTGTGTGTAGGAAAACCTTAATCATTATACCTGTAAACATTCCAGAAGCCTTACAGGCCCACTTACTGCTTTGCAATCTGCTGATGTGAAGGCATTCTGACCAATACTGTATGCACCAAGACAGTGAAGACATTCTTGTTTGAAGAGCTCTTATGTTGGGAGAATTGTTTTTCAAGCACGTCTTTAAACAAAAGTAGTAGCAAGAGCTAGTAGCTAATATTAGGCATGCCTGTCTTGTTGGATGCATCATCAAAGCTGAAGCATTTCAAGCAATATGTTTTTTCAAAAAAAAATATAAAATGGATAGAATTACCTTCTTCAACAGCTGCTCAACTTCTTGCATTTGTGCACTACGATCAGTGGCAGACACTTTTGCATACTCTTGCTTTTTGCTGAGCCTGCTCTTCCAATCTTCTTCACCACTCTTCTTCAGCAATGCCAACCTAGAAGAAAAAACATGCCAACATAGTATCTTTAAACATTATACCTCCCATTGCCCTTAGAAACTACCCTTAGTACTTCGCTAATGATGCATTCAAGAAAATCTGAAATTAAGTTTTCTAGCTAACCATAGTTATTCACATTTTGTAGACATACACAAAGCTCACCAATGAACAAGCCTTTACTGAACACATCAAATGGGAATCATCTGACAAAACACAGACATCTAGTCTGAGACAGGCACTCCAGTTAATTTGTACAGTCAGTGCAAATTGCCAATACAGTCAAGGGAGGCCAGGGTATAATGAAGATCATCCTGAAGCAGACATATAAAGAGGTTAGATGAATCACTGCTTTCTTCCCCTCCTTGTCAATAAGGCACAGAGATCGACTAGCTCAGCTATGGATGCTTATGGTGTAGATGTCCAAAGTTAATGAGATAAATCCTATCACTGGTGTTTATTGTAGTCATTAAAAAAAAATAAAATAAATTTTATTTCCTTTAAAACCCAAGAAGGAAGAGGTTTATTAAGAGCAGGCAGCCATCAATTAGGTCTCATCAGGCACATCAAACGATAACTTTGCAGTTAATGCTTGGACTACAACCCTGATGACTGAAGTTACTATCAGACTGCTAGGGATCATTTAGTATCTCCTTGCTCATTTCAGGCATTGCTGTCATATAAATTAGTAGTACCGATGCACTAACAACTTGGTGCTACTGTACTACAGCTGTGAAGCCCATCTGCAAGATTCAACTGGTTTAAAGGAAGCCTTATATTTAAAATGTAGATTACCATTAATCTCAGTTAAGCACGATCTTGTAAAAGCACTATTTTGTAATCTTAAGTAAAATTCTAAATACAGCACAAATGGATGCTGACTGGCCCAGTGGGCACAGCACATAGACTTGTTTTGCTGGAATTAGAACCTATCTCTCAATACAAACTCTGAGGTGATTAGTTTTGGGGGCAGAGGAAATCAATTTGGAATATAAGGTCCACAGAGACGTGATCTTCAGCTTACCTCCCTCAAAAAATAATATTTGTGTGAATTTTCTAGCTAAGAATGGTTTCTGAAAGCATTTCTTAAAAATGTGCATCTGTAGCACTTGTGCAAACATTTGCAGTGGTCCACTAAGTCATTTTTATTTTAGTTGAATTGTTAAATTTTGTTACATTACCTTTTTTTTTTTTTTTTTTCTTAATCTAGGGCATTTCAGTAAGGATTATACCAAGACCCTTAACCCTATTACTATTTGTACAGGTTCAGTAGGTTGTCAACTTATCTCCATCACAAGACATGAAGATGTGCTTTCAGAGATGTGATTACTGTACAAGTTTTGTCCTGAAACTATGAAAAGGAAGAGATAGGACTGTTTCAGGCAGTTGCTTCTTGCAAAAATCCAGGCAGTGTAGCCATGCTACTAACATCCTCAAGAAAACCCAATTGGCCCTAAGGCAGTCAGCTGAGAAAAACTGAAGACAGTAAATCCAAAGAATACAATGGCAGTAAGAATGCTGTGTTCAAGAAAACAGTTGTTTCCTCTCTTTCTCTTCCCGCCCATGCAGACAGTGCTGGCAAGCTTCACATTGCCTGGCTGCTTTGTACCTAACAGCACTGCATGGGTAGGGGTGAAGAGGACTCAGGATGAAGAGTTGAGGCCATGGTCATTGTTTTCAGAACTTCCACAAGATTTCAATGCCCAGAACTTATCTGCTGAAGTACATCCATGCATGTGTGAAACTGCGGAGGAGACCAAGATCGGACTGAATTGCCACCACACAGCTGAATTATCTTCAATAGTCACGTTCTCTCAGGTCAGCTTTGCTTAAAACGATCTGCACTAATTGAAGCTGGAAGGTGTTTTGATCAGCTTTAGCCTAAAATGGGTTTGTTTTTAAAAATGTCCACAGCTGCACAGCATAGCAGGCAGAAAAAATCTGCCCTGTTTTTTGACCCTGTAGTTTGACATTACTGAAGGGTATCTGCCCTTGACCTTTGGCACAAACAGCTTGGCAGATCAGGAAGGGGAAATCTCTAATTCTGAGACTGTTTCTTTTGTCTCTGGAGACTGTTCTCTTCTTCGTCATAAGGATGGATTCATCCTCCACTTGTATATGCAATGAAAGAACTCATTCCTACAGTAAGGTCATATGTTTGTCTGCCTCAAGCAATTAACACTTTTAAAGAATTGGGCATGCCCAGCATGCCCTTGAAAACTTCACTGCTGCACAAAACCTAAAGCCATGCATTTGTCTCGAACCATGGAAACAGCAATAAATACTGACCACCTTGACTCAATAGCCTTTGGAGGGCATCTTTTTGTATAAATAAAGCTGCAAAAAATGCTGAACTGGATCACACAAGCAGGCCCACCAGATCAGTAGTGTAACTCTGAGAGCAGACAGCAACTGATTCTTTGAAAAGTTTGGGGAAAGAAATTAAAAAAAAGAATTTGGGGGTCTAACCCTTGGATTTGTTTAAGGCCTGCTGCCTACTAGTTTCATTGCATCTCCAGTTTGATTCATTATTCACCTTCATAGTTCTACTCATACAGCTTCCTCCTTTGCATCCCAAAGTTCATTTTCCAATCTGAAAAATAGGTTTTACCCTGTTCTTGAAAGGAAAAATCTTTACTATATATCTGACCATCTTTGTCAGCTTGCCTAGTGTCTTTTTTTTACCTGCTACTCAGATAAAATGATCCAGAGGTGTCAGGATGGAGTCAAAATAAAGTAAAAGGTTTCAAAAATGAAGGAAAAATGTCAGATTAGTACTGAGGGCAAATGCAAGCAAGATTCCAACAGTGGTTTTGCCTAAATAAGGAGCATTGTCTGAAAAGCCTTGGCAAAAGCCCAGGCAAAAATGAAAAGAAAAAAAAGACATCTTTCTTCTGTGGCAATCTTTTAGTATCTTTGCTGCTAGTGTCATCCTTGAGATGACACGAACTGGACACAGATTTGGCTTTCACATGGACTCCGTTGGCTGCACTTGACCAGCTCTTTTTAGCTGCCTTTCAGATGCCTGGAGGCCAATTTGAGTGCAGTAATACAGACAGGAAGCCGGTGGTCAAAGAGTTCATATATTCACTATATACGTGTCCTAGGCTACAGAAGGTCTTGTTCTGGCATCCATTCATCAAAAAAAGGTTGAAACTAAAGTTTAGATTGGGTTTGTCCTGACAAGGACTGAACGAAGGCTGGAGGTCCACCAGCAACTTATCTGTAGTTTTTGAATATCATTTTCATGGTGTACAGCTGACTTCTGAAGAGGAGCAGGCAGGGTGGCTTTCGAGAAACTCTGGTCTCCGTAAATGTACAAATACAGGTAGCTACACGTAAATGACACTCCGTTCAAAGTCCTCCAAGACATTCCTCTTCCTGAAGGCCTCTCCCAAACTCCTAATTTGTCTAGCTGAATACAAGACAATTATAAAAAGGTTTCCCGCACTCATATATAACATGTCAGTGGATCGGTCCTGTCTAACAAAAAACACAGCCTACTGTAAGAGATGAGCCTTTGCTCCCTCTCACCTCCGAGTGTCATGTTTGCAGAAGAGAGGATAGGCATATATTCTTTCTTTAAAAATCACGGTTTTCATTCTTCCATAAAATATAGGTAATTTTGAAAATGCTAGGTATGCACTCACCCCACAAGGATAATACTACTTCAGTGAAATAAGTCTGTGGAAAATCACTTTCGTCCAGACCAACATGCATGCATCCTGCCCAAATATCATTACATCTGTGGAAAAGCTGTTCTTCCATAAGGTGAAAGAATGTCTGACACAGCCAGAAAAATCCACTGGATGGGAAGATGAAGTTAGTGAATGTAAAAGGGAAAAAAAAAATCCAACCCAAAAAAGCAAAGTGTAAAAGTTAATCTTTAGCAGCAATGTTCTTTGAGGTTTATGAATAGTTGGCGTCAGCTACGGTCATGCAAAAGAAAAAAAGAATACAACCAGTCTTTTTAGTCTTTTTTTTTTCTTTTTTTTTTTTTTAATTCTAGGTCAAGAAGTAGAGTACCGTAGTATTTTGGAATGCTAAAATGATTTGGTAACAGCTCTGCCATTTACAGATGTTTGCAGAATCAGAGAATACAAATCCCTGACAAGACAACAGGTATTTTCTGGTGTTGGCTTTCGTGTTGAATAGACAGTCCTGAAGGCCCAATGAAAGCAATTCCTGATTGTGAGTGTGACTGACAGTCTGACAGGAACATCAGTTCTTCAAGAGACCAACTCAACTGAAGCATTAAATTTAGGATCGAACCAGCTGCTCATACTTGGATGTTCCCCCTCCCTCCAGTCTCTTTTTCCTCACTAGGCTCAGGGAAGGTAGATCATTTACTACCCATAAACCAGAATTTACTGGATTTAAGTCTCATCTGTCCAGACAGTTGACATATTTGCAGAAGGATTAAGGGGGAAAGGTTGCTTTAAAACAAACAAACAAAAAAAAACAGTAAACTGAAAATGCTAAGTACGTCTTTCAGAAAGGGGACTAAGACTGTTACAGCTGTTTTAGTCACTCTTTTCTCCTTATATTAAACAGATAACAGGGAGTGGGGATGCTAAAAATGAGGATGACTCACACACATCCTAGAAATACATGAAGCATGCTTTGGTATCTTGTTGAAAAAAATGGATTGGAGTACCTAATATCACACCCACCTCACAAAGTGATGGAATACTTTGACACACTGAAAGTTCAGTGAAGCAGCTACTTTGATTTATCAGTTCTACGTTCACTGCACAAAAACTGAAGTATGAATAAGCTTATTTGTCATTCTGAAGCAAACAATCATAATTTTACTCACTGCGCTGCTACTGGATCCTTTTATACTTTGGGACTAAGTTTATACTCCTAACGTTTTAACTAAATTAGAACAAGTTTTACAAATACTACAGCAGCTATTGGAGCTCCAGCTAGGATCTCCTAGGTTCTATACAAGGACAAAATAATTAACATTTGATTTCATTTTTGAATGATCTCGGGCTCGAAAAATTGCTTCTAATACTCCCACAAACCTTTCCAGTCTATCATCCTTTAAAATCCCAGAGGAAGTTCTCAGACATCAAAACAGAAACTATATATTTCTGAAGTAAAGTGGGAAATATCACAGAGTCCATCCCTGATTCTCTGTACTTGGTTTACTATAAAGAGACTATTTCCACAGAGCAACAATGAAACAGCTAATTAAAAAATAAAATTAAAAAAAAAAAATCATATTATAACTTGTAACTGAAAACAGAACCCGATGAAATATATTGAGTAGAACAAATGTAACTAGAATAACTATTTTACTACTTTCATTTTCTGAATCTCTTATTGATTTTTCAGGTGGTTGTTTCAAAATCAGATTATCATGTTCTCTTCAACAGTAACTCTCATTCATCATGAGATGACGATGCTTTATAAGCATGTCAGTCAGATTAACTGCATGTTTCTGCTGTTAGTTTCTGACAGCGAATAGAGCCCAGTAAACAGTGCTTAGCTTTTTTAGAAAAAGGCTTAAAGCTTCTTTTTATAATCATCACTCTAATAACTGTATTTAGAGACCATTTCAATAAAGTGAAATTTAAGTACCTTTCCTTAATTGACATCGTTTTGCTGGAACTATCAAGGACATCTTCAGCTGCTTGTGTTTTGTTCTCTCCAACAGAAAACATCTCACAGGAGTTCTTATAAAATTTTCCTTCCAATTGTTCGGAGAGCTCCTGCAGTCTACAGGATGCCACAGCTGCAGTCTGTGAAACAGTCCTCGTTGCTGATGTGCTGGTGAGTTCAGAAGTAGACTCAACATGGTCTGCCCGGTCAAAAGAAATGCGCTGAATTAGACTTAGTGCTATTCTCAAACTTATTTTACATTACATACACTGAAGCAGTAAATCTGTTTTTTTAAAAATTCAAATCACAAATCACATGCTATTCCAAAAGAGAAAACAATTCTGGCTGAGCTAGCATAGAAAGACTAATTGTTCAATATTATCTGTTGAACAGACTGTCCCTTTTTGACTGAAGTTCACATGAAGCCACAGAGCTTCAATGTTCAATGCACAATTCTGAACTTCATATGGATGAGGCACAAATTGCTGCTCCTTTCATCATGCCAACATGAAAAAAAAAAAAGAGATGAAAGAGAGAGGGGAACAAAGGGTAGGGGAAGAGAAGCTGAATTTAAAGAAATTAATTTAAAGGTTAAACATTTAATGCATAAGTACCACACTAGAATAATTTAATATATTTAATAATTTAATTAAGATCTTATTTTCTAGGAGGGTGTTAGGTTCTTTTTTCTTGTTTTCTTGAGCTGCAATTAAACCACAGGAAAAAGTGCCTTGAGAAAAAATAAATGCACCATGAGAGCTATCCTGAAGGAAACAGAACTTACCTTCATTCTTTTTGAAATTTTACTAGCACAATACCCCCTGATACATGACTGCTCCTGTTCTACCCCAGTCTCCGTCTCCTCTGTAGTCACAGAAAGCTAATTAGATAGAATGGACACTGCTTTTGATGAATACAAGCAGAACTATACCTTCCTCCCTACATCTATTTGGAGACCATTTAAATTCAAAATTAAATAACTTCACAGGATAAAGAAAAAAATATTTCTAGCCCTATAGGTTACTTTGGTCCTGTACCCCCAACTTAAAACAAAAAACTGCTCTAGAATTACTTGGTTTATATTTTGTCATAAAATTGAAGGGAAAATAAGAGTAGTGTTTCAATAATCATATATCACTACTTGCTATATACGTACATATGTGGCTAATATATAACAAATATAGCTATATATTCAGAAGGTGGCAAGAATTCAGAACAAATACTTGACCCAGAGCAACAAGTTCAGCTTGTTCAGTATTTTGGAGTGCAGAGGAACGGGCAGTAAAGGAAACAACAAAAAAATTAACTTCAGTGTATACTGCCACTTACCACAAAAGTTAAGAAAATCTCAAAATTGAGCCATCTCTAAGGCCTGAAGAGGTACAAGAATAACTAAGAGAAAATTGTACTTGCAAAACTTAAGTTGTCACAACTTTTTCTCTACCTTTAAGCAGCGTTAAAAAAGAAAAACTGTCTTGATAATATTTGAAATGATGTTTAAAAACTGAGAAACTGCTGTTTGCTAAACTAGACTACACCAACAGCAGGCATATATTGCACTTCTTTGCAAAGTCTTGCTTTGCACGTCACATTCCAAATCCATGTTTTCTTCAAAGGACTGGCCTTCTTTGGCTTCCCGCTTACCTTGCATGCTAGTATCCATTTCCTTATGCTCAAGAGGCTGAAAAAGTGCTTGTGAACTAAACAGTTCCATGCTGCCCTTCCTCAGGAAGCTGTATGTAGATTCTTTATGGTAGTCCCCTGTTTTTTCAGGAACAGGATGTGTGGTTTCTTCCTCAAAGGAGCTGTACTTTCTAATTTCATTAGCCTCATGTGCCAGAAACCTCTTTCCCTCTTCTTCATGCTTCTTTGATGATCTTTTGCTTTCTAGCAGTTCTGATGAAGGCTGCCACTGTTCTGACTTCTGCATGTGTTTTCCTGAAGACTCCGAGTTTTCGGCTGAAGTGTGGAATCTCAAATCAGCTTTTGTGGCAGCACTCACGCTTCCATCTCTGGCTTGCTTCGCATGCAGGTCTCCGGCAAACAGTGCAGAAAGGGCAGAAGCCATTGTTGCAACTGATGTTGCGACTGCGGTTGGCAGGGGAGCAATTTTTCCACTTTCACTTTGCACCTATGGACAAACACATAAAAATAAAAAAGGACCTGAGAGCTCCGAAATCATCCATTCCCAAGAAAAGTCTACCACGTAAGTTCTTCAGAGCAGAAAGTATGCTTCCACATGAGTACAATGCTCTACAAATACACACTTGTAACAGTTAGGGGGAGCCAGAATGCCCCATCAATTGGCTGTAAATGGATGATTCCACCCCAGGTAAAAATGACTAAATGACTGCATATGCACAGCAAAATCTTTAGCAATAGAGGGCAGGTGTGTAGCATGCAATATGACTTTGTGTCAGAGCTCCATTAAAGGTCCGTCCTGACATGGTACTGCACAGCACCGGGAGCAGGAATTAGTTCGGGTTCCAGATGCCGGATGACATGCCATGTGCTCAGGCTAATCAACAGGGCTAATTGGCTTTGGCACAGCTCTGCTCTGATATGGTTATGCAGCTTGCAGCTCCAAAGCAAGCTCAGCACCAAGAGAATGTTCCGTGCTGTCTTACATGGGGCACACATTCCCGACACTTTCGCCACATAAATCACCTTCACACAGGACTATTAGTCTAAGAGTTTTTAAAAATCAAACACTTGCTGTCTCTTACATCTCTAAGAGAAGTATTGGTATCTAAGAATTACATAATGAAGTCCAAATTTGCCTTGCCAGCCTCTACAGAGACAGTTAAGATGCAAAATTTCCCTGAAATGGACAGCTTGGGTTTGTCTTCTCCAAAGGGGATAAAAGCCATGAAATAGTGACAAATATGCCTTCATACAAATCAGGAGATGTTTTTTGTTTGACTTTTTTGTTGTTTTCTTTAACTGCAGGGCTAGTGAACAGCATGCAAAAGGAATAGGCAAACTCACACCACTAGGAGTAAGTCAACTAAACACTTAAAAAAGCACATGCAAATTCCATAAAGCATGGACAACACACTCATATATTAAATCAGAAAGCTGAGCAAAGACTACTACACTAGCTCAAAGATTCCAAAGAAACATTAATAACATAGTTACCGGTTTACTCTTTTTCCATTGCATCTATTAGAATTAGAAATTTAGAGGAGATCAGCAAAGGGATTTCAGCTTCAGTTACAAGATATTTACATTTGCAATTATGCATTTTGGTAATAAAACCTCTAGTTGTCTATTTTCTTACCTTTCCTTTGTTTCTTCCTACAACAACCATAGCTACATCTCAAAACTCCAAATGCACAGCTCACTATGTAAGGTCTTTTTGACAAAACATTCCTATAGTACTGTTTAGAGGCAACTGGTTTCTTTTGCTAGGTTCAAAAGGATATGACAAAATATGCTTCCTCCGCATTTTCTTGCTTGAAGTGTAAGTTCATCTTGTAAAAGTCTGACAAATTAATGTGACTGTCACTGGCTTCTTTCCCATCTTCTTCAGCCCATTTCTGTTGATCACCTTCCTGGCCCCCAAACAAGTTAGTGACATGATCATTAAAGAGTTCAAACTGTGATAGTGGTTGGCGTATGGAAAATGAATGGAAATAGTACTCTGTAATGTCTGGAAATCTGGTTAAGATAAATATGCCAAATATTTACTACTACTTCAAGCCTAAGTAAAGTAAGCATAAGGCACAGTTATGTATTCATGCAGTTTTGCACTAATATACTTAAAGAAATCCTACCTTCCCACAATTCTATTAATATATGGAAAATGTAGGAAGATCAATGAAGCATTATAGAAAGCGTAGGTAGGGAAGGAACTTTCTAACACTCAGATCAATCCAAATCCTTAGAAATGCAACATGCAAAGGAGTGATCCTTCACTGTTAAAGTGATTTCTTCTAAAGCTATAGTGCTAAGGGACTGATGTTGCAAACATCAGATCTGAAAGATTACTGCTTGGCCATCCTGTTCTCAAGCTTCACTAAAAAGGCATTCCTTTCCAGTTCCAATTATATGAAGGATTCCAGACTGAGAAGCCCAATTCCACTGCACAGTTTTAAATCACTTCATTTTAATCATGAATTTCTGAATTTCAGAAGTATTCTGTTTTGGTGAAACAAAAGAAGAATTAAAATCAATGCCCCCTCCCAGTGGAAAACAACAGAACAATGTCGTAATACTGGAATAAATAGTGCCTCCAGGAACAGATTTGAAAGATGCACATGACAAAGCTCCAAAAAGAGATGCATCACAGTTTTCACCCTTTTGGTCATGAATTTACTTTTAGAAGTTGAAAAAGACACCGGAAAAGACATAGACCATGAAAGGTACAGTGTGCACTCATCAGGAAGATGATATACTCTTAAATTACTTATAAAAGGAAAACACATCAGTGAACTTGAACATTTTGGAGGATGTTGTTTCTCAGTGTCAGAAGACTGCTTCCTGAAGCTTTTTCCTGTGAATATGTCATGACCCCACTGTGTAGCTCAGAGCAAAGAAAAGGCCAACTGTCGTGGCATTTCACACTAAAGCTCTTTTTTTCAATAAAAAACTAACAAATGAAAAAGAACTAAGATTGCACTTACCTGCTCAACTTCTCCAAGAGTGACGGGCTGGGTCTGGTAACGAGCATTCATCCTCCTGTGCCTAATGTCTCCTCGACTCCTTGTGGAGATGGCCCTGGATACTGGTTGAGACAGTTTGTTAAACAAAGCCATCTTTTCTGCCAAACTTAATGTGGAAGAATCTGGTTCATCAGACTGATCTTGCCCCATCGCCTCTTTGGCTGCTCTTATCTCCTCTTTAGCTAAAATTTTTTGGTGTGCTGATGCCTGCAAGCTGAAGAAACAGAACTGGAAATGAGTTTTAAAGATGCTGTTACGAAGTTTTAGAATCTTAACCTGATAGAAGCAGAAGAACTGCGTATGAAGCACAATAGCCAATGTAATATAGCAGCCTAAGTGGTTATGCAGTGGTTCAACATTGGCATGATGGGTTCTAATTTAACAGCTGAAGATTTAAAAAAAAGTTAAAATTTTTCATTCGCAAATTCATTTGATTATGACATAACAATTTTTTGAAAGGAGAACTCAAGATTGAAGACAGACTTTTCAGACCAATCACTTTATACAGAATACAGAGTTAGAGACATTTACAATGCTGCTGTAGAACAAACACTTGTCCTACAATGCAACTTATGTAAAATTCAGTTTTATTAGAAATAATTTGTGGATCATATAGGATAAAACATGTAGAAGATGAATTTAAATTCCAAGTTAGGGCTTCTTTTAGGTTAGCATAAATTGTAATGCCTCTGATAATTTGAAGGAGAATAGAGGTCAGTTTTGCTTTTGTTTAGAGTTATCGGGGTGACTCAACAATAAAAAATAGTTTTGCAATATACTCCATTAATTTTGAAGATTGTTTGACCAATGCTGAAGGCAGACACATTCATTCATAAAAGCTGTAACTGCATTTGTCTCTACAATAACATTTTATTCACCTCTAGCTAGATTCAGCCACATTTATGGAATTAGTATTTTTTTTCTGTTGTGCTCTCTTTGCTAAAATTCTCTTGTTCAGAATGTAATAGTATTCTGCAACTTTACCTATAGGTGGTGCAATTTCTTATCTTTCCTTCAATTTTGCAAACTATAAAAAAATATATGTAGAGACAGACAAAGAGGATATGTACTGCTTGTGAAATCAAGCACCCAGCTCTGGTATTTTCACGTCAAGATGACATCACTATATATAAAAGTACAAGAGCAAAGAGGGTTCTGCCAGGTTTGCTCACATGCATATTCATTTCTTTCACATATAATACACTTCTAGAATAGGTGAGTGTGGTTAGAGAGGTCCTAAAAACAGATGCTTGACCAAAAAAAGCTGCGATGTTTTATCATGCAAACGTAAACAAAGTTGACAAATGTTTTAAATACTCTTGAAACAAGTATTGACTTGACACATTGAAAAGGCATTCAAGATTTTAAAGATGCATCTGCTATTGAGGAATCTTGTGCTCCATGTAACATGCATGTTTATCCCCCCCAGTACCTGATAGGTTGTACAGTGCTCTTAACTACAGTGGGACTAGGTACTCTTGTCACTACTGTGTGGGTATTCACAGAACGTGAAGCAGGGGTAGGTTCACTTTAAAGAATTGCCAAGGAGGGAAAATTCACAGGGAGAGAGAAGAAAAAAGCATTAAGAAAAGCAATACATTAAGTGTTAACTACAGAAAAGACCAAAAACAAAACAAAACAGAAAAAAACAAATAGCAATGATTTTTAATTAACTGCTGTGAACTTTGCAAAATAACATCAAATACTTTGAAAGAACTAAAAGCCTAGAGGAGCAAACAGGTTGTCTCTCGAAGATGCTGTTACCCGTAACATAAGCCATCTTTTAGCAGATCATTAGATGAACATCTATTCACCTTTTTCTCCATTTTCCCCCCAAAATATTTTTTTTTTTCAGGAAACTTTCATGATGTATGACCAAAGTGCAAGAAATGTTTTCAGGAAGTACATTTGAGATTTCAGATTTTAAAAGCCTTTTCCCAATACAAATACATTCCATAAGAAATAGTGCAGATTTCCCTCAGTGTGAAGTATCCTTTTCATTTGAGTTACAAACCAATGCTATGATTAATCCCATTTACCTAATCTACAGCTTCATAAACCTTCTGCCAAATTACAGTTCATGCAATTTATGTTTTACTAGTCCCTCTACTTCTAATAAGGAATTCCAATATAGCTTCCCTTGTGGTTCTCAAGGAAGTTGGCCCTTAACAATAAACATTTTTCCTTGCTACAAAGTTGTAAACACCACATATATGGTACTTATTCCCAGATTTAAAAGCAGGAACCAAAGTTAGAGCCAACACATGAACAAGACTTACGAAGCTGCAATGACCACTTCCTCACTGGTAATTGGTTGTGTGTGCGATCTATCCTGCAAACGCCGCAGTCTTCTCTCTACTGCTGAACTTCTTGTAGGTGGTTTAGGAATATTCTTCATTTCAAATGATTTTTCCATTTCCTAAGTGGACATATGTCATAATTAAAACCATGAAAAAAAAAAGTTCTAAAACACTATTTTCTTTTCAGCTTTCCCGGATGCAAAGTATTAATTTTCCTCATTGTCCACCTCTGAATTAGAACCAGGATATAATAATACAGTAGCCATCATGGAGTTAAAATTAACTGCACATTTCTTCAAATGTTGTTCTCAAAGATGGCTTTAAAGCAACAGGTCTGCTGCATAGGTAGACGAGATGAAGTTAAAAAAAAAAAAAAAGTATGTGCTTGGACTTGGTTAGCTGCATTACACTTCATTCTAATGAACCTAATCATCCTCAGCATCTTGAATATGCAATGTTTAGCTCTGTTTTCTATTAAGAAAATGTAATACTTACTCTAAAAAGCAGCCTCTTTGCAGCTACACTTAGTTTGGCTCGGTCATCTAATTTTTCTTCATCTACAGAAAGAAAAAAAAAAGCTGAATGTAATGAATATAATGAATCAAGCTCATAGCTTGTAGTAAGTGAAAGTTTTTCTGACTAAATGATTTCCAAACTCCCCCAAAATAACATTTTAGTAATAAAAGAAGCATTTGCAGCAAATAAATTGGCTGTACTCTCTTTTAATGAAAGATATATCATGAACCAAATTGAATAAACTTATACTTGTATTTACATGTATTGCACCAGAGAAAAATTCTGAACAGGATTTTGGGAGCAAAAGATTTTTCTTCAGGACAGTTCATGTGATTTCAGGGTAAGCATTATTATAAGCATTATTTATAATCATATATGTATTAGTCTATGACAACACATTGACTAAGGAAATACTTAAGACTGAGAGATCAACCACTGTCTTAAGCTCAGTATTTATCCTGCTGAATAGGACACCTATTTTCTCTCAGTTGACCAGACAAGAGTCTCTCCTGGCAGCTGGTCATTCTGATTACCATCTTGTATGCCCATATTTTAAAGGTTCAACTGGTATGCTTAGGAGCTGAAATCAGCATCCTCCAGATCCAAGAGCCAGCATCTCAAAGCTGCAGAGTATCAGCTTTCAAATAGCATAAGGCATTAAAGTCTAAATTTAGCTCCTCATGAGATTAGCTTCTTAATTTGTGCCAGAGTTGCCGAGAGTGACATGAAGAAAAGAGAAGCAAGATGGCAGACAATTATATAATTTAATAACCAGCATCTTGCAACATCCTTAGCTAGGAAATACTTTGCTAATATCAGTTTCCCACTATAGTAAAAGCTTTTTAGTTATTAGCCCTGAACTAATGATTAAAATGTGTTTTTTGTTTTGTTTTGTTTTTGTTTTTTCCAGCTAGCAGTCAGATAAAAGCAATTAAATTAAAAAAGCAAGCCACTCCACCCTCTACTCCCCATATATAGTTAGGAGTCCACAGATCAACTTCTGGGCTTAAATTAATCTGAAATTAAGTCTGTAGCAGACATGGCCAAGGAAAAGTGGTACTTCAAACGTATTATAGGAATTGATGCTTATATTCAGGTGGACTTTGTTTGCATTATCAAACACCACTTCAGTTAAAAAAAATACATTTGTTCCCATTTCTTCCTTAGAAAATTGTATAGTGACATACCATCGGCAGTTGGTATTTCTGCACTCAAAAATGACCTAGTGAAAAATAATCAAACAGGAAGAAGTTAGCTTGAAATGAGACATCAAAAATGAGATTCAAACTCCATCTGAAGCAGCAAGACATAAGAATTCTTAAGAATTTGAAACTTGTCTATTTTTCAAGTTTCAACAGTTTCCACTTGTAACATCCTTTAATAAAGCAGAAAGGCAAGCAATCACAGCCACACTTGAATACAGTAAGGGAAAATGATTTCCACTTCATCTTGCAGAAGATCTAAGATTTGATGCCAACTCTTTTAACACAAAATCTGTATTTTTTTTTATAGTAAATGATAAAGCAGAGTAGATGGGCTCTTTATTTTATATAACTCTTTATATAAAAACAGACAAAAGCTTTTATCATTAGACAGAACCAGACAGCTGTAATACTTTATGATTCACTGTTTACCATTTTATGGAGAGGGATTTGCAGCAAATTGGTTTTTCTTGGGTTTTATTTCATGAGAAACTGCATACTCAAGTCAATTGGAATTTATCCTATAACCAATACTCGATTATTTTTAAGGGGAAATGATAACCTTGTAAAATATTTATGCTAACAAGTGAACAAAATTTTTTCACAAGCTTGTTCATGCCTACCTGCACCAGAACGCTACACAGAACCACATACATGCCTACCTATCCGTCTCCTTTCGTTCTGCTGACGTTATAGGTTGAGTTTTAAATCTCTCAGAAGTCTTTCTATTTTCACCAGGAGTAAAATAGCGCCTCGGCCTTCGTGGCCCTCTTTCGCGATCCCCATTGGCAGACAAAGCGCTACCTGACGTTGACATCTCAAACCGAGACTCGCTTTTAAACCACATGATAGAAAGCGCATAGGAAAGAAAATAGGAGAGAGAAGTAAAGCATAGATGTAAGCATCTCTACAATCCACCAGAGATCACTCTGCATGCTCCTCCGGTACCATGCACGGACATACACCTCCCAGCTACCCCCATCACAACTTGCACCAGCAAGCAGAAGCACAGAAGCGGCCTTCAGACCATCTCAGCCTCCAATACACACTGGTGAGAGCTAAGCTGTGTGCTTTAAGTGCCCAACACAACTGTTGTTGAGTGTGTGTAATTTTGCCAAGGACGTGCAAGTTTCACACGAAAATACGTCTGAAATGTCACCTACAGGTCTGTTTTCTTGTTGGCATTAGCAGTTTCCAGAAAGACATTACGGAGCTGGGCAACAGAGACTTTTGTGTCAACCATGCCAATCTCACCATTTGCTGCATTTGCTTCCGTGCTCTCCTTACTATGAAAAGATGCTAGCTTAGGAGCCACCGTATAGTCAGACATGGAGCGAGTCAGGACTTTATGCTTTGCTGTTGACACTTTCCAGACGGGCCCTTTTGCCTTGTCAGGCTGCGACACGGACCCGCTCTGTATGTACATAACCGCTTCGCTCCTTTCTATGTTCTCCGGGGCCTTCGGGGGCTGCTCAGGACCCTGTCTCCTATTGCACTCTAGCTCCCTCTGAACTTCCGAGTTGACTTTCGGCTTGCTGGCAGAAGAGGAGCTCCCCATGGTGGTGGTATCCAGTTCTCCTCCTCCAAAGAGGCCTTCGTGGCTCTTCCCTTGCTTGCGGATCTCAGACGGCAAGATGGGCCTTCTGCCTTTGGAAGCCTGCTCACCCTCCAGGGCCTCCTCTTCATCAGGCTTTGCTCCATAACCGAGCGCCTCTTTCTTGTCGCTCTCCGACGCTGGGGCCGCTGCTGGTTTTGTTAGCAGGCTGACGCTGTCTGCTACGAGGCGGCTGCCAACGGGGAGATTTTCTGCTTCTTCAGTTGCCATCAGCTGAGCCGTGTGAGCAACGCCAGCAGGCTGGATATAGCCATGTATTGGTTGGCGGACCGCGCTGACGGGCTGATTTACAACCCTGTCAAAGGCAGACGTTTCTGTCTGGAGAGGCATGTAGTGGGCTGGCATGGGATGGGACTTTCTCTGAGGGACACTGTCTGTGACAGGTTCGGGGCTTCCACGCGCGCTTTCCTCTTTCACCAGTTTCTCTCTAACTTTTACTCTTTAAGAAAGAAAAAGGATCAAAGCTGTGAACAGCGATACCCAATCTGGGAAGGAACACAGACCGAGGGTACAGACAGCAATATCGTATTCAAATAAAAAGCAATCAGTATAAAAAAAGAGAGCAATATTATGATGCTACCCCTTCCTACCCCCCGGTTTTAGCAGTAATATTGCTCAAAACCATTCCGGTGATTCACAGGCCCTTGAACATGCATGGCTCCCGAGAGGTAACCCAGCAAGCCCAGAAAACGGCCAGCGTCTTCCCATTAGGCCACAATTGCATTTGGCCAACAGCACATACCCATAGTCTCAGCCAAACAAACAGATAATCAAACTCATGTTTGTTATTAAAGTGTTGGGTTCAGCTTGAAGTTGCATATTGTGTTGACAATCCCGTATTTATTTGGATTTGTAAAGGTTTCTAAACATCGGGCAGCTTACTTCATACCGAAATACTGTTGCATATTGGGGGAGAGGATGAAAACACGTTGGTATCTCCACCTAAACCTTCTGATGTTTGAGATTTTGTTTACTTTTGTGTATCATGTAACATTTTACATGTCTTACATCTAGTATAACTTAGTACAGAAAGTGAGAAAAATGTTGAAAGTGCAAGCCTTGAAGCCCCAGGTGAAACTATGGCATGGCTGTTGCTGTTTAGAGGGCTTGCAGGGGATCAGAAGTTTCAAGAGAAAACCAGAACCAGGCATTCTGTTTTAAAAAGTCTTAAATTGTCTTAAACATTCCAACATGCAAAACCTACAGGAATGTTCCCAAAGGTTACCTTACTCCAGAGTATTTTCTAGAAACACTTGTAGACTTGTGGAGCACACATGCAAAACACAGAGTCATGTTCTACCTGTAGACACTTAATGCAACTCCGCTAACAAAAACCAAGCATGCGCAACTGGAGGCAGCCTTTGCTTTACAAATACACAAAGTTATATACACATTATAACATGTTATTAATATATTATATTATATACAACGTTATCTTATACAAAATAACTGCAGCTCCACTCTCCAGCAGTTTTACAGCCGCACCAGGTGGTCAGACAGCTTACAGGGTGAGTATTGGTAAATATCACATACACAGTATTAAAAATGAAAGCTTTGTACTTCCTCTCCTTGCAAATGGGTATCAAGAATGATTTTTAACTCTGAACAAGGTTAGAAACCCTAATCCAGCTCTAAGTATGTGCAAGTCCAGGTTTGCTGCTATGGGACTTTTTGAAGTTTATATTATTAAAAAAGCACCACTTATAAAAAAGGAAAATTAATGTCTGAGAGGATTAATTCCGGATATCCAAATTTACTTGAAACACTGACCTTTCTAATATTTTGGTGTTTCTTATCTCTTACTATTGGTGCACTTACCAGGGAACCTTCTCAAGTTTACTTAAGCACGGAAAGTTTATTTACTGTTAAAAAGTGATTCTTTAAACCGTTATGCATGTACCGAGCATGCTCCAGAACATCCACAGCAATGTTAGTAACTGGGTTATAAGAGATATTTTAACCAGGAACACGGGAAAGAGTCTTTCTGCAATGCTTTGCATGGTGGGCTAACAGTATGTGTTACCCAACTGGGAGGAAGCAGCTGCTTGTAGCTCTGATCGAGATCCTGCTTTATCTTCCAATATTATTTTTTTTACTTTCCTTTCACCATTGCCTTTGGAATTCAAGGATTTTATTGTAAGGAATGCTAATGCGGATTGGGTTGTGGTAGAAAAATCTCTTGGTTTGCAGAGTGCAAAACGAGATGAAATAAGTTATAAGTTATAAAAATTAGCAGAAGCCAGTATGATAATAGCAGTGGAAGAAGTGAGGGGCATTTGTACTTCTCCATCAAAATATCAGTTGGTTGCAAGTCACAATAAAAGCAGATGCTTCAGAAGAGTTTCAACAGCTGTTTATCCGCAAGAAATGATACTTTCTAACTCACTGCTGTTAAGGGAAAATAAAGGGCAAATGTTAAATGATGCCAGGGTAAAGGGGAAGAAAAGGGAGGTGTTCAGTCAGATTGTTAGCCACACAGCTACATTTTATGATACCTGGAGGGCCAGCTGATAAGTGAAGGTGTGTCCCCTTCCGAATCTTTCTGAAGAAACCACTCAGGTTTTGATTTCCCTGCACTACTACAGAAAACAGAACTTCAGGTAGTTTTGGAGAAAATCTCAACATTTGCTCACTCTCATCTCCCATTCTTCCCTCCCCCCATTTGAGCTCAAAACCTTTTCATTTTTAAATGAAGATGCAATTACATAGAAAGGACCATTCAGGAAAAAAAAAAAAAAAAAAAAAAAAGTACAGCACAGTAATCAAATCACAAGGTGACAAACTGTGAAGCAGACTATTGGATTATTTCAACAAACATCTAAATAGTGTTTTGAACATTTTATGTTTTTTGTTATTGTTGTTTTTCAAAAGGTAAGTGTGCCAAGTGCACGCTGTCCAGAATTTGAGAAGTGAAAGCAACTCTACAATTTCATGTTTGCCATTTGCCACTGCAGGTCAGCGTGGAGGATAGATGTAAGGGCAGCTCTAAAAGTTGCTCAAATCATTCCCTTGGTTTGTGATTTACAGTGGTAAAAGCCTTTCATAACCTGCTGGGTCCAAAACAAAGAATTAATATGAATTTAATGAAGTTATAAATTTATACGGCTCTATCATACTTCCTAAGAAGTTCTCTGGAACAGCTGGAATCCCTCCCTCATTTTATGACACCATAACACGGCAGCTTCAGCAACGCAAACCCTGTGAGCTCTGAGACCCATCAGGTAAGACGTGCTGTGTCACTGCACGACTGGGGAAACAAAAAGCTTAAGAAACAGGCAGAATAATCCCCAAACTCGATCTGGTCTTGATTTCATCCCGTTTCCTCACTAGATTTAAAGGCAAAAAGGAAACAAAGGCACTGCAGACTCAACCCTATAGTCTGCAGTGCCTTTGTTTCCTATAAAGGAAACAAAGGCACTGCAGACTCAACTCAATCCTGTAGGGCTCCCTACCCTACTGTTTCCTGTAGGGTAGGGAGCCCTACAGGAAACAGCAGTTGTGGGCTCCCTACCCGTAGTGTCTCGAATGCTTTCCTCCTGCCCGTTTTAATTCCCAGCCCCTATGAACAGCAGGTCCTGGTGAGTGCTTTTATCCTTCCAACCACAGCCTGCCCAGCCACACTCGTGTTTACAAACAACCCCCTGGAGGTGACAACAGGGCAGGCTGCTTCCCATTACATGTAGCTGACTCTGAAGGAACTCCTTACATTACACCAGAGCCGTTTGGCATCCAAAATCCCACCAAATGTCGAATTGAGCTGCAGGTACTCTACTTCAGTTTTTATTAGACAGTCATTTAATAAGAACAGTTGGAAAAGATCAAATCAGAGTTTCTTAAGATAAATTGTTTTGCAACAAATTAACTGTTGAATTTGAGGACTCACCCACAGCTGTCACCAAATCCCAATCAAGCTCAGCATAAAGCCAACCACCAACTGTAGACACAACTTCCATTTTCTTTCCCCAAATGTTTTGAATCCTTAGAGGAGCTGACCAAGCAGGAGGTATTCACAGGAGCTTTACCAGGAGCTGGCCCAGTAGCTGAAATTGCTCAGTAGAAAGCAAACTTCCCATTTGCTTCTTACCGTGTACTTTGGCACATTTTATAGTGGGCAGGGCGCAAGCAGGGATTATTTGTATTTGATCATTCATCCTTTGAAGAGAGCAGTCAGAAGAATGCCAGCCATGTTTTGAATTTAATCAGCCGCTTTATTCAGCAGCAAACTGTACAAAATGTCAACTGCTACTTCCTCAGCACTTTGTTGTCTTTGCAATGATAGACAGTAAGATTGATTATTGATACGTAGGAGACTGAAATCATAGGAAGACCGAAGGCATAAAGCTTCTATGCTTACTGAGCTGCATTCATTTTCCAGTTTGAATTCAGCAAACTAAAATTTAACAAAACCGATTTTGCCACATGTATGATGGGAAGCTGCTGTCAAACTGGTACCCATGTGGAAATAGAGATTTATTGTGCTTGTGCAATTGGCCCTATAAGAGACATTGACTTCAAACAGACCACGTGGAACCAGGTAATGACTGCTTTACTATTCGGAAACAGGAACAAGTGTTTCCCAGGGTTATCTGTAAATCTCTGAGCATCACAGTGGATGCACACTAGCACAGTAAGTTGTCAGGGCGCTAAAACAAAGAATGGATTTTTGGCAACTTGGCCTTTAAAATACCACCTCATGTCTACACGTGTATCTGAACAAGAAACCAAACCCTAAATTCAAGCTTTCAGCTGCTGTAAGAGCTACACCATGTCTTTTTGCAGGTGCAGATGGTTTCCTTTAAAATGTATGAAAGGCAGCAGTTGAGGGAAACCTGTTTTACACAAATACTGACCCAAGCCTTATCTAGAAAGAATATGATTTAGTGATAATGTAGCCAGAACTGTAGTAAGCTCCACTTTCTTTCTACTGCTTTTGCCCCAGTCTCTCATTTGTTAGTACAGAACTTCTGCAGAGCAGCTTAAGTGAAAACCAACCACACTATAAAAGGGATGGAGTTGTTTGGTTTAATCTCAGGAAATGTGCTAACAGCAGGACCCACCCTAAAATGGAGTTTACCACTTTATTACCTGGAAGGGGAAAACAACTAAGTCCCCCCAAAAAGAAAAACCTTGCAGATGGGGCCTGTCTCCAGCTCTTGCCAAGCACAACTGATCCCATGGTGCTTCACACAGCACTAGATCTCACAGGGACATATAACTTCCAACAAATGAATAAGTATGTCCCCATTAAAAAGACTGCTTCCTTAGGTATTTCTCTTCAGCCCAACTTTTGCAGTACCTTTTATCATAGAAAGAGGTAATGCCTGAGGTGGGAGCTTTAAAAAGAAGCTGATGGAATTAGTGAATGATGTGATAATGCTTCTGCCCTGCTCGGTCTGAATTTGTAACTGGTTTATAGGGCTGCAACAGAAAAGCACACTGGGCTAGCTCTGATTCCTTTAAGGCACGGATTTTGGTAAATTGCTTCATGAGAACAAATCCTTGCTCTTCAAAAAGCAAAATTTAAAAGTGAAAAGAGCTTTTTAAAGATACCTGCCTTCTTTCTGTAAGTTCATCTCTGAATGAGCTCATTGAGGTGGTTCTCTACAGCCAGTACACTGTTTCGCCAGGACAGCTGCCACCCTACCAATTCTGCTTGCAGCCTAACTTCTCCTGAGCTGGAAGAGAAAATTATCTACAATGCATTTCATTGTTCTACGTCTCATTGGTTTCCCTTTACGGAAATGGAAGACTATGGTTGCTTTATGAAAGCAAAGAAAATAAAATCCCCTTTTACACTGGAGCAGACACATTCTCAGCTATAAAGTTTGATAGGCTGCTCTCTTTGATTTCCTAAGGCTAAAAACTTGGTCCCTTCCTTCACCTTATAAAACAAAGAAAACATCTTATAAAACTAAGACTGAACCAGCCAAAACACTTCCTCCCAATTTTCAATGCCCCTTCCTTTCAGTATTTGGAATAGTCAAGAGATTTATCTCAAGTTGACTGTCTGAAGCTAAGGAATAGTATTTTGTAGTATTTGAGTTGAGGCTGCTTCAGAGACAAGTTTTCTGGAGTCTGGAATAACCCAGTCAGCTCAACGAGTTTCAGTACAACTCTGTTCTCAGTTCTGTGGGTGACCTTGCATATCTCATACACATGCTAAAGAAGGTGAGCAGGATTATAAATCACCTGAATAATGAGAGGATATGAAAAAAATATTAGAAGACTCTCAGCAGTGTGTCCTACTCAATAAAGTGAAATTAAAAAAAAGAAAGCGAAAGTACCTTTCAGCAGTTTACAAGCACTGGTGATTAGGTGATTTGATCGATCCACCAGGTTGTTAAACTTTGACGTGGAAGCTTGCTTCCTCATTCAAACTTTAAGGGAGTTAATAAGAAAAGCTGTAACCATTTAATGACTTTTAAAGAAGAATCAGCTTTCGTGATTTTGATGGAAAGGATATAGAAGACCAGTCAAGGTAGCTTGTTTCTGAGCTCACTGCTTCTGTGGTTAAGATGGAAGAAAGTCTAAACTTTTCAGCTTATGCCAGTTCATCTCAGTTTAGAAACACTTCTGTTCAGAAACTGTCAGCAAGTCTCTGCATGATGGAGATGTGTTTGCAGTGGAATTCCTACCACAACTGGTATCATTTTTGACTGCAACACTCCAACATATCTTCTTTGTACACCTGTTATTTTTCGAATATGCAATGATCTAGAAATTGAAGAATCAGATTTAAAGAAAATCATATGATTTAAAAATTCTTCGTGAAGCACTGTTTTTCAGTTATTGTAACACCTTGATAGTTTGCTTTTGCATTACCACATGGAGCTACAATGTGAAATTAGTGAAAGCTTTTCTTCTCTTGGAAAAATCTGGCTACTCTATTGCTGGATTAAATTAGTTGAATCTGAAATAATTTAGCATACCATGAGGGAGACTATGTTTTCCAATTTCAGCGTGGAATTTTAATTCTCCCCTTTGCCCCTTCACACCTACACCCTGATACAATCTGAGAGATCAACTGTCACAGTTCAAGAGGGTTTTTACATATCACAGCAGGAAAACAAGTTGTCTATTCTTTCAACTAACCCAAGATACTTTTCAGTTTTTAACTCTGAGACCTGTTTTATCTTGGCAGAAACTGTCATAAAGCTATTCAAATCTTCATTGACAAACAACTTGCCTTAACTTGGAAACCCTGACCAAACAATTACAGGATACACGTGAAAAAAGATAAAGGCTTGCTATAATAATTAATGGGGAAAAAACAAAGATTTAGAACCGTACCTGCTTCAATTTCTAGTTTGTATAAATATCTTAAACATCAGTTATTCCACTCTCCCAAGAGGACCTAATTTTAGCGTACATTCTGTAAGTATAAAGGTAAGTCAAGCGCATAACTGATCACAGAAATACAGATATCTGCTTCCTTGTATCTGAAATTCAATAAATCCAACCAAACCAGCCTGAGACTGTATTGCTGAGGGCTGGTGTACCTCTGCCAGGAAGAGAAGCTGAGGGAGTTGGGGTCGTTCAGCCTGGAGAAGAGAAGGGCCCGGGAGACCTTGTACCTAAGGAGGGCCTACAGGAAAGCTGGAGAGGGACTCTGTCAGGGAGTGTAGTGATGGAACAAGGGGGAATGGCTTAAAACTAAAAGAGGGGAGATTTAGATTAGACATTAGGAAGAAATTCTTTACTCAGAGGGTGGCGAGGCACTGGGACAGACTGCCCAGGGATGCCCCTGCTGGGACAGACTGCTGTGGATGCCCCATCCCAGGCTGAATGCTTTGGGAAGCCTGGTCTAGTGGAAGTGGGGTTGGAGTTAGATGTCATTAAGGTCCTTTCCAGTTCAAACCATTCTATAATTCCATTCAAAACCCAATAAATGCATTCTTCAAGGGCAATAAATATATTCTCATAAATAGTATAGACGCTGCTGCAGAAGGTGAATAAGTTAAACAAGCAAATTGTATAACCAAGCAAAACAAGTCATGCTTACCTTTGTCTGATGTTACTGTGCAAGGGCTGGTCATTCTGCAAATGGATTGGTGAGGCTGCCCGCTTTGGTGAAGAAAGGGACTCTCTGGGGGTTTGCTTTGGTGATATTGGCACTTCATTATAAGAGGAAGATTCTCGTCCAGAAAGGGTATGAGAGACAGAACTATCCAATGTTGCTAATGGGTCAGAAGCCTGCCTAATGGCACTATCATCATCTGCCTTTTTATCACTCTTTTCATTTGAGAGCTCTTCTTTAGCTGGAATACCATCTTTTTCATGCCTGGAGTACTCCTTGGATTCAGAAATCACACTCTTTGACTCCTTCACCTCAGTCCTGGATGAATACAAGGAACTAGAGTCCTTACTTTCATCATCTTGCCTTTCACTTTTCACTCCCTTTCTTTCCAAACTGTCAGGATCTTTCCTTGCCCGTGTATATCTAGACGAGTAGTCAGAATCCAAATCAGAATCAAGAGATAATCCATATTTTTCTGCCAGCTGGCGCCGCCTCTCTGCCTTGTATCTAGCTATTCTTTCTGCTTTAGACTCTAGTTCGTGGGTATCCATGTTTCCTGTATACAAGGACTCTGTATTTCCTCCTGTGATTTCTGCTCGGTATCTGGATGACCTGGGTTGTTTTTCTACAGAAGAATCTGAGGTTTCCTCCTCTTCATTTGATCTTCCTGTCAAAAGTACAACAAATATAGGCCAATCCATCCCCAAACTCTACCACATACACCATACCCACCCTTTACATGAAGTGGACTAAGCGCTTTCCATTTTCTTGCGAATCAAAATGTACTAGTGACTGCACATATACATTACACTTCTGCACTGTAGTCTCCAAAAACACATAAAAATGATTGTGTATGAGTCACAATCCTCTAAAAGTCTCACAGCAAATTATTCTTGTAAAGCAATGTATATAATTGACCTTTTTCAAATAAGACACCCATAGAACTAAAAGACATTAAAAAAAAATCTGATCACAGCTGTTCTATAAGACTCTTCTCTGTGTACTGAATGTATGATAGGGGTAGAAAACAAGTAATTTAGCAACAGAAGATTGACTTATATATACTACTTACCTAAGTGATGACTGTATGGATCAGTTGCACGCATATACCTTGGTGTATCCTCTTCTAGTAAACGGTGTGTAACTGACCCTGGGCAGTTTTGTAGAAGCATAGGTTGCGTATCATTTTCAATTCCTTCTAAGCGTCTAGCTATTCTCTCTTTTCTGAAAAAGATTTGAAAAATGTGAAGTCAAGTATCTTTGAAGATTTGAGGGGAGAGTTTCTAAGAGGAGGAAACAAAACAAGCTGTGTGTTTTGTTTTATGGGCCAAAGACTTTTTTCTTTTTTACCTTTTCATTTCCAAAAAATCTTGGTTGTTTGGTTCAAACAGTTTTCTTAATTCTGAAACTGAGACAACAAAAGATTATACAGTTTATAAGCCACTAAGTTTCAGAAACTCAAAGAAACTTGCTAAAATACTTCAGAATAAGAAGGAACAGTCAAAAAGGTTAAGAGGTTTCTCATAGTATTTGTCTGGTAACAAGCATTTACCTCTGTCTTTGGTAGTTTACTAAGCTTGCTGTCACAAGTGCATTAAGCACATGGGCACCAAGGAGTCCTCCAAGTACTTCCAGGCTATGCTAGAATTTCCTATGCCACCTGAGCAGTTTTTGAGATCTAGTGTAAACTGGACAAGTTATATTTTGATTAGGTAACACCAAGCTTACACGCTACAGTAACTGCTTCCAAACCAGGTAGTATGGAGTTATTGCTTAACCTGTGTACACAAAGATTGGTGACCATGTTTAAAGAGAGAAACAGTGTCCCTTATTCCTTACTTTCCCCCCCGCAAGTGGCTCATGGCTGGAGAAAGCCTGTGCAAACTACCATGTCCTCTCATAATATTTCTGCATTTCTACTCTGCTGGTTTTCCCTTTCAGCTTTAGTTGGACATACTTTCCCTCTCTTGCCCTAAACTGTTAGGTGGTGTTATGTGCCAGCAGACAGCTGTCACAGTTCACCAAACAGTAGTGAACCAGCAGGAGGCATGATAGATGAGGTAATCCCTATGTATATACATATGTTCGTGGTTATCAGTGATGTTCGCAAACCACACTGGAGCAGTGAGTGCTACGTAAACAAGTGTGGTGTGATCTCTTACCACCAGGAAGAGAAACCATCCAAGCTGTCAAGGGATGCAGCGGATTGAAGCGGGGCTGGGAATGCCAAAAGTCCCCTAAATGTCATTGCCTTAGCAAAGACGTGGTGCCAAAAGGTGTGCTTTTTTTTGCTTGTTTGCTTTTTTTGTTTGTTTTTTCAGCCAAAAGCTAAAGCTATTTTAACGCAATGCATCTCTAGATTTCTGATCCTGTTTACCCAGGGATCAAAAATGAATGCAAACTCCATAGTCTACAGCCTGATAAATCAGCCCAAGACTGCCATCAGAAACACTTGACTCAGGAGAGTCTAGAAGACCACACCAGTGTAAAAGTAATTCTATCAGCTCTATTCCCTACTGGACTTCATAGCTCTAGATACTTAAGTTAAACATTATTGAAACACCACCCTTTTAAAGGTCAGGTGCAGTTTCTCTCCCTATCCTTCTGAACTGTTAGAGTTTATGGACAAATCTAAGGTTTTCAGCTGAGCTGCCACACACCCAGGCAGTTTTCTGTAGTCATTATCAGTGCTTGCACATCATAGTGCTAGATACAGTTAGTGATAGATACAGTATAGGTGCCGTTAACATTGGCTGTCATATAACCCTTACGTGCTGAAAAGCCACTAGGACTCCAGGTAAAATGCCTTTGACCAGCAAGGCTGAATGGATTCTCATCATGACTACTCAGAGAAGCAAATGAGTGAGGTATTAATACAGCACCGGAGGCTACAGATGGATGCCTACAGGGAACACAGGATACACAGGGGAAAAAATCATCTGGGGCACTCTGAAAAAATGCCAGTCTACAGTTTTACAGAATAGACTAAAACTATCCACTTGAAGTTTTCAAGCCAGGTTAGTCAAACTGATTGTTATCATGCAATGAAAAATCTATGATGTACACATTTGATGTGACTAGCAGCACAGAGTAGCTAGATACTTCAGAGCTAACCCATGGGGTTACCTCTTCCATACCTACCTTAAGCACCTGCAGCAATGCGGATTGAAGCCTACACTATTCACCAAGCTGACCTGCAAACTGAAAGCCAGCAAGCTCCATGTAGAGATTGCTGGAGACAGATGGGAACTGGACTTGGCCAATGGAAAATTTGCATCCTGAACCACGATTAAAGCAAAGATGAGCCCTTACACTGCGTTTCATGGACTTTTCTCTCAATAAACGGTTCGTTACCACTGCTGCCCTGCCTACTCAGCTGTGCTAGCAGTGGAACCGTATTAAACAAAGACTTTATCCATGTGAAACCAGCCGTCTCACGTTCACACTGAAGGAAATGATTTCTCGAATACTTTGCTTTCACCTCTGCCAAACCTACTTCTGTTTAAGTCTGTCCTCTGGATATTAGGGTTTTTCTGTTGCCTGTACATACGTAAAATGGTTAAAACAAAACCTATAATTGTTCTGCCACTTCAGACAGGTCAAAGACCTCCATAGCTCGCAGTTAATAAAACCACATGCCATCCAAACCCCGATCACTTCTCTTCCCTAGTCACCAATTTATATGGTCCTTAAAACCACCAGAGAACAGGCCTTTTACACAGTTTTAGTCAAGCTCATAAACTGAGCTTCATGTAAATCAATCTTTTTATTTTCCTCAAAAAAAGGAAACTTGCCTATAAGTCATTCACACACAAGATATTTGGAATTTCTGAAGAGCTCCCAGCAGCATTAGTTCAACACCCTCCCACTACGTGTTAGCTGAAGTTCCAGAGATTCTACTACGGCTCTGCAGTCCTAAAAAGAGCACTGGACTCATGAAGCATCTCTCCAACACCTTCCCAAACAAGATGGGACAAAAATAGCAAGGGACTACTCTAGACTGCCTTACACTTTTTCCACACTTGAGATTCCAGACAGTAATTTCAGCTAGGTTGGCTGATATCGGCAGAGCTTTTGTTGTGAAAACAGTTTCAGTAATATTTTTCAATTATACAATGAAAAAAAAAAAAAAAAAAAAAAACAACAAACCAAAAAGAAAAAAACTCACATACAAAAACAAAAAAAGAAAAATGCACGAAGTCTTATACTACTTTAGTGATTTATTTTTGCTAAATAAAATGTAGGACTTTAAATCATGAAAGCTGGTTGGAAAAGTTTCTGTCGCAAGGACTTTGGTTGGCCCTTGCATGCTAAGGTGATCAGGTTTTTCTTTTTTGGTTTGCAGTTTGAATAAGCTGGTGCTAGCTTCCAATCTGTTCATGAATGGTTTTCCACATTACCATCAGAAACCCATACCATCTCGAAGACATCCATGACAACGTAAAGAATAATAACACCTCTACCTAAAAGGTAGCACAAAGATCTGATTCAGCAAACATGATTCTAATACAGCACACAAGAAAAGACTAAAAAGCTTATAACAATTTGTTTCACAGTAACAGCTCCTTATCGAAGATGCTTCATGCCAACACTTCATAAGCATTGTTGGTCAGTATGGTAAAGGGAAAGAGGAAGAACCACAGCAGTTTAGGAACAGCCCTGGGCTTCAAACTTTATTTCAGAATGCAGAGCAGGTTGCTGTGGTAGGATATCCTCTAATGCAGACTGTCAAGAGGCATGGTAATTGCGGTAACTGTAGACCTTCAGAGGTCTACAGTAACTGAGTAGGCCTACAATTACCTTGTCAGACCAGATATTTAGCAAAATCAGAATTGTTCCATGTCTCATCCCATCATAATAACAAAAAGTACATTTGGAGTGCACCTCATAAGGATTTTTTTTTTTTCATAAAATTCTTAAAGTGATAGATTTCTTACAGAATTCAGAAAATCTTTCAGAATATAAATATGTTTTTGCTGGAAGCCCTCTTTGATAATAGCAGAGCAGACACATGTTGATAAAGTTGCAGACGTTCCAACACATGTAAATTTTATTTTTAAATACACAAGCTTTAAAAACCGAGTCAAGCTTTCCAAATGTCTCTAGCAGAGGGTGGGGATACACGTTTATAAAGCTTGCTCACAGGTATAGGTTTATAAAGTCTGTATAAAGGTGGATCAAAATGTACCTGGCACAGGCATGCTTCCTCAGAAATCATAAATAACCATTGCAACACAGGTATAAACATTTTAATTTTGAGGAAAATCTAACACACCAATCTTGTTCCTTTCTTCTCCTCTCCCCACCTGAAGAGGTGACAGTTTACAAACTAGCCCGGGGAAGCTTTTACCTTCTGTTTATGCAAGCAGAGGTATGCTAATACACTTAATGCTTAATTGCAGGCAGTGATGTGCTAGACTCTGAACTTTAGTTCAGTCCCTGTCAGCTGAAAATTAAATATACTCCTCTCATTTTCCAGCACATGCAAATGTGGACCAAAGTTAACCCCTGGATGAGGCAAATAGCCTCGATTTTCACAAGTGCTTGGACTCAAGTAATGTAACCATCAGCTTCCGTTACTAACTTCTGTTGGAGTCTAGACTGATGCCTTTATTACAAGAATAATTTCTTAGGAAAAGAAGAGACATCCTGGAATAGAAACTAGCTCACTGAGAAGCGACTTACGGAGAAAATTTTTCAAGTGAAGGCTCTCACAATTAACTTACTGCTTGCTCATCTTGGCCAGCATGACTGTGAAGCTAAGCATACGGAGTAATGAGGGGCTATTTATTCTTTCTGGCTGGTGCTCTCATGTAGTCTGTACTGTATAAATGCATATAATTTTATTCTATGCCACTATGCCAATGAAATCTCCTTCTAAACATTTGTAATGATTATACTACAAAAGCAAGCACATTACTTAAATGTTATGTTGGAAGAAGTAAGCTGCAACAAATGACGCAAAAGAGAAAGCCAGTTAGTTCTGTTTCACTGGGATTAGTGCATCCAGCCCTGTATTTTGTGTGAAAAGGGTAAATACCATCAGTTTTAAAAGAACACAGAGTTCTAATCAATGTTCCAAGATCTACAATGTGCCTGAGCAAATGGAATATCTTTATGCTGTTTACATGGAGCTCTTCCTAAAAATGCCATCCTTTATTGGTCAATAACTACTTCCAAGCAGATTGTGATTTCCTCTAAATAATTCAAGAGAATTTCAATTCTCTCCTCTCCCTCAACTGCATCAGAAGATAAAGATGGCAGTAATGTTTTCTTTCGAAGTTATTCAAGGTAATATTGAAATTTGAAAACTAACAAAATGTACCCCAAAATGCACAAAAACCAACTGCATTATTTCTTTAGTAGTTTAAAGAGAAAAATATCTAATGAGGGACAGGATATTTGTGTTATTTTTCTTGCTTGTAGACAATGTTATGTTAGAGCTTCCAGTTCTAGAATAATTGGGCTATTGTGAAATTTACTACCTACTGTAAACAAAATTTCTTGGATGGCTCAAGTCACAAAGCTAGCCACAACCCACCTGCTGTATTGTTTAAAAGAGTTAGTCATAAGAGTGTTGGGAATACTGCTGGTCTACTTTTCTCCAAAATGGTCTCATTAACAACAATATGTACCTTATGTAGCACATGCAAGATTAAAATTCTGTGTGTCGTCAGTTACTCGTGTAAACAGTGATTCTACCAACCACTGAGGGTGACTGGAAAGAGCTACGACTGCAAGCCAAGTTAACGTCCTTGAATTCAGTACTAATCTACTTGGATCACCTCTCTGAAGTTTTGAATTTCAACCACTTTTTAACCTATTTAAAACTAGCTAAACAAAACCGAGCCTTTTGAAGCAGGGACATAACAAAGCCTTATAAAAGAGCATTGTGATCCATCCCATTTCATCCCCTATCATACTTCACAAGGAAAACCCATTTACAAAACAGCTGTGCTCAAGTGATTTTAACTGTGCTGTGCACTTGAATAAACTAAATTTCATACGCTGTTAAATTACCACTTGTGTTCATAACATGTCTCCCTTACCTACCTTTTGGAAGTACTGCTAAGAGATTAGCATCAATATCCTTTGTGCTGTTTGCAAGTTCTTCTTTATCTTCAAATGAGAACTCCTTCTGAAAACTGAAAGCAACATCTGGTTTACAGAACTGTGGCTGTTTCTGCTACAAATCAAATAAAGCCAAGATGTAACCAATTTACTGCAAGATATTTTAGCAGAGATACTGAAGAAAATACTTTCCATAAGAACGAAATAAGAAACAACCCCAAGAAACTCACGAAGCCAAACCTAACATAATTTGAAACTTATTTGGAACTGACTATGACACATTTTTGCATTAAATTACTGACCAGAGACTGCTTTCAAAATGCTCTACTAGTAATTACATTTGAAATAATCTACATAGAATGATTCTCCATAAATACTAAAACATATGTCATCAGATCTAGTACTGTATGCACACTACACCTAGAAGCCTTCTGCATGACTGCCCTGTTGTTACTGCTCTGGTCTCTGGATATTATTCGGCTCATAATACACTGATACGAACAGGTCATTCAGTTTTATACTTTATCACTTCAGAACAGAAAAAAATGCCTATTTAGATAAGATAAAAATCTCTTTAAATATGTTCATTAAACATACAAATTCCAACTCTCAAATGGAAGTGGTGTGATGGTCTATGGCAGATGCTAACTGTCTACAATGACTTTTTTTTTTTTTTGGAAAGAGTGTTTCTCCTCATGGGTAAATAAAATTAAATCTATTCTCCATTTATTAAAAATGGATGAAGACCTGCTGTATTCTGCCATTATGACTTCCAATGTACCCCGATCAGGCATAGAAAAAAATGTACTAGTCTTAAGATCTTCAGTAAATTATGTAGACAGGTTTAACATATAAATCCCCACAGTGATTCTAGGCTCTTCATTTTACCATGGAAGTGATGCGCTGTACAAGTTGCTGTCATTCTGATAAGATAAATTACACAGCCTTACTACTGGAAAATCCTTTCTTAGGACAATTTTTATTTATTTATTTATTTTTAAGCAGCTGAATACCCTTTCATCAAGGATATTTGTTAGAAAAGAAGAAATTGCCTTTTTTTTCTTTTACTCATTCCAGATGAATATTTCTCATTGAAAACAGTTTTAAATACAACGACCGATAATATTTTACATTAACTCCAAGAAGTATTTGCTTCTTAATCATTTACAAATAATCTTCCCTTGTAAGAAGACATTGTGGTGAGAATTAAACTCTTGAAATGTCCATAAGGAAACCGGGCTGTGTCACATCCAGGCACCATGCCACCTGCTGCAAATTGTCTCCAAGAACTGCACTTAAAGAAATTATTCCAGGTGCTGCCAAGAGAAGCAATGCTAGCCTCCATAGAACAGCAACAGCAAATAGAAGATTAATAGTGGCAATAAGCTGTCCATTACAGGAGACTGCATCCATCCAGGGTGAAAACACTTTAATGGAACTTAAAAAATATGCATCATGTAGTGGCCACAAGCAAATGGGTGCATGTGTCATCTGAGACTGGGCAAAGACTGAGACAATTAACTGTAAGTTTTCATGTGCCTAACCCCACATTGCAAGCACTCATGGCTTTTTTCAGCCTCACAGTATGTTATTTTCTTACTGAGAACCCCGAGGTTGAGGGACTAGCAGTTTCCATCTGAAACCAGTTTCTACTCCTTTTGGCTGAGGATGACTTTGAAAAATGTGAATAAGACTGCACTACGGCCATAAATCAAAATCTATTTTGTCAAAACATTTGTATTACTTAAGACTTGTCTCAAAGTGTTGAGGGACCCAACTTAGAACTTTTGAATACCTGGGGTTTATTTGGCAGCATCTCTGATTGCTTCTGTAATGCTTGTGACAACAGTGCAATACCTCAAGTTTCCATTAACACAGCACTCCCAACATTCACTCATAAAGCAAAATCCCTGTTTAAATTAACTGTGCACTAATATCCACCACCGTGCCTGCGTCACATGAATTTCCAAGGATAAAACCATACAGAATCAGGACTGTTACTAGTCCATTGGTTGGATAAAAGAATGACATTATTGGATTGCTTGTGGATCTTCGACAAACTTTCAGGTATTATAAACTAATTAGGTTTCCCCTCGCCCTTCATTCAAATTGTTCCAGGGACTCTGAAGCTAGAGAGCCTTTACTCATAGCCTAAATGTCTTTCACTGGGTTTACATGCGTTTGTTCTCTTGCCAGTGTACTTGGTTACCTTACTTATTTTTAACAGAAGCTTTTCACATCTACTCAGTTTCCTCAAGGCAGGCTCTCCATTTCATTGACCATCTTTAAAAATATTCTCTACTTATTCTCAATTTTAACTAATCTTTTTTTCTGTATATGGTGATCAGAATTGGAAAGTCTTGATTCCAGAGCTGGGTCTTACTAGCGTCTTGCAAAACCAGGAATTCTAATGGAGAAAGCATTATTGTATTTTTATCTATATCTAGATATATATATCTAATGGAGAAAACCAGATGAGTGCTGGGGTCTACAACATGCTAGCCTTTTTATAACTACACTGTATAGGTTGCTCAATCCTGCATGAGAAACTAATATGCCATGGCTTTGCTTTCATCAGTTGCAAGTGACAGAAAAATTTATCAGCCCCCAATGTACAACTGTGCACTTAGTATTATTACATTACATCCCTTTTCTATTACTCAAGGTCATCCAGTTCTTCCTGCATGTGAGCTCCCTCCTCCTTTGTACTGAGGGTGGCTTCCAGCCTCTGCTCACTGGCAGATTTCATTCAAGTTCTTGTAATAATTACAAACTTCTTACATTTAACCCTTGCTGGGCTACATGACATCACAGGTTACTTACTTTTTGAAAGTCCCTTCACAGTTTCCCTTATGCCCTTGTTTCTCCTTCCCCTCAGGACAGACTTTCAACAGTTATTCACTTATTTTAATGAATAGCTGTTTTTACATAGCGACCATTTTATCCACAGATTTTTTGCTTTTCCTCTTCAGAGGCATTTTTGCATGCCCACTTGTTCACACTGGCACAAGTGACATTGCTTGTTTTAAAAATTTACACAACAGAAAAAAATGTCTTCAACTGATGCATCAACTACATTGCTTTCACTTGCACAGAGAATTCAGGGACAGAGCACTGTTCTGAAGATGATACAGTCAATCCAAGCAATTGCCTATTTATAGATACATATATAAAGTTAGTTCTAAAAATGAAAGTAGGTGTATTTAGGACATGTCACATATTCAAAAAGAACATTCATTAGGAATCTAAATTGAGTCAAAATGATGTTGGAGTAATTCCAAGTAGTTTTAAAAAAATAATTTCAGGAAATTATTCAAAAGGGTTTTTAAAAAGTATCTGCTCATAAGTAATTCCTCAACAAGACTTCTCTTTTTCCGTCAAAGAGAGCTAGCTAGAGATTCCATTGTTTTATTAGTTTATCTGATAATGGAACATTTGGATCATCAATTGAATTGCTTGTATGAAGTCAGTCAGACTTAGATTGCCAGGTATACTGTACCTTCAAACTCATCAACAGCTCTGTTTTACAAGTATCTCAACTGTATCTACTCAACTTCATGTTCCTTAATTTCTTGTGTCACGTTAGAAATGTAGGTGCAGATTCTGACCAGCAACATCAGGAGCTTCTGCACTCCACAGCTAGGCTATGAGCATTCATTACAAAAATAACTTAAGGCATACTTGGGTTTCTCTAAATCAAAAATAAATAAATAAATAAAAACAGGTTTTAGAAGCATGAAAGACTGTCCTCTTCTTAAAGTCCCTGATAAAACTGGCTACTAAAAGGGCAACTCCTCCTTTGCTTGCCTGAACTATAGCCCGTGAGTATGGTTCATGAAATACAACCAACAAGCTTGTTTCACATGGGATTTGCATGTGGTTCGGCCTCAGGTTGCCAAGGAACTCATACTCCTCAATTTTCAGGAATTCATATGATTCCCATTAAAACACAACAACATTTTTTTTCAAACCTCAATAGTTTTTCTTTAAAAACAAAGTATAATGTGGCAGCAGTAGAGTATCTGACAGTCTCAGCATTACACTGCTCCTGCAGGTTCCCAAGTGCAAGCTCTTTCTATACATCAGGGATTCCAATCTGAAAACTCCATCTGCTGCAGTAGCAGCATCCAGTTTCTAAATAGCTGTCCCACTAACCTAGTTACATGCCCAGAAGCAAGCAGAAGTTTGATCCAAATGCCACCAGTAACATGGCTCTGCCATCTGGGTTAAAGCTATGGGATATACTCAGATTTTGTGTCTGAAAGACATACATGACAATCCACTTGTGCGCCTGCCAGGGAGGTGCTTGGCATGCATTATTCTTCTCTTGCTCTACCTCCAGGAGAATTGCCTTCTCTAGATTCTTAAATAACAGATCTGCTGCACAGTTGCATCCTTCTCCCCTGGTCTTATTTTGATTTTCCCCTACCTGCCTTTTGTAAGACGATGCATCTCCTACACCTGTTCCCTCTCTTTCTCTCCAGTGGCTAAGAGATGCAGCATGGCAGGGAATCAGAAATGCTGAGGAAGAAAGGTGTGTGCTGATGGGGAGTCCCACCGAGAGGATGCTTGCAAATGTGAGTCTGGGTGAGCCAGCAAACAGATGGTTTCTAGGGCAAGGGGCAGTTCCCAGCTCCCTAACCTCCCCTGTACTCTGCAATTTGTGAGTCCAGCAAGCATGAAGGTGGAAACCAAAGAACAGCTGGAGTAAGGATGGGAAAAGAGAGGGAACATGACCTGCCACCTTGCTTAACTGTGAACTATGTCACCTTACCCAGCCTCGTGGAACCATGTCCTGAGACTGCAGGCATGATGCAGCAGTGCCCTGCGTGGAAGCAGACCCATCACCCCCCAATCATCTCTGTGAGGTCCCCTCCCATGGTCTGACAAAGCTGTGTGCACAGCTGGAGAAGTAATTTTGGCCACCTTATTTGTCAGACAGATCAGTTTTCCAAGCTGGTTCACTAAATGTCTGCACTGTGTCCATGCCTTTTGAGCGAAGAGGGGCAGTGCAGTGGCTGGAGGCTGAGTGCAGAGCAGGACTCTTCCCTTGGCAGTACCTGTTGTAAATTTTTACACGATTATTTAGGAGGCAGCTGGTGTTTTCAATAACTGTTCAGAGCATCCACCAAAGCTTGGTCTTATGAGAGGACCAAGAATCATCAAGTAAGTGTAGATTCAAGCAATGACTGCAAGTTACAGTTATGCAGCTGCTCATCTTCACTAGGAAGACAAACGTGACCTTACCTTAACGCTCTCTTCCTTTGGAGCAGTCGTGAAGGTTTAAATCTAACTGAATTTCCTTTGACAAAATCTGTGAAAGAAAAAAAAAATAACATAGTGAAGAAGCTTTAATAAATGGGGAACTTTTAGGAAACTAGCCTATATAGTTTCCAGTAATAGTCCTTTTCCCCTGGCAAAGGCTGTACAAAGACCTTGCCTCTAGTCAAAGGAGCATAGGCTGGCGTGCCCAAGGTGGGGGTAAACCAAACATTTTCAAAAATAAGTACAGGCAGTAAAACATATGGGCAGTTCCATAAAGTGGTGAAGCTTCTGCTATTCTCATCCTAGTATTCAGTGTAGCACTGCAGCCTGAGGCTACCATTTAAACTGCTTGACTCAGTTTCCCTGCTTATAAAGCGGCCAGTAGATACATTTATAAAGCACTCTGATAATGAAAAATGCAGCAAGCAGCAAGAGCCTTTTTGGCTGCAGCCTAGCAATGCTATAAAAACTGCATATTCACTGCAGAAATCAGAGATGCCCAGCTGAAGGTTTGTTGCAATATTATCAGACCATCCACGACAAAAATATTTTTGAAGGTTGTCCACTGTTTGGAAACTCCCATTTTTTTTTTCTGAATAGCCTTAGGACATGTTTGTTGTCAGAGTGGAACACATTACATATTTTGCTGAGAGCAAAATCACAGGAGATACAACCTTAAACTCAAGAAGGATGTAGTGGATTACAAAACCACCAGTTCCCAAACCTCTCTGCATCAAAGCAAGCAACAGGCAATCTCCCATCTCTCCCCCCAAGTTTGACTTCTTCAATTTTTCAGTCAAAAGCATCATCCTTGGGTCTGTGAATGACCAGCAGCAAGGGGGACCAGTGCTCCCAGTACCAGGTGCCTCCATTCAGCAATGCTGATGCTATTAAGAGACCTTACACAACTGCTAGCCAGGAAGCAGGGCAGCCTGGTCTGTAACTGCTGTTAAAAAACACATGAAGCTACTAAAAATGTACTCCCAATGGGCAAATGGCTTCGGGTCTCCATCTGCATTAAGTCAGCTATCCCAAGACCCAAAATTAATAAACAACTGTTCACTGACATAGTGATCACCTTATTTTTCAGTCAAAAGCTTCAAAACAATTCAAAAGCAGCGACATTCCTTTTACTGTAATGCAGAACTCAGATTTAACTATTTCAAGGAAGAGTTAACTGGCCAACAACATTTTTAATGTAGAGTTGTTATTTAAAAAAAATAATTTACTTTGCAAGCAAAAAACATCTTAAAATCTAGGTAGGATGTTTATTATTTTTGCAAAAAAGGGTTTAATTAAGCTTATTATAGCTAACAACATGAGTCTTAATTTAGAAAATGTATCTTTTCTCTATGCCTTTCAAAACTTTACTCTCTCCTTTGCTCTTCCACTTCTTTCCCCCTGCCACCTCACCAGGTACACAGATTTAAAAATAAATAAATAAAAAGGTAATTTTAACAGCTTTATAAAGAGACTAAGCTGTGCAAAAGGACATTTTCTAGGCATTTGCTACAAGTCACTGAAAAATTTCAAGCACTTTCGCTAATAGCTTTCTTCAGCTTTAATAAGCAACTTTTTCCTGTTTTTGTTAACATTCAGTTTCTCTTTCCAAGTAAATGGAGAATAAAGCTCGCAGATTACACAGAAACATCTTGTCAGGCTAAAACAGAGTATTTTAAGAAAAACAGTACGAATGGTATATAAATCACTGTATTTTACACTAGAACATTAAAAAGCAAAGACTGCTCCATAATGTAAGTATCTCTAAAAAGGCCAGCTTTGCATTACTGTAAGACCAGTATGCAATAATTTAAAAAGCCCAGCTCAATATCAGTTTAGCTAATCAGAACCAGGCATACCTTGAATTTATAGCCATTCTAACGGGATAACCACCCATCGTATAGTTTTTGGCACTGAAACAGCTGTCCACCATGAAAACCACAAGTAGACCACAGAGAAATTCTCCCTACCCTGGCCAAAAATAAAGAGGGGATGTGAGAGGGGAAGAAAGTAGCTTTCATTGCTTCAGTGGGAGAAGGGAGGGAGAAGGGCTGCGAAGACAGGGCAGACGAGCTGTTCTGACTTTTGCTACCCATTAAGCACATTTTGCAATATTCATACACACCACATTCATAATGCCTCCAAAACCTATTAAACCTCTGTCGTGTTTCACAGCACAAGCTGCTCCCTTCCCACACACAAATAAACAGAAAACCCAACCAGAGAACTATGTTCTGCTACACAGTTTTGATATTTTATGCATTTCCTCCTGTTCTAATTAAACCCCATGTGGGAGGATTAAAGCCCAATAAAATTTACTCACTATAACATGGAAGCGTTAAAATCAAATACAAACACAGGAGAAAAAGTAAAACAATTCTACTTCAAAAGAAAATAAATAAGCCCACAAAAGAAGCATCAGTTTAACAGTCTGATTTCAACGGTTAATTTAAAAAACCCTCACAGTACCTCAGACACAGAATGAAAATGATTGCAACAGCATTTTCTCCTTCTTTCGATGAAGAATTATAAACATATAAGTAACCCCATTAAAATCATTTTAAATACTTGTATTTAGGAGTATATTTACTAAATCAAACTTGCTCATAAGTTTAACCATTTGGCTGGTCTAGCTCCCCCCCCCCCTTAGGTACAAACTACCAGATAAAACCACTATCCATATCCAGATTAATACGTAGGAAATTAAAAATGCTGAATCTAAATATATATATACATATATATATATATATATATATATATCAGATACAACCTTCCACTGTTATCTAGTATATTTAAAGGCCCTAAATCGGTAGCAAGCTAAGCTAATTAGAAGATCCATCTAATCGGATCTTTCAAAAGTGTCCTTTAGGAAATAATGAAATAGCCTAGGTGACTAACTGAATACTGATCAGTAAAGTAGCTAATGTAGCTGCAGGAGAGCCAGTCAAACAATATTTACAAATATAAACACACGAGAGAGATTAAAAGCACGCAAATGAACTACATTTTCTCCTATCTACTTTGAACTCTTACCTTGCTCTTCAGAGTATTTAACATTTCCCAAATAGCTGGAGATCCAAGGATTTCTGAACATGGTTGCACAAACAAAGGATTCAGCAAAGAGAAACTACAATAGCAGCTAATTCTCCACCAGCCACAGCCCTTAGGCCTGTCTTAGCAATATCGTGTAGAGATTTTTCATAGCACAGGACTGGAGCTGTCAGGCTATCGCGTCCCAGGGAGTACAGTAAATGCATAGCAATAGGCTGCAAGCTGGAGCAGCTCAAGCCAGTAATCAGATTACAAACAGAAATTAGGCACATGAATGCTAAAACAGATTGGGCAACGGTGATTGGAAGATTTATAATATTACCACTTCAAAGATCCAGCCAAATCACACATTATATTCCTGCAAAATGAATGCAGAACCCCTAAATCCTCATATTTAAAAGAAAAAAAAAATCCTCCAAAAAGAGGAATAATTTCTTCCTATCTCTGACCAGGATAAACTGCAATGCTTGCTGAAGAAAAACAGTATCCACGCTGCCAAAAAATGGACTCTGTTAATCATATCATTATGCTAAACGTTTGCCCAACTATTAGTTGGAACGTTTAAAATAGACAAGATTTATGGATAACATATGAGCAAAATTACTGGTGGGGGTGGGAACTTAAGAACAGACACCGCAACTCAAAATATTTTAATTTGAGACAGAAGGTGTAAAATTGCACAAATACTGTCTGTCTAGCTACCATTTTTTTTATTTTTATTTTTTTTATTAAATGGAGTCGATGGATTTTGGATCCAAGCGAGGAGTCAGATTCCTTTTGGAAAGTCTGGAAGTGTTTGCTCAAAATGGTGCAATAATCCTGGCTCCATCTTCCCCACCAAACTACCTGGTCGCCCACAAAGCACGTTAAATACCTGACTGGAATAGATCCACATGCTTAACCCCATCCAGCCAACCAAAGGCAGTGACTGCCTGCTAGCTTCCCTGCCCCAAACACACTTCTTCCCTTCAGAAGGATTTCAGCCAGCTTTGGTGGAAAACTCGATGCAAAGCTGGGGTTGTTAGGACAGGGAAGAGATGGCTTAGAAACACAGGACTGGAGTTCTTGACTTTGCTTACCTATTTGTATGATATCTCATATAACAGGACCCCGATCCATGCTTGGAACAGACAAAATATAAGCAATAGTGCTGTGAAAGAGAATGGTGAACCACAAGTGAAAACCATACTCTCTCAAAAAACTACTGATTTTTTGTTGGCTCACCATGAAGTTGTGTTTAGTCTGTCTAGGTCATCATAACTACAGCTTTTTGCGCAAAGACAAGTTTTTGCAATGGATATAAGAATATGCACTCCATATTGTCTAATGCCACTGCTATTTTTATTTATTTTAAAATGTGAATAATCTTAGAGTGGCCTTAACAGAAGCACAAATATTGGCTGTGAGCCTTTCAACCATACAGAACTCCTTAAAGCAAGAGTAGCCCAAGACTTGGGGCCTGTCAGTGAAGCCCCCGATTTCCCAAGGAGTAATTCTGATCAGAAGTATCTGAAGTTATGCACTGTATTTTTTTCCCTTTGCCTGTAACCTTACTGGCTCTGGCATTTAATTCTAACCACTTCACCACACTAACACAGGACAGGGGCCCAAACACTTATACCCTCTGGACCAGCTGTGCTCAAGCCTAGAAAATATAAAAGCACTAACAAAACTTGTTATCTGTCAACATTTAAATTTCCCATTATCCTGAAAATCCACTTTATGGTCTAGACATTAAGTCTTGACATGCTTAAAACACACAAACGAGACAGTGAGTGCAGAGAAAACAAAGAAACTGCTGGTAACACCCACTTTGGACGCTGTGGACCAGTATCTGTGCAGGTGAACCAATAAAAGATAGGCCCAGGTCCAAAAAGGTCCCTTCTTTCTGAACCCACCCTGCTTATGTGAATACTTCTTGATCTGCTGAGTGGATGCGTTACTACCTGTAGCATTTTTAAGCAGCTGTAACTCATTCAGTAGACAGTAAGGGAACTG